TAACATTTTTATTTTATTTTTTTATTTTCATCTCAGTCAGTTCATCTTTCACTTCACCCCTTTGTGTTTATTTCATCATGTTATTATCATTAGTAAGCTCGCAAAAAAAAAGGCAAAGCCGCTTTATTTGGTCAATTATCCCTGGAGCGAAAAACAAAGCCTGATGGATTGGCCGCTTCGGATTTCGTGCGAACCGCGTGAATATCCAAATGATACGTCTCGCAGAGAGGATAATTAAAATAACAAATGACTGCACAAGAATGGAATGGATTTAAGGCAAGGATTCACATGCACGCTCATCTCGCACAAAAGCATTCGGCGCCGCGAGTAATTATTGTTTGACCCGACAACAGCATTTCTCTCTAATGCTCTTTGCAGCTTTCGCTCGCCTGATGTGATAAAAGTTGTCGTACTAAAAATAAAAAATATCTAGATAGTTGTTACAATTTAAATGAAATTTTATAGATTTTGAATTTTCTTTGTATTTATTTATAATGCTATATTTTAGGCGATGTGACCCCATCAGGCTAGATTATTTGCTTATGAATTATGTTAATAATGATCAAAAATAAGGATAACAGTGCGACAATGAGAGGCATTCAATGAATTTAAGAAGGAAAAAAAACATTGTCTCAAATTATCTTTCTACAAATTTTAGAAAACAACCAGAATGTTAAGAATAATTTTTAAATTTATATTAAAAAACATTCTTAACATAAAATAAATTTTGAATAAATCAAGAATTAAAGCGTTTTTTTACAGATTGACTCATTAATAAAGCTTTTTTGAAAATTCAGTCGAACAAATTAGATGTGTGCGTTCATTCAAATCTCGAAGAGAGCAAACCTGTCATTCGCTCACGCATTCATTCACGGCGTGGCTCGAGTGTGTACGTTTGATTGGAATGTGCGAGCGAATTCAATTAATCACGCTGAGTTTGCATAAAGTGCGCGGCTGATTGATCTCGACAGCATTGATTGTGTGTGTTGACTTTGTTGGACGCGAAATGTTTACTCGTCAAAAGTCGGCGCGTTTTGCTTCCTTTCGCTTTAATTGCAGTGCTTTTCATGCATAAATGAGAGCGATCTTTGCTTTTTGTTCGCATTGGTTCCGGACGCACAATCAGACGAACAAAGGGAGAGAAATGCGTGAATGGAGTTCAACTGTCAAATATATGTTAAAGGCGGGTTTATCCTTTGGATTAATCTTAACAATTTCTTTTCATTTTAAAAAATCAGCTGCTTTTGACAGCCATCATGTCTCATGACTCATTACAAGGAAAATGTAGTCTATATTAATTATGGAAAGGGCAAACATGGATTTTATGAAACTGTTCAAGAAAAACGACTTCAAACGACGGAATAATTATAGCGAAAATCAAACAATCCATGAAAAGATTTTATATATATATATATTTTTTTTTTTATTATTTCAGCGCAAAATTGAATTTCAAAACCAAGGAAAATGACTTAGTATTAAATTTTAAATTAAAAAATATAATTTCAGAATAACTTTATAATATCTTTGCCCTGTAGTGAACTTATCAAGGTGCAATTTGATATTATTTAACATTATTTAAGGTCTTGGCTCGCGTTTATGCAACAAAGTGTACACAAAATTTTACTCAATTCAAGTGTCACTCACTTAAAAGAGCACATTCTTTTGCATAAGCTTTTTCTAACCTAATCCAGGTGCAATTCAATTATATGATAATAACGCGCGCTTCCTCTTTCACTCCGATTACAGCAAGTATAACACAAAAGATGAAGCGCCGCTTTCAAAATCGCCGGACAAAAGAGCCGCATCACGCTACTTTTAATTTGAAGTGCGTCTCTAGGAGAAATTATTATTTCTAAATACTTTTTTCCAGAGCATCTTTTCGAGAGAGGCGCGCTAGTCAAAATCAACTAACTCCCTTTTCAAACAATGGTAATGAATCGAAATGAAAAGCGCACGATTCCCACGCACTCGATCTCTCTTGCTTGGGCGCCGGCGAGTTCAATCGATGCGTGATTTATGGCTTTTCACGCAGGACCAACAATGGATCGCGACCACTTTTGTTTCTTTTTTCTCTCTCCCCAGAAGATGAGTCGGTTGTGAAAAATGAGCGAGAGTGAATAGAGACTGCATGGAAAAAATTATTTCAAGGAGAGAGCGAGCGACTCTTTTGTGCTGTTATTATTTTGGAATTCCGCTATATTTGTTGTGAGAGATGCGATATCGATCTGTTATGCAACCGACGGTCCGTGCGCGAGACCCTAATTTCCATGCAGATGTATGCATGCTCGTAAAATAAATTTGTAACTCTTTTCCTCCTATTGCAGAAGAATGATATATAATATTATACCGACGATGATGATTTGCCGGCAGGAACCAATTATGCTTTCATACGACAGGAAATTTGTAATTTGAAAAGTTTGCATCTTTGAATATTGGGAGTTTTTTTCTTGCTAATCCTCTTTCCGCAAGTTGGTAAAATGATTGTGGTATATTGCACATCAACTTTCATTACATATCCATTAATGTCCCTCCGTAGCCCTTCTAAATTTTTGAAAATTTTAGCTGTATAATTTCGCTTAAAGATAAAGTTTATTTTGATTTTACTGGAATTATTTGAGCCTTTTTATGCCTATTTTTTACAAGTTTTTTTTTTAAAACAAAACATTGTAAAACCGCCACAATCCATTTACACAGAAAAAAATTCATCAAAATACTCAAAGTTTTTGTAAAATAATTTTTTTTTTTTTTAAATAACAAAACGATTAGTTAAAAGTTAAAATATACTCTAGCTTGTATTGAAAATATTGCAGAGTTCTTGCTTTATAAATGTACTTTTGAACAAGGTCTCACTTATATGGACATGAAATGCAAACTTCTCAAGGTATAATAAATTGATCATCATTAAACCTAATTGAAATCAAAAAGCAGGATCAACGTTGTAAAAATTCCTGTAAATAATAAACATTTCAATTAGACTTTCATGAATAAATTGAATTATCGACCTTCATAGAAAACCTCTGCAAACTGAATGCAAATTAGACGGAAAATTCCTAACCTTTAGTTCTTTTGCATTCAAATTTTACTGCTTCGTTTGTATAATGCTCTTAAGTTTTATTTTACTCCACTCAATTTGCTGCTTAGTTCTTTAGGAAAATATCGAAGACTTAATTGAATAAGAGTTTTACTCCTTCAAAAAAACGGCAATTTTGAATATTTTTAAGGTAATAATTAATTACCGACCAGTTAAGCAACCTCTTGAGTCATTTCAATTTTGGACTTAATTAGTAATTAAGCATAGATATTAATCAAATGTAAACCGTGACTCCCTCACAGGATTCATCTCAATTTGGATGAATTCCATCTATCATAAGCGAAAAATGCCTAACGGTTGATTGGCACACGACCGCGCCGATTGGGAAACGCTAATTGCGGCATCCAAAGGCGTAATCTGTCAATTAACGAGCGCGTTTCTCATTCTGGCCGACGCCGAGATTAGAATGAAAAGTTTAGCTATGGTAGTGCACGAAAGAGACAATCGAGAGCTGTGTGAACAGGTGATAATTATGTAAAATCGGAATTTTCCCAAAGGCTTGTTAGCGGCTCGGTGACTAGGCATTATTCAAGGGTTGATAATCGCAAAATTCCTTTCACTGTCTCACGCGCGCGCGAGCCAAACCTTCGTGCTTGATGATGATAATTAAAGCGGCGCAACATAATTTTCATTTCTATCCGCTGGCGTGCAGTGTTGTAAAAAAAAGCGTGGAATTGTCACAACGCTGTTTGCACTTCTTGCTTGATGAGAAAATAATTATAATTCTACTGCAAGTAATATATTTGCTGCAAAGTCACGTGACGGGATTAATTAGAATTATTACTATTGCACTGGGTCAGGTGTCAAAATAATACATTTTTTGTTGTTTTCCTCATTACTTACAATAAGCTTTTGGAAGCAGAAGAAAGCTTTTTTTTTATAAATATGCATATCTGCTCTATTAAAAATGAAGCAAAATCTATTAACGTTTAAAAGTAAATTACTCAGGAAGCTGATCGTGCTTGGGAAATTTAATTAATGATGCATCCAAAGAAGATGAAATTATTTTTTAATATGAAGAAGTTTCAAAATTGTATCACGCAAATTATATAATAATTATGGAGAAAGATTATTCACTTCTATTTTTTACCATTTTCTTTCCTCTTTGTAATTTATTCTTTTCTAATACAATTATAAATTATCCAATTTCTTACATTCACGAACTCCTCGTTTTGCAATTGTTCCAACTGAGGAACTCAAATGCAAATCAGTTGATTGACACAGTAATAACTTTCGATTTTTATCGCGTGCGGGATAAATAAAAATGCGTGTCTACGTTACTGTAAGACTCGCTTTCCGCCGCGAATAAATATGGATGATCAAGCGTGGAAATTTTAAATTCAGTTGCAAAATGTCTCACTGTGTCTGCGCGGTATACATAATCTCTTACAAGCTTACTTGCTTCATTTTCGCCTCAAAATTCAAAACCTTATTGCTTTACGACCCTGTTTTGAATTTAATGGCAGAAACGAACAAACGAATTTCCTTTCTACCAAAATTTAGCAATCGTTACGTAAAACTTGAATGATTTAGCTCACAATCAGTGAATAAAATCGGGGAAAAAAATTACCAAAAATAACTAGATACATTTATGCTACAAAGTAGGTGATGAAGACTTAGAATTATAATTAAGTTTGAAAATATATTATGCAGTTTGGTAATTTTTATTATTATTTATATAAATGGTATAAAAGAAATAAAAATTAATCAAAATAAGACACGTTGCATTTTAGAAATTTAAAAAGTGCATTAATGTTATGTCTCTAATGATTATTAAGGAAAACCCTATTAAATTATAAAGTTATTGAACATAAAAATGACCATTTTTATATAAAATTGTCATTAAAATACAAAATGAGCAATTTTTGTTAAAAATAAATAAATAAGAATAAAAAAAAACATTAATTACCGTGTGGTTGGCACGCAGCTGAGTTAAGGCTGCAGAGAAAAGTCTCAGGATTGTTCAGGTCTGCAAGTTTGGGCCCTCGGAGGATGTGCAGCAGAGTGTGCGAGGTGCGACCGACTGCGAGTTCTGCGGATGGATGGGATGAGCTGGAGGAGCTGCACAATTCGCCAGAGTGGGGTCCCGAAGTCGACTGACTGCCTCCTGACTCAACTGACCTACTCACTTTCCGTGCACCCGCCGCATGTGCATCTTCACAGGAGAGAGAGAGAAAGGAAATTATTGTTCTGCGCTCTCCGCGTGTTATTATTTGCAGAGGCGCGCACACTTCTATATTTCGCCGGCAGCTCTCGCGAAGGTTCTCGCTGCCTTGCAGTAATAAAGTATATTTGCGCGAAATTGCAGCCGTAATAAATAATGAGCATCACTGTAGGATCAAAGTCAGGCTCGCCATTCAATATTTTTCAATTTAGTGGCTTGTTACTTTTCAATTGGCACGCAGGTCCATTCATTTCGTTTAATTAATTCTTCATTTGAAGGCAATTGTAAAGTTTTATGAATGGAGATTTGGAATTAATTAATTATAATCATGAAATCTGGCAATTAAAAAAAAAATAAAACTTACTTCAACGCTATAATGGTGTTCCTATATTATAAAAGTCGATTGAAAACTCTTTTAGAATTTCCTGATTTATCTTAAATAAAAGGCAGGAAATTTAATTTTGATGCATTAAGCCCCCATATGATATGTAAAAAGTACTACAAAACAAAGGATTCTCTTGCATTTTCTGAATTAAAAACTTTTTTTATCAATATAAGCTTATTTTTATATTTCATAAAAAAAAATATATTTTACAAAATAATTTCATTTTTAAATTTAATATGTTATGTTGATTATATAATTAAATTTCAATTTCCTATACTCCACATGCATCATTGTAGTCTATAGTCTGTAAAATTACGAAAAATAAAATATTGTCAGAGAAAATATTATAAATTACATGACAATTTCCCTGTCGATATGATTTTTGAATCATTTTCTTGGGCGTTGACAGGATGAATTCATTTCGCACTGATCTTTTGGAGAGTAGTGTGAAAGTGAAAAGCAGATTCACAAAGGATGAGATGATTCACCGTGAGAATGTAAAAAAATTTGTTGTTCCTCGCTTTGAATCCAGAAGTCATTATTAATAAGTCTAGACTAAAAACTTCCTCTTAGAAAAATGGCAAAATTGCCGCAAAAATAAGGACGCTTGCAAAAAAATAAACATAATTTTCGCAGGTGTCAGAAGTTTAAGACGCATTATATAATAGAGGGCAGCGAGAGTGTGTGAATAAAGTGATGCGCGCTTTTTGATAAAGGGAAGATGCGACTTTCATTGTTCGCCCGTCGTCGGATGTACCGTCGGAGCACCGCGCCTTGACCCACATCCATGCTAGGAAGGCTTTTTTCTTCAATTTTATTCCACCCACCATCACTTATTCAAATTGTTCAAGGAGTGAGGAAATCAATAAAATTCAACAACGATTGATTTATAAGATTTAACTATTATTGTTTTTGTTGCAAAAAATGTTAAACTAAAACTACACATACAAAATATCCACTTGAACGATCAGCGAAATAAACCTTAGCTGTGAAACACATTCATAAATTACTACAAAATGATCAAACTATAGGTGCGAAAAATCAAGGTGGGACATCGTAAGAATCTAATGCATATACAGAGATGTAAAACAAATAATGAGTCAGTTGTTTTAATACTGGTAGTCAAAAACTTTTTAAAACACAGCCATCTGATGGCAAGTGAAACTTCAATATTGGCCCAGCGTCTATTTCTTCTTCTTGCGACCAGTCTCCTGGAAGCAGTAGAAAAGTTTGTTGTTAAACGCATAATGAAAAAGTGATTATTGCAAAACTATTTCAGGAATTTTAATTAAACAGATCAAATTATAATGAAAACATTTAAAAAAACATCAAGAAATATCAAACTTTATTTTCCATGAATAAACCCTTGATTGTCAACTTTTACCACAAAATAAAAAATTGTCTGAAGTTAAAATAAAGTCATAGATTTTTAAAATATTTGCAAACCTTTGCTTTCTTTTTATCTGGTACTGGGGTTGACTGTTTGCTAGACTTTTCAGACGAAGGCTGCTCGGGCTCGGATTCAGGCACTGGCTCATTTGTTGAGGTTGTAGTTTCCGAGTCGTTTAAGCTCACAGGCATCTTGTCAGCACTAGATTTTCTAAAGAAGATTTTTATTACATTTAGAAGTTTCAGGGCATTATTTCTACTTTTCAGTCTGTTCATTATCAAGGGAACCGTTTGTTGCGACTTCTTCTTCGGAATTCTTTGTCTCGGGGACTTCGTCGGATTTCTTAGTCTCGGGGACTTCTTCGGTATTCTTAGTCTCGGGTACTTCGTCGGATTTCTTAGTCCCGGGTACTTCTTCCTCAACATCAATGATAGGAGCTGAATCGATCACAGGCATAGGTAGCGGAGGCTTTGGCTGCTTCTCGAGAAGCTCGTCTATTTCTTCCTTTTTCATTACCGGCTGCGCCTTGCCCAATTCTTCTCCGTCTATATTTCATTTAATTGAGATTTTATTTTGTTTTGGAAAAATTAAAGTATAGAAAACTCACGTTCTCGCAACTTGGCAATGTGCTTGGTGCGCTCCTCCTGAAGGGTTCGGCAGAGCCGCTGGAGTTGAGCGACCTGTTTTCCTGCGAGCAGAAGTTCTTCGTCCCGCTGCTGCTTGTCTGCAATCATGTCACACAAGGCGCTGTGGCTATTTTCCCAACGCTGCTTCCAAGAGCAAGTCTCCTTCTCCAATTTGATGATTTTCTTTGACATCTGGAATAAATTTAAAATTTGTAAAAATAAACAAAAGATAAACCATTTTAATATTAAATACCTTGTCCATTTCAGCTTTGAAATTTGAGAAAACTTCATTGCTTTTTGCCAAGGCTTGCTGAAATTCTTCATACTTTTCGGAGTACATTCGGATCTGACCTCGAAGAGCATCCTCGTTCTCAGCTTGCTGCTTTAGCTGCGTCTGGTAGCTGCTTAGTTCCTATAAGAAATTAAGCAAGTTAAAAATTAATAAAATTATACTCTTTTGGAAAATGTACCCTTAAGAGAAGTTCCTTCTCCTGCATCAACTCCACCTGAACTTTGGCCAACTTGGTCTCGGAGAGTTTGCCCTCCAGCTGACTTTGCTTCATCAACTTTTCAACTTGCTAAAAATAGAAAATTTATTGAGGAAATTTGAGTACTACAGGAGGAATCATATTAATGTAAAACTGAGAATTCTCTTTTTATTGAAAAGGGCTAAATTGGTCCCATTTGAAATCTTTTTCTAAATAATTATTATTTGAATAAAAATGGTCTTACCGATTCTCTCAGCTCGTACTGCTCACAAATAATTTTAAACTTTTCTGTCAGAGCCTTGTTCTCCTCTCTGAGCTGATTGTTTTTCTCGGTGTTGGTCTGCATAAGCGTGGTGATTTCATTCAGAGTTACGTTGAAGCGAGTCGAAAGCTCTTTACGCTTTTCCTCCTCCTCCTTTATTCTTGCCAAACTTTCATCCTATATTTCAAATTAGAAACTAACACTTTTATAATGTCAATTTCCTACTTTAATAATCTTGTTTTGGCGTTGAAGCTCCCTGCAGAGATTCTCAAGCCGAGCTTTGGTTAGAATGGCCTTTGTACTGTCATTCTGGACGTGCTCCTTCTCTGCTTGAAGGGCAAGAGCTCTTTTCTCACCCTGCTTGACGGCCAGCTGAAGTAAAACAGTTTAGGTAATTTAAGTTTAAACCAATTTCCACAATTTTACAGCCAGCTTTCTGTTGTCCTCGAGAAGATCTGCATATTTCTCACACAGAAGAGTGATTTTCTCCTCTTGCGTGGTCACAGAACTAAGAGCTTTCTTCAACTCCTCGAGACTTTTGTAGCCGTCGTCGACTTTTTGCTGCTTTTTTGAAAGAGACTCTTTGCCATTGCGGCACTTTCCGCACTTGCTGCGGCTTTCAGGCTAAAAGTTGAGTAGATTTTAATGAATTTAAAAAAAAAATAGTGTTTACATTTCCATGGCAACTGGCTTCAAAATGAGCTTTTTTAACACAAAATTCATACAAAAGGACTCACCTTTTTCGGAGGAGCTTGTTCTGCAGGTTTTGCATCACCGTTTATGGCAGGTTGCTCCGCATTTTCCATGGCAAATCTTCAAAGTAAGCAGGAACCCTCTCAGTTTTGGGAAAGGCTCAATCAACAACCGCTGCAAAATCTCTGAAAAATTAACTAATTAATGAAAATAGTTGAACTTATCGCTTGAAATCATTAAAAACACGATACAATGATTGATAACGTAGTTAAATTTTCCAAACAAACCTGGTTGAATGGATTAAATTATTAATTATTCTCTCTGATTTGACACTTTTCGTTTGCTGCGAGTGTTGCCTAAATTTGTTTACTTTCGAGCGGGCAGCGCTTCTGATTGCTGATTGGTCGACCCTTCCCCCACTCTAGGCTCCAAGACTCCAGCGCGCGAATTCCAGGGCCTGCCAGGGACAATGTAATTTTATGCTCCACGTTTTGCACAGTTTCGCATTTAATAATATTAAAGTTAATTATATAATTTAAATGTTAAGCCCTTGAAAAAATTCAAATATTAAATTATTCTTCTTTTAAATTTCAAAGTAACCTGGTCCATTTTATAAGAAGAAAAAATAATAAGAAAATCCTAAATTCTGAAAACAGCTTTAGATTATTATTATTATTATTATTGTTGTTTATTCTTCACAAATCAAGTGACATGGGAAAAAAAATTACAAAATGTGAAGAAACGGCAACACCTCTGGCAAACAAGTTGCTAAAACGCGGGGCCTCAAGAGAGGTCCGCGCCGAGATGGGCCGCAAGCTATTTTAACTTATCACAAAAAAAGTTAATCACTAAAATTGCTGCTGCCACACGAGATTTTTGCACAGGGGGGTCACAGATCTTTAGGGATATCTGAGAATTCACTGACTGACTTAAAAGTTTTTTGCTCTCTGCAATGAAAAATCTGTCCGCCATTACTAAGAACTTCTACTCGCGTGGATCAAATTTATGCTTTCAACTCCGCCAGCCTTTCAATTTGGAGTTTGCAGTTTTGGAATTCTGGAGCCTTAAGTCTGCGAAATTCAGCTACTCACTTTCAAATCGACGCAATCAGTAAAAATTGACCCGAAAAACAGATAATTCTGGAGCGTTACACGCGTGGCCGAGAACTGAAAGCAAGCAGGAGTGCAATGCTTACGGGCTATTTTTAAATTAACTCTCGTCGGTAAATAAGACCAGGTATATTTTTAGAAAGAAAGTGAGTCGCGCACGAGACTCCCGTCTGACCAACACTCGAGTGTGCCCACTAAAAATTTGAAAACAAAAACTTTTTCTATTTATGTATTTATTTTTTTCATTTTTTGTTACAATTTACAATTATTCAGAATCGCAAGTGTCGATCGTGAAAGTGGAGACGAAGCAGTGGGAAAGGTGCTCGGGCAGGGTGTAGGCGGGAAACTCATCTTCCTCCTCCACCTCCCCCTCCCTGCTGGTGCACCCTCAGGCCTTGGGGGCCTTAGGCAGGTGGTCGCCGCGCACCCTGAAGCCGAACTCGTCCGCGATGTACGAGAGGGAGATGGGTGTGCCGTCGGGGCTGGTGTACGCAAAGTTGCCCTCCTTGACCAGCACGTTCACCGTCTCGCCCTCGTCGTTCACCAGAGGCACCAACTTGCCCTTCTCTTGCACGTGAGTGCCATCACCGGTCAGGTAGCTGAAGAATCAAATTTATTTGAAAAGTTGCAACTTCTTAAAAAAAAAAGTATAAAGAAACTAAAATATAAGTGTGAGGTGTATTTTTTTATTATTATTAAAAATATAATATAAAAATATAAATATTTTAAAATGTTATAAAGTTAAATAAATATTGTAACATTTGGTACTTAAAATTTAATTAATTCTAAATAAATTTTTGCGGTTACTTTTATTAAAATTATGTAAATATAAATTTTTTCACTTTTTAATTGTAGATTCTGATTTATTAAAAATTTCTTGCTCCTAATAAATATATAATTTTACTTACTCAAGGGTGAATGCTCCATCCCGATTGTGGGTCTCGATCCTCTTCAAAACTGGAATCGGGGGTATACGTCCCAGGGGAAGGGGTGCTTCGGCGTTGACCGCAATCACAGCCAGGGCGAGGAAAACAGCGCAGGTGATAGCGTGCATCTTGATGGTAGTATTTGTTTTACTAAAGCGTTCACAGAACTGTGTCTACTGTTGACAATTTGGAAGGTTTTATACCCAAATCATAACAAGTTTCTATCCGAAAAGAGGGGATGGCAAAACAAATCAATTTATTGGGAGGCACGGGTGTGCGTAAAATTAATTACAAAATAATGGTTGTAGTGGCAGCTTAAACATAGGAACAATATTTTGCTGTTACAAAATATAAAAGCAAACAACCCAGTCTGCCTGAGGCAACTATTTCTAATTAATGTATATCCATCAAACTTTTCTCTTATTAAAATTTAAAAACGAAAACGTGAAATTAAAACTATAATTGGTTTTTAATTCCATATAAAGGCATTTTTCAAATAATAAGAGGAAAACACTAACAAATTTATAGCATAAGGCAATAAATTATGAACTTCTAAATAATACATAACCAGCAATATTATGTATTTTCATTATTTTTTTCAACAACTTTTCTCATCATTAGCATCATGTAGAGTCCGCAACTAATTTTCTTAAAAATAAATAATTACTCTCATAATTTTTAACTAAACATAACATACTCTTTGAAGTTGCTTATTTTTACTTGGATTCTCAAGCGGCAGTTGATAAATATAATAGTGGCATTGAGTAGTATATTTCAAAATTAGTTTTGATATTATTTCTATAATTTTTTTTTCTTTTTGTTGGATTGTTTTTCTCGTTTTTCTTTTACATATCTGCATCATTAATTATATACTTAAAAATTGCAGGCTTTTTTGAAATAAAACGCATCTCTCTTACTCCAAATATATATTGTTTAACACCTTAAAATTTTACATTCGCGTTTATTCTAAATGTGGAAGAGCTCTTTCGGGCATACAAAAACAGAAAAGGGAAAAAGAGAAAGGGAAACAAGAGAGGAATTGTTGCTTTTGTTCACGTTCCTTCTGCTGACCGCAGACAAAAATAAGTTACAGCTTGTGCGCGCACGACCCGCCGAGTGCGGAAATTTACATGTGTCTTGTGTTGCCAAAGTTGATGCCGCTCTGGGTGGCACCCTTGTTGCTTCCGTACTGCAGACTGATCACGCCTATGAACCAACACAAATCACATTACCATTCACGTCACAAGACCACGCAAATAATTTATGCCCCATTCATTATTAAACTCTTGGGAGAGCACCAATGAAATTGATTTCTGATTTCAAGAATAATTTATAACTAAAATTTTGTTACAAAAAACATACCCTGTCCAGCTCTGAGCTGTTCATCAGTGAATTGGCGCACATTCTTGTCAGCTTCCTTGGGTCCAATGCCAGGAAGTCCATAGTTTCCAGCCTGAGAAAAATTTATAAAATAATGAGTAATTTTATTTCATTTAAACTAAAATTAAGAAAATGAGTTTTCCATGCTGTGTTTATAAACCAAATTAGGTGATTTTAGAACTTATTATTACACAAATAACATGCACTAAATAGGTATAAATAAATTCATCATTACACATCAAAAATTAATCACAAAACACACACAAGAAAACACTCAAATTCAAACTGCAATTGTGTTTTGTGTTGTTAGTAGTATATTATTATTGTTTATTGTTCAAAATCATACATATTGTAATTATTATTTTCACAAAATTTCTAGTCAACATTCGGAAAACATTTTTATATTTTTTATTTCGACTTCTTGTTAGTGTAAAATTTTGGTTGAAATAAAGGAAAGTGAACGGAAGGCATGCCTTACCAAAAACACACCGCGCATGCACTAGACACCCCTATCATGCACTTACAGATACCTTGCGACCCAGCGACTGCAAGCAGATGACCACTGAGTTGAGGTTCTGCCTTTCCCAAAGGTCAACGGTCTGGAAGGTCTCTTGCGCCGGCACGCCCAGGGTGCGGGCAACGTCCAGGAAGGCGTTGATGTTCTCCATGCACTTGAAGGCCATCTGCGACTCATTGATTTTCTTCACTGAGCCGGGCTTCAGTTTGTTGGCCAATCTGAACAATTTATTTAATAAATAGCTAGGTTAAATGTCACATCATTTTACCTGCACAGCCTGGTGCCATTTTTGAAGACCTCGTAGAAGTTGTCCATTTCGCCTGAGGTGCTGAAATCCTCCTCGACGATCTGCTTGACCCATTCAAGGCACTCCTGGGCCAGCTCTTCACTGTATTTGCTGTTAATCTGTCAACATATAAAATGCCATTGTTTGAAGTGAATTAATGCAAAATTAGAATGAAATAAATAGTGCTATTCTGAAATTCTGAGTGAGAAACCAAAATTTTAAACATCCTTAAAACTACTAATATTTTACTTTACGTTTATTACCAGTATTTTTATTTTATTTAAACATTTGAAAAACTATATTTGATGTTTTGTCTTGGTAACTTTTCTAGTGGGGCTCTCTCGTGTCATATATAGGCGACAAACCGCCCTTTGCGGATATGTTTATTGATACAGACGAGAGTTGGTCCCTTGCTTGGTGCACTCTCGCGCTGCTCGCTCATGAAGGGTTTCCGTGTGTGCTTCTCTTGATATTACCCAGCGCAGGGCGAGAAATAAGGCGCTCCTTCTGTGTGTCGCCTGCCACACTTTTTTATCTATTTATTTTCAGCGTATGACGCATTTGCTCAAAACGGAGGCGAAATTGCGCGACGGAACTTAAACGGATTTAATGCTGGCTGAGAAATTTGGAACTTTTTTCACTAATTTTAAATTAAGCATGTGTATAATTTGCGTAAAATGTGAATGAAAAAATAATCTCCTAGAGATAAAAATTTGTCTAAGGTGAAAGATTACACGCAGGCTCTTGACTTAAGTGGAATTTTAACGAATTCGTGTTTTAGTTGAAGAGACAGAGAAAGCTTTTATCGCAGCTTTAATACAGAACTCGTGCACCATAGTCACATTGGACTTGGCAGCCGAGGTGCTGATTGTGATAAAGACTAAAAGAGCTTTTGATAAAGGCCAGCAATCATGCTAAGGAAACACAGCTGCAACTTCTCTTATTTATTAAGAAAATTTAGAAATATTAAAATATGATTATTTGGGGATGGGGGTAATTTCACTGAATTTAAATAACATTCTTTTTGTATATAAAAATAGGAGTGCTGGATAAAATTAAAACATGGAAAGAAAAACAATAAAAATTTAATCAACCAGGAATTTGTATTCCAATTTAAGGTGCCAGTCAAAAATAAGTCTCTGAAAATGTAAATCCCCTCCGCATTGTTTATTCCGTTTAATTATCATGCAAATGAGGGGGTGGCGCGCTGAACAATGTGTCGAATTTGAAGCCCAGGAAAAAATAATATCCAGCCGCGGCGCCTCTCACAATTTATTTTCAACAGGCGTCACTTTGGTTCTTCCTCCTGCCCACACCATTTGGTCCAACGCATCACCTTCTCTCCAAATTACATTAATTACAGGCCCGACGAGAGCTGAGAGAAATTTCACATCTCTCGTCTTGAAAAAAAAGAATAATTCAGAAAGGTCGCGTGTCGAAGGCGCTCAGGCTGTTTTTGTCACCTTTGCCCGAAAAGGCAAGGTGGCGATCGATTGAAATTAGTGAGGGACAACAGCAGCAAATCCTTGCATAAATAACACACACACATGTTGAAGTAGGTCGGCCGGTTGAAAGTAAACGTGTGTAGTCGAGTGCCCACGACCCAGTAAAGAGGCGCCCTTATAAGGCAAAGCCTTTTGCAGTGATTCACCGCCTCGGCCGTATTTGGCCCTATCGCATTTCTCCGCATACGCAGTCAAATGTTATTTTTTTTCCTTTGGCGAGAAGAGAAACACCTTCTGTTGCTGCTAATTGGACCAGTGCTCTTGCTATTTATTTTTCGAGTGACATTTTCGCGCATATGGCCGAAAAATTCCTTTCGATTGCAGAAATTTGTTACGCAAGAGCGGGCAGAAAAAATTAAACTAAATGGTCAATGAGGTCGGTTTAAATTCAATTTATTGATCGTCTTTCTGCTTGGATGGCGATTTAATCGCCGCGTCAAGACTAACAGGTGCGCCCAATGACTCATTTTGCCGACCGGTCTGCGGGATTTGACCGGATAAAAGCTTTCAATTAGGAAATATCTGCGTAAAGAAATCGTATGCGGGCTTAGTTAGATTTGAAATCAAGGCTGCAAATGATCGCGTTTTCCGCTGCAGTAGTTTGAATGTGTAGATCTACAAAAGGAGAAAGGGTATTTTTTTGCTTTGTCCAAAAAAGGTGACAATTAGGACGCAAATTAATTCAATTAACGACATTTTCACTTGAATAGGATAGGCAACTAGCTAATGCATTCCACTTAAGGCAATATTTCAGAAAAATAAAAATTTAGTATACTTTAAGTGGAGATTAAAATCAGGCAGTTCATGGGGTGTATTTTTAGTGCGGCTTTTTTCAAATAATATTTATATAAACAGAAATTTATTAAACACAAAATGTGTACAACTTTTCAACGTACAATTAATTATTTATGATTCATTCTCGCAGCTTCAGACAAGCTTAAGTTATTTTTACAACATTCACTAACATGATACAAGTTAATTTTCCTCCCACATTTTTCACATTCGCAATCATTATTTACATTTAATATTTAAAATTAATTTATCGCCGGGAAAATTAAGTTTCTGGTTGGAGTTTTTCTATCTCAAATAAGTCGATCTGAACTCTGCCCGTGTGATAAACCAGAGGCAAAATTTCTGATTCCTTTTAGAATTTGAAATAGAGTTTAGAAAAAACCTTATGCAGTGCTTTTTTTGTATTATTATAAAACTGGTTTTCAGTATTATCTTTTAAAGTATATTATATAATCGTTGAAATGTGTTATCTTCCAATATTTTCAGTAATAAGCGTCCCTTCCATTTATTGGTGTGGCGCGATGGCGACAAGAAATTTGCGTAGGCGCAATGTAGGTGGATTAAAACATTCATTTTCCTCCGACGTTTTCGTCATAAAAAGATTAAGGCAATCAATCATTTTGATAACACACTTTTGCATAGTACACCCACTGTTCTTGCTTCACTCAAATATTTTATACAAAAGACATCTGGCTACATTAACGTTTTAATTACAATTTAATTAGCTGAAGTTCTCCCTTCTGGCGAAAAACAAATGACAAAGACTAGAGATTCAAATCTCACGCGCACTTGACTTTTGTGAATGAAAATTTTCGTTCCATTTCCACTGCCTCCCTTTTTCTGCGTTTGTGTTATTTTTATATCAAGATTGTCCAACGTCGTCGCGGAATGCCATTTTTAATTTGACAGCGGCGGCTCTTGAAACGACTGTTGCTTTATATATAATATGAGAAACGGTGACTTTTAAAGGATCATTATAATAAATTTCGCGGTTGCCCTTTTGCGACGACACAATGGCAAGCCCCAGCCACAAAAAAGCATTGTGTGTTCTCGAAAAATCTTTTCACGAAATCTGCCCCAGGAGAGTAATCAAAGCCGGGCAGATAATCTGATATAAAAAAAAGGATCACTCGGAATTGGTGGAAAATTATTGTTTGCTCTCATTTAGATAAAAACAGACGCGCTGCTTTTATTTGAGGTTATCGACGTACGAGTTCTGCGTGAGATAGGCAACCGGCAGATCGTAAAATGACATCATGTTTATCAGCAGTTTGATTATTATTCTCCGGGGCTTTAGTTTCGCCGCGAGGGAGTGGTTTTCGTTGCTCTCCACATCCTTCATTCGTTGACTAACAAAACCGACCGACCGACCGACTGCGGACGAAAAGTGGAAGAAGTGTTTGATTTGAGCATATTGTTATTTCTATTCTTTCGCAAGTGCGGCACGGTGTGCCAGCCAGTCGGGAATGCCAGTCTGCCTTTTCAGGCTGCTATCCGCGCGCCAAGGTTGCCCGAGAACCACCTTCGCCAGGTTTTGCATTGTCAAAGAAAAAAAGAGATGAGGATGAAGGCACGGCCTCTCTCACAGTGGAAAAAATATATGATGTGTACACTTTGGCTGCGTGGAACTCGAGAGGAAAAATGAAATAAAATACTTTTTATACTTTGCGTTGTGACCATGGAAGCCCACGCAGTTTATATTTAAAACAAAGATATAAATAAATAAATATTTATTTTTTCATATTTTTATTTTATTAATTTTATTTTTTAGAAAATTAAATTTTATTTAATTTATATATTCAATAATTTATGTAATTTATTTCCTATTTTTAAACAATTAGAGTGTAATTATTAAATACAAGTTTACAAAATATCTACGATTAGTATAAGGTTGATTGGTTCTGCTTACATTGATAATAATAATGTAAGATATTCTTCAGCTGGATCCAAGATGTTTTTTACCATAAATTTAGAATAATTTTAAAATGGTTAATGTGCTAATCAAGTTAAATTAAATTAAAAATCTAATATTAACCTATAAGTAAGATAAATTAATAGATCCTTCTGGCTTAATACATTTCAAATTAAAACATTACAACAGTTAAATTTTCGCCATATTATAAGCCCAAAATTAATGATCTTATTGTTAAACGAAGTATCAATTAATTCACCTAATATTTAATACAGAAATACTGCAGAAATCTAATATGTATAATTCAAAAACATCAGTGCTGTTTAATCTGAAAATTTGATTAATCATCTAACCATGGTCGGGAAGAGCAGTGACGTCAATGAAGCTGTACGAGGAGAAAAAATTACTAAATTTATTTTGGTTTGTACTGCATTATACATTTAAATATAAATAAGTTACATAAAAATAAAATTCTGTTAAAATCCTTCCAGTTATGAGAATCTTTAATATATTTAGAAAAAGCGACCTTTATGCTCATTATTTGCTAAATTTAAATTAATTTTTGTAAAATCGATCCGTGGGAATAAATCAATAATGGCTGGGGCTGCACCGAATTACGCAAGAGCATGTGGTCCTGGCAAAAGTGAGAGCAGCTCTAGGCTTCAAATGCAGCTGGGATGAGGAAACTGTGTCGGCACGCGGATCAATATTAAAGTTGATGGAGCCACCAAGTCCCGACTCCATGTGATTTTTCGCTTTGCCATCCAAGTATGGAAGGTCAAAAAGAAAGGTTTTGCTCGCCGGAGGGTATTTATAATTTTTTCCCGTATGAATCATTTTTCATCGCGGCTCTCAACTCGAGTGGAAGATTAAAGAGCTCGATCAAGTGTGCATGTCGTGAATGTTTCGCTTCTTTTCTCGGCACTCGCCAACCGTCCGACCAAACACGAATGCACTCACGCCCAGCCGGCAAATATTTTGCAATACATACATGCGCGACGTGCACAATCAACGACGAGCCATCTGTCGCCTTGAGTCGTTGCTCTTATCGCCGCAGAAATTTTCCAGATTGCCTGGTATAATTGTTCAGCACATACCGAGAATTGACCAATCATTCGAAGAATTAAAATCGCGAGTTTCCTTTCTTTGTTTGCAAGGGTGAATTTTATTGGCAATTCGGTTGAGAAATATTTGTACTAAAATTTGTCACCAGGAAGAAGTAAATTGCAACAGTAACGAGAGCAAAAAGGATCCAAAGATTAGCGCGTCAGCACTGGTGTCACTTTGCAAAACTTGTGACGTGGAGATTAAGAATAAAAAAGGCGTATGTGTATTTTTTTTTTTTTAATTTAGCGAGATGTTTAAAAATATTTGATATTTTGGATATTAATTATTACTATATTATACAAAAAATATAATATTTTTAGAGTCAATTTCAAAATTTAAATATTTAGTCAAAATAATGATATTTAAACTTTTTTTCATTAACAAACATCAAATTTCCAGATGGTACAAAAGTGCTGATTAAAATCAACTGATTTTTGCAACACGTTAACGACGTTAATTGATAACTCTAAACATTTATATTTATTTTTAATAAGCTTTGTTTTAATCAGAGTTCCAGAAAAATAGTGAGTTTTTTTACCTTCCTCTGGGCCTCGGCGGCGAATCCAGACTTGGCTGCTCTGTTGTTGGCCATGGTGATTTGTGTGTTGTGCAAATTGCTGCGGTGTCTTCGGTCGCAAGTTCGCTGCAGACTAACTGCTGAAGCAAAAGCCGGCGGGCACCTCAGGTTGGCCTCTTCTCTCCTGCCCTGCGCCCGTCGTCGTGCTGATAAATCCCCCTCCTCTCCGAAACCGCGAACGCACGGCGACGACTAACGACTCCTCGGCTGCATTATTTCTTTACAAGCGCCGTCCTTTTTTATACACGGCATAATACGCCTTGTATGGAGAACAATCTGACTAAACTCATTATAATCGCGAGAATTTTAAACGGGTGACTCTGTTGAACATCGTGGTCTTCTGCGGTCAGTGTGGTTGATATTTTAATTGCGTGTGTTTTCTTTTTTTCACCAAAGTTGTGGTGTTTTGTTTACATATATGTTGAATTAAGATTTTTCATCGCTTTCTAAAAATTTAATCCAACTCGTATTTTTGGAAGTGTGACGTTAACACTTGACAACACCATATTAAGTAAAAAAACAATAGCTCCTTCCTAATAATGAGAAGCACACAGAAATTATTTTATAATCATCCTTAGATAAAGTAACATAGTCTCAAAATTAATGTTTAGTATTTAATAAACAAGAATCTATAATATTATAAATTTTTTAATTTAATGGTTTATATATAAAATTAAATCAGTATAGGTAAATTATTAATTTTTATTACAAATAAATAAGTTTCTGTATAGGTTCTTGAAGTTGTTTTTGTGGAACCTTTTGGCACTTGAGGTGGTCATATTTGTTGAAATAAGTATTAAAACTTCAATTTACATTTTATTTAGTTATTTTTTTTTAAATAATATTGTATTTGTTTAATATTTCGCTTTAATTTAATTATTTTTATTATGTGTACTAGTATAATTATTAATATTTTATGGGGTTTTATCAGAATAAATATTTCTATTGTCATCAAAAAAGTAACATACAACGCAATTATTCTTAAATTATTTTAATTTTATAATAAAATAATAGCGTCATATAATATGTCGGAAAGAAACTATCGTGTATGAAGTAAACATATCCGAACCTTTTTTGTGCCTGAGTTCCATCCATGCTAAACTAAAATATATAATTAAAAAATTGATTAATCATTTCTTCTAACGCAAGTATATTTTGTTTCTTATAATTCTTTTTAAAATATATCTGCTCATCAAATAAATTAGTAAATTAAGCAAATTTGACTTTACAGCTGCATTCCATCATTTAATTCAATTTTATAAATATCAATATTAATAATTTATTTCAAAATTCTATAAATTATGCTCTTCAAATAAAATCACTCCATTTGCTGGTTGAAATAATCAAATAGCATAGGCAATGATAATCATCCATTTTTTTTCCTTCTTCTTCATCTGCATTTTCCAAATCTCAAAATTAAAAGTATCCTTCACACAAGAAAATTAACCTAATTGCGATGAAATGCCTTTAATTCTAATTATTAACAAAATTATCTTAAATCTACAGCGATAAATCATCCAATTTTGAACAATGGTGGTTCCAAAAGTGCATTAATTGACGACGGGTGCGTCGATCAAAAGACAGTTGGCCAGATCGGTGGCGGCTTGCAATGCCTGTCTTTTTTCTCGACGCAAAAAAAAACGAACGAAAGGGTGATGAATAAAGTCGCGCGCGGCGGTTGTAAAAATGACGTAATGCGCGCAGATGACGTAACCAGCAGCTCTCGTCTTGACCGTTGAGGGTCTCCATCCTGAGGTTGAACCGTCGCGAATATACACACGCATGTGGATATAAAAAATAGGAGACGGAGACGGATGAGGTAATGAGCAGTCTCTCGAAACCTCGACTCGGCGTCTGATAAATAAATTCTCCTGGCAAATGCCGCGCTAACTCCTTTTTCCCTAATGGTCTGTGAGTCTTGCGCCGAGTGTGATGGATGGGCAGGTGCGATTTGTATGATTGCAAAGTGCCATGTGCTGTTGCTGGGAGGGAAGAGAAGAATAAGTTCGCGGACCTGCTGTCGAGGAATTCGCTGACGGTTTAATTTTTCATCGCGAGACACAAAAGCATCTTGATGATAAATGGAAAGCAACGTGCAGGAACTGCGAATTAGCAATTATTGGCAGTTACAAGCGGCCTGAGCGTTTTTTTATTAAATAACCACAATTACTGACCTTTTTTGTGAGAAGCGAAATATTTGCCAAATTTTATTACTTTTCCATTCAACTGACTTCCAACTGATTTCTGAAATTGCTGATATAGTCTGAAACGGATTTACCCTGGGACCCAATTATTTAGATACTGCTCTTCAATTTATTGGAATAAGCGAATAAGAAGAAGAATAAAAGAAACACATTGAAATTTTTTTCCGAAAATAATACCTGCAGGTTAAAAATTACAATTTTAATTAAGTGGCGCTTTCAGCAATCAAAAAAAAAAAGACGTTGCATGTTCGGTGAACGGCTAGAACGTGAATATATTTTGCCAGTCATTCTTCAGCCAACGATATTTTATGAAAGACGGTTGAGGAGATTTATTCCAGTATATATAAATATAAACCTCAAACCTGCTGACGACAGAAACATGACTAGTATGACTATACATATGATTGATGTTGGGCGGTTGCCGGTTACGGAATATTTTAAAATTTCAATTTATAAAAATTGTTAGCATTTATCTTTTTTATGCATACTGAAATGCTTGAAAGTTTAAGATAATGGGTAAGACAATATGCGTGAATAGAAATTCTAATTTGAAATCATAAAAAAATAAAAAAACACTTGCACAATTTTAATACACATAATTGTTTCGAAATATTTTTTTTAATTTTAAAATTTATAAACCAAATAGGAGGAAAACTAACAAATATGTATTAAAAAACTATTTAATTTAAGTATACGAAAAAATTGAAAAATATGAAAATATAAAAGCAAATAAAAACATAAACTTTACTTAGATTAGTACATCATAATGCCGCTCCGCGCCTCATCGCGCTTGCTACTCTACTGCGCTGGCATTGGTCAATATCTGCCGCACTGCCAATGTGGTTCTGTTTACATTTTTGGCTCGGTCGGATTTCATACGTTTTTAAGGCTATTTGACAATTTTTAATTATTTATCAATGAGCTGAAGTAAGTTTTAAGCTCCAGCATGAAAAGCACAAATTTTGAAAGCACCGTCAGAATTACCACTGACGTCACAGCTCTGAAAATCCTCAACAATCGAAAAATTTTAGCAGGTTTTGCAGAAATGAAATTTCATTACTTTTTTGCCATTTAAATATTTGATTTTTTTGAACGCAGGAATTGGAGGATTTATACACGTGTTCATCTTGGACGAAACTGGGTCTGCAACGTTGGATCGCACGGTAAGAGTGCTCGAAGGCCAGAAAATCCACGGCTTTTGTGAAAAAGAGGAAAAACTGGTTGTTTTTGGAGGCAGACAATTCCTCGTTGTGGACTGCCGCAGTTTCACCAAGTAATACTTTTACCTCTACAAACAGTTAATTTGACAACTTAGTTTCTATAAAAAAAAAACTAGAGTAGAAAAGGAGTCAGCTTTTTCACAATGGATTCAAGCAGCTCAGTGGTTGGAAGACAAGTCCGTAGCTTTTGCTTTATCCAACAATTCCCTTGTGCTGTGGAAGGATGGAAAAATTTCTCAAGAGGTCATCTGCCCCATCCAGTGCATAATGTAACAAAAAGAAGGAAATTAAAATATTAAAACAATTTGAACTTCACTTTTTTACAGATATTCAGCTTTGCTGTTAGGTACAAATTGGGACTCTTTAGTTGCCTTTTCAGGCACCGTCTTCTCAGAAGTTCTGATTTGGAACACTAGTGGGCACGTTCTAAACCAGCTGAAAGGCCACAAAGGGGTGATTTTCAGCATTTCCTATGATGAACAACGACAGCATCTTCTGACAAGCTCCGACGACAGATCGGTCCGAGTTTGGCAACAAACGGAGAGGCCAAATCAATTCGAGCAGGTGCAGGAGCTCTACGGACACCAGTCAAGAGTCTGGAGAGCCCTTCCAACCAAAATGGGCCTTGTCAGCATTGGAGAGGTAGTATAGAAAAATTTTATATTAATCTAAATTAAATCAGTTCATTTTAGGATTCGGTGATTTGCCAATGGGATGAAAGTGGAAAGGTGATATCGAAATTCTGTGCCCACCAAGGTGGAAGTGTTCGGAGCGCAGACATATTCTCAAACTTGTTGGTAAAAGAACAAAAAATCTCTATATTCAATTTTCTCCCATGCTAAATTTAATTCAATAAAGACACTTTAAAACAAAATTTAGGTCACTGGTGGAGCAGACGGTGGTATAATGTGTTGGAAGCTGAGCTCAAAGTTGAAGGTGAAGCAAAGTGATCTCACGGTGGACCTGAGGAGAGTATTGTGGAATTCTGCAGGGCAGCTTCTTTTGGTCGGAGGCGATGAAAAACTTTACCTTCAGGATTCCATTGGTCCCAAAAGGTTGCTGCCCAACTACGCAGTGCAGCTTATTGACTCAAGTGAAAATTTTACTTTTATGAGTACCGTCGAAGGGGTTTTGACCATAGTTAAAGGTTTGTTATACGTTTGTATTTGATAACAAAAACTAAAATGTGTGTAGGAGATTCATCTTCTCTTGAATTGGCTGCTGAAGGAAAAGTGTCGGACGGTGCAGCAGTTTTGAGCTTAGTCCTTTTGAATACATCAACTTTTCTTATTTCTTTGAGCAATGGCGAGCGAGTATTTTGGTCTCACCATGACAAGCAGCTTAAGAAAATAGCCTCATATGTGATGGGTCCAAGGACAAAAGGTGCCTCCACCGGTATTCTCATAGAAACGTTTTGCCTTATTGGGGACCAAGAAGGATTTTTACAGCTTTTTGATATGTCAAGACAGGTAACACAGTTGTGGATTTGTTTCACTTCATATTTGAAAGTATACCAATTTTAGGAGCTCGTACAAAATTTAAACCTCAAGTCAGAGGGAATAACTGGTCTCTGTCAATACAGAGGCTTAATTTGGGCTAGTTGTAAGGAGGGAAGGCTCCTGAATTTGATTCTCAACAAAGGAAATATTGAAGTCATCAACGCAGGTCAGCCCCGACTTGGAATGCTGGCCGGCTTGGAAGTTTTGGACATAGGACTTCTCCTTTACTCATTCCACAAGTAATAGCTTTAAAATCCTATACTAACTTTTAATTAAATTTTTTTAGGGAATATTTCTCTGCATGGTCATGGGATCAACAAAGACCTATTTTCCGACTCCACTGCCCAGGTGGAGGGCATAGGTCATGGAGCTTTAAAATAAGTGACCAAAAAACCTTGTGCTTTGCATTTATCAGGCACAAAAATGCATTTTATTTAGAAAAGCCTATGAGTGATATCATGGCGCCTGCGATTAGGGTAAATTTATCATTTTAAACTTTAAGCCATTTTCATTAACATAGAAACCGTTTTTAGATTGGCCTGCATTTGAATTTGGTCAATTGTATGGTGCCTTTGGATGACGGCCACTTGCTGTCCGGAGGAGAGGATGGCTCACTTAGGATTTACAAGGAGGATGTAGGAACTCCATTAACTGTTATCCAGGCTCATTTGTCAAGCGTCAAATCGCTGCTGAAAAGCAAATCTATTCTAGTCAGTGGAGGAGGACGAGCTCAAATAACAATTTGGAAAATTTTCAACATAGGATCAAATTGTCAGTAAAGTACTTATTTTGTTGATTGTTAATTTATTCCTTTTGCACATTTCAGTGGTAATGAAGTCACTCATTAGCCACATGCTTCTTGAAAATGGCGACAAGCCTGACAAAACTCCTTGGAGAGACACATACCAGAACCCCAGGCCTGACCCTGAGACTCGGTACATGTCCTTCTGCAAAATATCCCATGAAGACGAGTGCTTGGTATTTTTGGCAGCCTGTTCCGACTCTTTTCTAAGGTTATTGAAATTAATTTCTGTTATATCTATTGCTTTAATGATTTTTTTTCACAGGTTGTTTGAATTCTGTGATGCATCTTTGGAACTGAAAAAAACCATCGCACTTCACAAAAGTTGTGTCATTGCTGTTAGTTCTTCGATCAATTTTGTTGCTTCTGGAAGTTCCGATGGTATTGGAGCTGTCTGGAACAAAAATTCCCTGCTTTCCGAGAAAGCAACACCCCTGTGGAGTGGGAGACTGCACCAAGGCGGAGTGACTTCCATTGTGGTAACAGATGAAAAACTACTGCTTTCTGGAGGAGACGATGGTATTTTGAGAATCAGCACTTTTGCCAATCAGCTTTCAACAATCCATCTATTTGAATATTCTAATCAAGTCACAGGTAAAAACATTAAATTTTATAATCGGTCAGAAATATATTTTCTTGCATATTTCCAGGAATTGAAGTCTTTGCCAACTTTGCCATATCTACAACTAGCGGCCAAAAGGTGAGTGTTTGGGAAAATGATAGCAGCACAGGATGGTGCAAAAAATGGGAGAAAACTTCCGAAGTTTCAGACCTCCAAGGTTCAGCAATCATCAAGAGCACTCAGTAAGATATTTTTGTTTTTGGTAAAAAAAAAAATAATAATAATTAAATTCATTCAGATCTACTGCGAGATTCTCTGTATTTGGGAGAGGCAACGAGGTGCTGCAATTGAATTTTTTGCAATAAAGGTAACATGCACTAGCTGATAATTTCCTACGCTTACGCTTTTTTATTATCATTTTTCATTAACATAACAAGACAACAGTTACCACAGACGTTAACATGAATTTGGTACTTTTTAATAATTTTAATACTTATGGAAGGCTCATCAACACTTTTGCCTTTTCGGCTAAGCTCATTATTTGCTCCGAGGCGTTTATTGTCTGGTCTTCCAAGTAGCTCTTACTGTTTGACTCCGCATCCTCCAAAAAGTATCTTAAAATATATACAAAATTTGAAAGTAGACTATGGCCTTGTATTTTTTTTTTATATATATATATATATATATATATATATATATATATATATATATATATATATATATATATATATATATATATATATAAAACTCACCTGTAATTAACCATGAGCCCAAGAGAGTTGTTCAGTCCTTTGACGGTGGTGTCTGCTCTCCAGTTCAACCTCCACATCACAGCTCCATTCCTCAAATGGAAATTTCCTAATACAATCCACTGTCAATTAAATCGATTTTATTAGAAAATTTGATGTTTGTACCAACACTGTCCAGGGCAAAACCTCGGCGCTTTTCCAAGTACAGGTACCTTGAGCACAATCTCATCAAAGGATCCTCCATAGTTTGGACAAAGACATGATCAGTCAGCCAGTCGTTGGTCGAAAGAAGCGTTCGCACATTGGCAGGGTCAGCAGGACAACCTAAGTGGGCCGACAGAATGTCGATTTCCTCAGAGGTGAAGAGCTGCTGCAGCTTGGAAACTTTCAGTCGATCCAGTAGCCACGAGCGAAACTGAGGAATGGGGGAAAGAGACGAGAACTGATGCACCAGGGGGAATTCAGCGCGCAGCTCCTTGACAACTCTTTTGATTAGGTAATTGCCAAGCTCGATACCTTGTAGTCCTCGTTGTGTAGAGGTGATAGAGTAGAAGATCGCAGCTTTGACAAGGTCGGCATTTTCATTTTCGGCCATCAGGAGACCGGCCAAGCCTCCAGCAGCACTTGCATCAACTATGAGGATAGAATTGTTTATTAAAAAATTCAAGTATTTTGCTAGATTTGTGAGTATTTAGAAAATTGAAAATTGCAGACAAAAAGAATTCTTAAGCTTCATTTTAGTTCTTGAGCTGATTTCCCAGGAGAGGTCATCAAAGGAACACCTGTTTCCATTATATTGAAGCACCTCTTTTGGCTCACCTGAGAGTCTTTGAGCGGCTGTTACAATGCCTCTCATGCTGGAGCTGATGGTGTCCGCCAGGGCAGTGTGCAAAACGACGATAGGCTCTCTCGGCATGCTGTCGTGGGTGAACATGAAACACCTCCTGTACGGCCCCACCCTTCTTTTGAGGTCAGTCCATCCCCTCATCGGATGCACCGCCTCGTAGTCACTCACCTAGAATAAACAAAAACACACATGCTTAATCACTTTGAAATCAAAGAAAAAGCACCCCCTTCACAGGTGCAAGTTGACTTTGAAAAAGAAAGAGATGAGAGTTAAATTTCCCAAGCTCGGAGAGTCAAAAGAAAGCTCTTGTGGCGACCTTAATTCACAGCCATGTGCTTGGTTTTGTTTTAGAGGCGCACATACACCAAAGTAGTGGTGATGCCAACCAGCCAACCCGTGTCCTTTGAAACGGAAAAGATTTGTCTACTCCGCGTGTATGCGGTATGTGTTTAAGAGTATTCGCCAAGGAAGGATATGCTCTTGAAGAGTGCTCGGTGTGCAAAACTCTCTCAAGCTTTTTGTCGAGTGCCAGAAGTGAACAAAGGAAAAAGCGCGTGAGCAACTAATTATGCGCCGGGGGCAAGCCGCGTACTCACCTTTTGCAAGAGGTCGCACGGCGATTGCCAGGTGACTCTCTCCAGACGCAAGAAACCGACAGAGAACCACATTGAGAGCAAGTCTCGTAGCGTGGCGTTCAACTGCTGCAAGTCGGCGGTCACTGCTTCGTCCTTGCTCTCTGCCAATGCGTCCTACATAATTAAGAGAAGAATAAAAGTAGTTGCAGAAAAGCACAAAATGAATAAAAAAAAATTTCTTGCACTTGATTTAATTCCAAATGCGTCCAAATGGATTGGAGCACAAAAAACACACCATTCAATCATAATTTAGAGCAGCTGAAATAATTATTTGATTATAAATATCTACAAAGTCAATTTAATTAAAAAAAAAAATAATAATCTGCTTTTACTTTTGATGCCCATTTGAAAAATATAATCAAAATGAATATTTTTTAATAAAAAAGAACTCACCAAGACATCCGTGCGCAAATCGACTAGGAACTTGACACCACCTTCCAGACGGCCCATATGCGTAAAGAGCCAATGGTACCTTGGTGCTAATTGGTCCCGCAGCTTCTCTTGCGCTTTGACAGCTCCTCTGTGGTCACCAGGCTGCAGAATTTTATTAGTTTTTCATAAATTTCAACAATTTATTGCTTTCACGTCCAAACTGAGCAGCGCTTTGGCCGCCTCCTGCAGTCTGGTGTTGTCCACTGAGTAGTCGCAAGCGATCATCTTGAGAAAAGCGTCATGGCTCGGCATGCATTTGTATTCCGCGCACAGCAGCTTCACTTTGGTCTGTGAAAAATAATAATAAAAAGATGAATAAATGCAATGCATAAGGCTAAGGAAATTTTATCACTGTGATCAACTCAATTTTTATTATAATAAATTCTGAAATTATTTCCAGTCTCATTTCATCATTCGGATTGAGAAATTCCTGATAACTTTTTTTCAGTCTGTTGATTGAATACTAAAATAAAAGTCGAGAAATGAATAATTTTTTATTGCTTCGCGTGACCTGTCCTTGCGTCACTCTTTCAATGATCAGTGATCAGGATCTCTCGTCACACCAAACAAAAACTTTGAAAATTCGTTTCATTTATTCTGTATTCACCCTGGACTTCCATGGCTTTTAGCGTAATACAAGCAATCCCATTGCGTATTCCCGCAGGTGTCAGTAACAAATAAAAAAGATGTGCCGGGCACGCACGCAGGACCGACGTTTTTTTCCCTCTCGACGTGTTTCGCACACACGGACGTACGCGGGGTGTCAACCCCCGACGGTCACGAAAGAGCATTAAAATTTTTCTGGGTCGCGGTCCCCGCACTTGAATGAATAATTTACAAGCGGCCGCAAAAATAATTAGCTGCATTAGCCTGATTAAAATTAATTCTGTCCGACACAATAATACGTGCGAGGGCTGGCAGGTAGCGTCTGCCTATCGACCTTCTCTGCGGTCGGCGGCGCCTTCCCAGAGGAGGCGCGCGCTCTGGGCGCACGGTACGGTGGCCGCTCTTGTTTTGCTCACAGTCTATGGCTGGCAAGCGCGAGGGCTTCGTCCTGCAGCATGTGAACCTGCTGCTCGGCGGGTCAGTATATAACACCCACCCTTTCTTTCCCCTTCATAATTTTTCTGATTTTCCATCTGCATTGCATTCTATATTTTAATTTTTATTATTATTCTTTTTAATTCAATTCGTTAATTAATTTTTAAAATTTTTGCATAATTTATTATTATAAAACTAAAATAGAAACACATATCTTTAGCTTTTAATAGGTTTTTAAATTCTTGGTTCATTGGTTGGAATTTTATTTTGGTATATAGCAGGCGAATCTGACCATTCTCTCTCATCACTTTGGGTATAATAATATGGGGCCAATGCGCGCGTTGCCATAGAGACAGTTGCCAAACACGCGATACTGACTTTATTTAGGCTTGCATTTTCTATTCTAGAGTTGTATATAACCATTATGGCAAATGTATGTGCACACGGTTGTACCAAGGCCTATAGCCCGCTGTCAGGGAAGTGCGACCACTTCTAAAAATTGCACGACTTGTTCTGGTCGGTGACCGAGTGAGCGCCGAACATGCACACAAAAATAGTCAGCTGGAAAAACTGTCATGCTCCATAAAACACATTAGATTAACTCCAGTGATTAAATTTATGACGAGAGAACCTTAAAATTTTATTATTTCTGTTGGCCTGTTTTTATTTTTTAACTTTGTGCCCTTACAATACCGATTATGTTAAAAATACCTTTTTAATTCAATTACAGATTTTTCGGCAATGGTGAAAAGAGAATTATCTGAATATGAATGAAAACACTTATTTGCGAATTTATTTTTTTTATCAGATTTTAATCACTCCAGTTAAAATATAGATTTTTATCTCTTTATAATAAAAAATTATCGTTAAAATATTTCTTTCTTTTTTTTAAATTTTCTGCATTTATTAAAGGGCTATGCTAGGAGGGCTGGTGTTGCTGGTGATCATGGCGTGCTGCTGCTGCAGGTACAACACTGTGCGAAAAGACACCCTTAGGACCCAGTCTTCCAGCGCGTACTGGCTCGGAATCGGAATGGAAGAGGACCCGCCCTGCAGCACACCAGCCCAACAGGCAAAAACTCATTTTTATCAATTTGAATCTTTACTAACAATAAATCTAATTTTGGCTCTGAACATATTAATTTCCACGTTGGTAGAATCATTAAAATTGATAAATTGTCTAAATTTAAATTTTTCAAAAATTAAATTTCAAAATTATGCAAGTCAAAATTTTTCAATTTTTTAGCAAGCACCGCCCCCGCCTTACATGCAAGCAGCAATGGAGAAAGAGGAAGACCCGCCGAGCTACGAAAGTGCCGTTCACATGTGAAAAAAAAATTTGCAACCGCATCCATTTGGGTTATTTTCACAATTTTCTCAACACCACTTGCCTTAACTCTTAATTAAATCTTGAACTACCCGCGAGAATGATAAATAACGAGGTGTAATTGTAAAACCAACTAGTTGCATTTTGTAATGAGAGAGGATCAAAAAAGATGAGAAACCTTTGAACTGACGATCTCAATCCGCTGCAGCATATTTGTGAACCACGCGGGAACATTGTGAATTTTAATTAATATAAATGTTCAAAGTAGTGTTGCGACATGATTTTTTATTGTATAAAATATCACATGCAATATATTCCAGGCTAATTAGCAATACATGACATGTAATATTCTAATTGAGAGTTGACGAGAGCGGAGATAATTTGAGTGTAGAAAAAGACGAAATTTGTAAGAAGAGTATACATTAAAAAAAAAAATACAATAACTTGTATAAAAACCTGTATGATAAAGCTTAGTTTTGTGAGAAAAAAAAATTAAAATTACATTTATTATGCGGTTTTATAAACAGTTAATTTTAGATTTTGCAATTATTCGACAAAAATACTTGCAAATATTAAAAACAGACAACATTACTTTTTTTTAAAAATCCTGCTTAATAATAAGATAGAAAAAATGTAAATGCGTGTAAATGTAAATATTGCATTTTTGCATTATTTTCAAGGACGTAATAATTGTATTAAGTCGATGAAATGAAAACTATTTCTACAACTTCAGCAGCTTATAGCAACAATTGATTTTGATTAAATATGAAATACAATTAAAAATGTATGTATATCTAATTAAAGTTTTAAAATGAAAAGGAAAGATTTAAAATTCAAATTAATTTGTGTTTACAACAGAAATTTCAACTTTTCTGCTTCTCAAATTGATACCAAATGCAATCAATTTTGAAAAATTAATTTTACCCTTACAGGCTGTTTAGCCAATAAAAAAAATTGGCCAAACAAAATTCATTCAAGAGGAGGAATATTGTTCTTGCAAATATAATTAACAAAACAAAATGTATAATCCTGAATGAATGGAAAAATATTTTATAATACATCATTGCCTAGCTTTACTTATAATTTTAAATTTTTTCAGTGCTGAAATCTGAAATTAAAATCAAAGAAATATACCTAATTTTATTTATTTTTTTCTTCTTTTAAATGCATAAACAAAAATAACAAAGAAGTTAATATTTTTGGGGACAATTAAATAATTTAATCATGTTTAAGGCAGACTTTTATTTTCAGTCATAGTATGTTTTGTAAATTATTTTATTGAAAAATTTAAAGTGTAGGTAGATAAATATTTATTTTTAAATCAAATTTAAGTGTGTTTTTTAATTTCATTTTAAATTAAAACTTAATCTAAAATTCAAGTCATTAAAAAAAATTATAGCAAAAAATAATAATTAATTTGTAAACTAAGCTTTTTAAAATAATATATTGCAGCTTTGTTATAAAAAAAAATCATTTCACCAATTTTGACAATCATCAAATGTACAAAAAAAAAATCCATGAAAAAATTGGATCGCTGAGCAAACAAAAATCTTAGATTGCCCAAGAGTTTTGGTCTGGCTGCAGTAAAAATAGACCAAACATTACAACTGCAGTGGTGCAATGCACAATTTAATTACCTCGACGATCCAATTGCTGACGGCAGAGTCCCTGAAGGAGAAAATTTCCTTGACCAGGTCGCCCACCCTTTGCTCGTCGTCCGCCTCGTCGAAGGCGCCGAAGGCCCCCGCCAGGGTGGCCCCTGGGGACGTTTCGTCCTCATCGAAGGTAGGCAGGTGGTGCAGCTCGGGGGTGGGCAGCATCGTCGGAGGGGCAACTGCAGCTGCGCGGCGCAGGACTGCGCGCCCCAGCGAAAGCAGCATCTTTTGGGCAGCGGCCAAAAATTCGCACTTGATTGCACCGTCACTCAATTCTTCTCTGACGGAACGTTTGCTCATCAGCTTTTCAGCAGGGTTTCGCGTTTAGAAAGCATTTTCACGGGGAACTCTTTCGTCTCGCTGTTAAATAGGCGGTGGAAAATAGTCCTATAATTGCGGTTGTGCAGTTGCAATTTGATATGGATTATAAATGACGTCGTATTTATTACTGCAAATAAATTAAAATAAAATTAAAACACGGGTCTTGAGAGGAAATGATAATGTAAACCTTCTCTCTTAATTTATCGTGGAGCTGCCAAATTTCTGTGCATAGTGAGAGCAAAATATGAACGTAACTTTAAGAACATTCGACTCGAGCCACTTGACTTTGTTTACATTTCTTTTTGCGTTGCCCCTGCTTTGCAATGCGCAAACTCAAACTTCGGTTTATTTTTTGTGCCAGCAACGCGCTAAGTTGCTGAAATATTTTGGCCCCATAGTTTTTTTTCCGCTTTTTCCTATTTATTTTTACTTTATTATTATTCTATGCGTTAAAATTTATACAGAAATTTTACGAATTTTCAATTGACCAATTGAAAAATTTTGGAAGAGAAACAATGATTGCTGGTCAAAAATGCACCAACAACAAAGAAAAAAGAGATTTTGCTAAAAACTTATGTACTATAATAATAAGATTCAACCTGTCTCTCATTTTCTTTTGAAGAAATTAACAAAACCAAATCATATCCTGAAGGAACAGGCTCAATTTTAATTAAAATTTTAATTGAATTAAAAAATCCTCTGATAATTTTTTTTTTTTTTAGATGGAAAATAAGGTTTTGTTGTGCGATCTTTGTTACTGATAAATCCCGATATATTTTTGAAATATTTTTTCATATTTAATTTTAGAGTTTAAAATTAAAAAAAATCAAAACCAAAATTTGAAGTGAGAGCGATTTCAAAATAAGATTAACTATAAAATTAAATTTACATAATATTTTGTTAATTTATTAGGATTACATGGTTTTCCGCACTAGATTTTTGAATTTGCCTTTACTGCCCTTCATTATTACAATGTAAAAAAGTAAATCTGATTGTTTGTTTGTTTCTGAGGAATGCAATGCTTTTTTTTAGCACTTTTGCGCAATAATGCTTTATGGAGTGTGCTAAAAGTAACTAAAATTTACATTAAATTGTAGATAGCCATAAGAAAATAAAAATAAGAAGCTCTTGCCAGTTATTTTAAATTTTTCTAGACATTCAAAATTCAAATACAACGTTGAATTTAATTTATATTTAATTAAATAATATAATATCAATAAATTTAACTGAAGCAATTATTGGAAAATAGAAAATAATGCGTTCATAAAAAATTAAACAATAAAAAGAATTAAACACCGTGTAAAAAATTGACTATTGTATTCTAAAATTAAATACTAAAAAGAATTAAAAATTAAATACAGAATTATAAATTAATAATGTGTTAAAAAAATTATGTTTAAACTTTTTAATTTAATAAGGACATGAAACGTGATTAGCATTTCTTCCTCGTACTTGTGCATGACCGCTAATTAACACTGATTGTGAGGCACACGAAGCGAGTACACATGGAAAATAATGAAAAAGGGTGATGATGACTGTTCTGTCGCGAGACCACGACGCATGCGGAGTTGAAACTGTTTTCTCCGTCCACGAACCGAGCGCGATCGAGCAGCTGAGAGAGCACTTGGAAACGATTGACTTCGCAGAACGAAATTCGTCAAATAACGCCGATTGTGCAACTTTGGCCGCAGTTGGTTTTTGCGACGCGTTTCTTCGACCGCCGAAGGCTCGCGCCGACCGCCGAGATGGCCCCGACGGCGCCCCAAATCCTCGTCTTCCTGCTTTCCGTCTGCCTGCTCCTGCAAGTTGCTTCCTCAGGTAAGTTGGAAAATCGGCTCAACCTGCGTAATTATCACCTATTTGTTCTTTCTCACAGCGGCCAAGGGTAAAGCATGCCAGTTCGCCGACATCGAGGCGTGCGGAAAAAACGAGATGTGCGTTCAAAGTGTCAACAAGGGTTCGGACGGCGTCTGCCAGTGCATCCCAGGTTACGGCAGGAATCAGGGCGAGTGCGTCGGAGAGCACCCTGTGCCCTCAACCACCCCAGGCTCGTTGCCCACAGCGTCTCCACACACGAATGGACCTGACCGACGTAATTCCATAATAGTTTATCAATGATTTTAGACAGTAAAAACTTGCGATCCAGAGGAAAAACCTTTATTTATTTATGCATGGCGATTTTTTTTAATAAAATTTTTTAAAGTATTACAAACACTTTAAGCTAGGCTTCTTTAAAATTCTCTAGATTTGTTCATTTAATATTTTTAAATAATGTTTTCTCTCTCTCGGTTTCTCGATTTTTTTTTTTAAATTGTGATCTAGCAGAACTAGCAATTTTATACAAAAATATGTCAAATTAAATCCGTCTCAGGTCTTGTGATTACAGATTGTGAGTCAGATTTAAAATCTATGCACTTTGCCTTTATCAGCTTCTACGTTAGTTTTTGTTTACGGCCATTCTTATCAAAACTCGCATTAAAATAAATAATCACAACCACAGTAAATCATCTTACAGTTTTACCATCTTGAAGTTTTTAATTCCTATTTTAATTTATTATCCACCAGGACTTTCTTTTCTTCCCACATAAAAATTGAATAATGTAAACTACTTTTTCTAAGAAATCATCTTTATTAAATAAAACCATACAAAAATCTTTTTAATCACCATGCTAGAAGTAATTTACTTAAATTTCCTCCTCATCCCAGTTTCGTGCAACAACAAGATATGTAATTAATAAATTAATTTTTTTTTTTAACAATTTCAGATGACGCTGTTGTGGGCCACATACTGGTTCCGGTGCTCCTGGTCTTAACCTTGGTAATCGTGCTGGTCTACCTTGGCCACAGGTACAACTGGCCGGCTCGAGCGCGACTCCTTGCTCAAAGAGCGATGGCATCCAGGAGGACCAACGACGTCCTGATCCGAGGGCCGGATGACGACGACGACCCAATAGCGTGAGACAGGTCGGCCCAAAGCTGTGTTTAGAGGGACGCTGTCGAGTGCGACTGCAGCTTGTGGGTGATTCGATTGGCTTTTCGGAGAGTGCGAGGCGGAAAACGAAAGTAGCCACCCTCAATATTTTGTACCAAATGATATGAGAAGAATATTCCATTTTTTGTAAAGAAATCCAATTATATATACATCAAACCAAGTATAGACAAAGACCGAAGAGATAGGTTTAGAGATTGTGACTGGAATCAAAACCAGGCGTGAAAAGAAGGCGAATGTTTTTTTATGAAAAAATAATAATTGATGTTCACGAAGATGTAATATGAAATAATCACCGTTTTAATTCCATCTTTGTTCCCAAGCTGATGCTATGTTGTAAAGGCGCTCGAGAAACACACACTCAGTCATTAATTTAATTTTGTAGCAAACACTGTGATGAAGATAATTATATTTCTGTTACATTGCTTGACTGTTTTAGTTGTAAGTAATAACAAATAAATAAGTACTGTAAAATCAATGCTGTATTGAATATTAAAGAAAAAACGAAATATAAACTCAAGTCGCCGCACTTTTTTTATTTACATGAGGGAATATAACAGTATGCAGCTTTTGTAGTGGTACAAATGATAATGTAATCGCGCAGCTACTGATATTGACCATGCAACAGAAAGACAGTAGTGCTGTGGAATTGGTGCGCGTCGAGCAGTTCTGTTTACTAGAAAGAAAGACACCTTCCAAGGTCAATGACCCGTTTTGTCAAAATTTTATTCTTTTTATGTAAAAAAATCCAAATAGTCAAGAATATTTTCAAGAAAATTATAATTTTAATTTAAATCTGTTATAATATATAGGGTTGCGTGAATTTGTTCAATCCATTCAAATTTATTTCGCGACATAACGCAAAAGGAAAACAGAATGTTATGTGTATATCTTGCAATGCAACATAAAAAGTCAGCCAAACTCCTGGGCATTCAAAAGATGCCGCGCCTCACTGTTGCGTTGCTTGGTGGGAGGGACTTGCAGTCTTTTCAGAGAGTCGAGCGCTCTCATTGGCTAAATTCCTACCCCAAACAATGTGACGTCACGCTGATCAAAATTTAGTGGCAAACATTTATGGCGGATGCCTTAAGATTTCTCTCCACAAATCCGCGATATTCTGGTCCATCAGCAGCAAAATCACAGGTATGGCACTTTCAAAATTCATTTAAATATTGTAAAAATCCGATACCAGTCTTAGTCTGGGCCGGATGATTGCAAAACCGCAAGAAACCTTAGTAGCAAACTAGGCCCCCAGCCAAGTCCGATCATCTGTTTTCATAGCGGGAATTCGCTGAAGAATAAACTTGCCCAAAAAGCCCATTATTTTTATTCCAAAGTCAAAATTGATTTGTGATTCGCATGCCTGACCCGAGTCTGCGCCTATTGAGGGTATAAATAAGTTTTTACGCCCATTTTTTGCTTCAAAATCGGCCGAATTCCGTCCGCCCGTTTCAACGACGAAGCCAAGTCGCTATTCGGCCTAGAAGCGGTTTTTCGCGAAATTCGCCTGCTCCCTTCTTAGTTTCAATCTTCTGTACGCCGAAATCAATTTATTATGAAAATTGGCCGAAATTCGGCATAACCAAGGCATTTGTTATTACGATCATATGATCGGCCCCCTGGCTCGTTTTTCCGCTTCTCGGGCTTTCGCACAGCCGCACGAGTCACTTTCGCTAATAAATATCGCGCTCAGCTCTCTCGCCGAATCGCGTCGGGCCGAATTTTGCACTAATTAAAAGTTGGCGATAATGGAAACCATTCTTTCGTCGTATGCACTTATATGTATATAAAAATACATACACAAAAATATATAAACGCGAGTAGAAAGACACACACTTTTGAGGGGAAACGGCACCTCGGAGGGGAACTTTTTATTTTTTCCTCCGCCGCTTGAGCTGTGGATGAGTCGATTTTTGATCAAGGGGTGTCCCGCACTACCATATCAACCCATCACTTTTTCGGCACGAATCCGTTCGGCCGACCGCCGAACTTGGTGGCGCCGCGTCAACTGACCTTGGAACGACCTGTCAGAGCCGGAGTTTGGGCCGGGGTTGCGATTTCTGGCCCGGGGGGCCCGCTCGGAGACACTGCGTTTGGGGGAGTCCATTTTGCTGGCTGGTGCTGCTGCATGGAATGAACCGACCCGTGCGCCCCCCTCCGTCCTCCTGCTGGCAATAGGCAGCAAGCAGCAGCAGAGTGCGAGCGAGCCATGTTCCTATCACCTGCTGTCACAGTGGAAATTTCAGTTCGGGTGCAGCGATTGCCAGTGTTTTTCAATTATTTCACCTGGTCTCACTCCAATTTCACATAGAGCTCGATCAGGTGAGTGTTTTAGCCCAAAACTCGGCCGCCCCGAGCCGTTTCCTGCCCCACATTTCACAACGCATGCAAATGCTCAGGCGTTCGAGGCCCACTTTCTTTCACTTGCTCGGCCGATTTTCCGTCCTCCTGCTACGCACTTGGCCACCCCAAACGGTTCCCTCCGCACTTCCGCTTGATCCTCACTGGAATTTGGCGCAAACCTGATATTTGGAAATTTTCCCGGAAAATTCTGTTGGCCCGAAAAGTGGGCGTTTTGGATCTGAAATTTGGCCAGTTTCGGGATTCGGGACGCCCAGTATTGTAAAAGGGCAATTTTTTGCTCTTGAATGTGTTAAAGGTCATCCACAAGCAAAGCGTGATGCCGTGGTAATCACACTTGGGAGCTGTTGCTTTAGAAATGCGTTGCATCACTTGGGGGTTTTTCGAGGAAAATAAAATAATAGTAAATGGAAAAGTTTGCATTTCCCCCCGAGAAGTACAAAACATCGGAATTTTCACGATTTTACGGTATTTTTCTTTCCCACAAATTTATTTTTTTTCTCTGCAGGTTATTTATTCGCAAGTGTGCTGAGGTGACCGTAGCTATTGGGACGCTTTCTTTATTACTTTTGACTTGACGGGCCCTGTGCTTGGGACTCTGGCGGCCGCGGCCCCCCTTCCGCCCAACGACCTCCTCTGCCTTGACTGGCCATTTTGGAGCAGACCGGGTTGCCCCCTTGAATGCCCCCTTCACCTATATGAGTGTCCAGCATCCCTTTCGCGGCGCCCCGACCGCCTGAAAAGCATTCCCTGCTGTTTTTCTCGAAAGTTAATCGGGGGGCCAGGGTTCGGGTTGTGTTTACCCCCGGAACGCGGTCGTCTGGTGCGTAAGGTCGAGTTTCCAGTGCTCCGACTGGGAGCCGCCGCCGCGCCAACGGTGTTGATCCGACGGACGAGAGTTGGTCGGGCCGAGCGAGATGACATTGGCATGCGCGCACCGCGGCTATCGATTGAGTCGCCGAGTAGGCGTACGTACTTTGAGGCAGCGTTGCCATGCACCGTTTTCTCTCTCCGCGGTGTGCACTAGAAATAATTTCGCGCACTCCGTTTGGAGAACGGCCAGCCAGAGCGATCGAGGGGGCACCGAGCGCCGGCGGGGGCCCCTCGGGCCCGACCCACTGCACACGCTCCCTCCCGCGTTTTATTTCGGTCGGTTAATCCGTCCGCTCGCTCTGGCGAAATAAATGAATGTTTGGCTCGCAACTTTCTTCCAATTACGCTGATGGAGAAGAAGAAGAAGTTGTGCCTGCCGAGTGAAATCTCTTCGGGGGAGGGGTCGCCTGCCTGCCGCCGCGGCTTTGTTGCTCTCGGCGATTTACACACACAGGACGCGAGAGGCAGCAACTGCCTGTTTATTGTCCACTCGCCGCGCGGAATTAATGCCGCTGACACGTACCTGCGCAAAAAAATAATGGTCTCGCGAAATTGAACGGAGCGACTCGATTGATTCTCAACTAGAATTTGCTCGCCAATTCAAACTACATTCAAATCTGCTACCTTATTTGCAAAATTCTGGCCTACATGACAATGATAAGACGTAGATTGTTTCAAAAGATGCATGAATATCCGGAGATATAGCTTCTTGTCACCTTAAATCTTTGTTTGGGCAAACGCGTAGGTTATCGAGTTCACATTTAAAACACTATGAATAATGATTAGCAAATTGAAGTTGGCTTGGAAAAGAAAACATTGAAAAGCTTTTTGATACAAATAATTATGAAATTAAGTTGATAACAATAATTAATTTCTCTCTTGCAAGAGAAAAAATGCCATTATTTCATCTATCTTTATTTTAATCATTTTTATGGCAATTGAATATTTCTAAATATATTTAATATATAATTTTCGTTCTCTGCACATAACTAATTGTGTTCCTAATTTCAGATTCCCAGATGTAATTTGCGATGAAACGACGTGCTGACGAGCTTTTAGTAGGAGTGAAGTCAGAGCCCAGCAGCGTCGTTCCGCCAGCAGCAGCTTCCGCCCTCGGCCCTGGCGTCTGCCCACCTGGGGTAAGAGGTCCCTCAGGGCTAGGTGCAGTTCCTCCACCACACACGGTGGTGTTGAGTAGACAGTCGCCAGCCCCCCAGCAAATTACTCCCCAGCTGCAGCAACACTTGCTCTCAATTCCCGCCAGCTCCCAGTGTGTGCTCACCACCAACTCAATCGCAGGTTTGCTTTTTTGCTTTGCCAAGCCCATGCCTTACCTGCTAACCGTGTGCTGTAATTAGGCCCACCAGGACCCACTGTAGTCCAAGCTTACAGGACCAGTTCGCCAGTCATAAGCAAGAGCGACGCCGCGCCACCCACAATGCCAGGCAGCATCCAGTTCCCAGTGCAGAATTACCCCAACCCTGTGCCTTCTGCTGCGCCAAAGGTATTTTTCTGCTTTCACACCTATCTCTCTCTCTCTTTTGTTACCGCACCACCCTGCCCAAACTCCCTTGAATTAATTTGCCGAGGCCTTCTGTAATTATAATTTATCAGTAGCGTCTAAGCTTGCTTAACTGAATCTACTAATTACGTTACGCAGTAGCTGCATGTCTTATTGTGAACCAACAGGGATCTCGATCACACTCATTTGAAAAAAGCTCAAATCACTTTGTGCTCAAACTCTTATCACCGAGCGGTTTTGAGGTTGGGAGTCACGGCCTTTCGTAGGGTCGGCAATTTCAATTAAACAAGCACATCTAAGAAAGTTAACATTTAGCATATCAAATCCAAGCTGAATTTTTGATTTTCAAGTAGAGGAAAATAAAATTATTGCTTATTTAATTTCGAAATATTTTAAGTTTTATAATTTGTTAACAAAATAATGCAATTTCTGAACTTACGTCACTAACAAATTAATTTTGCAATTCAATGCTGTAATTTTAATAATTGAAGTTCATGCTAATTGCAGCTTTGTTTGAAAAAAAAATTATTTTTATACCCGAGAGTGATCAAACCCTTTTGGTCCAGTTAGAGCCGCTTGCTTTTCTCTGTGCACGAGGTTTCTTACCTCATCTTGAACTGTGCAGGGTTCTGCTGCGGCTGGCGCTCCAGCCCCCGTAGCTGGTAGCTCCGCAGTCATATCTCGTAATCTCGGGGCTAGCCGACCGCCCAACAAAGTTCCGAGGCCCAGTATGTCGCGCCCCCTTCCTCCCTCTAGAAGTGGCTCAATCGATGGGGCTTCTCCTCAGGTTCCAGTCATGCCTCCAACGCAGCCCAGCAGCAACCTTTCTTCAGCTCAGCAGAGCCAGCAGCAATTTCAGCGCCTCAAAGTCGAGGATGCTCTCTCGTACCTGGATCAGGTCAAGTTCAAATTCGGCACTCAGCCGCAAGTGTACAACGATTTTCTGGACATAATGAAGGAGTTCAAGTCACAGAGGTGAGTTTGGTTAAATAGAGCTTGGCCGTGGCGTGAGTGCTTACCCTGCCGGCTTTCTTGCAGCATTGACACTCCCGGTGTGATCGCAAGAGTTTCAAACCTCTTCAAGGGTCACCCTGAGTTGATAGTTGGTTTCAACACGTTCCTTCCTCCTGGGTACAAAATAGAAGTGCAAGCAAACGACCAGGTGTGTATTTGTCCCACTCCTCGGCTTAATACCCCTTAAATCGCTAGTCACAATATTATAGTATAATCCCCACACGAACTTGTAGAATTGGCATTCTAATCAAAGCTTTGCAGGGCTATGCATTTCAGGTGTCTGTGAGCATGCCGAGTCCAACAAACACAAACAGCGTGGGCACCATAACGCAGCACCACACGCTGCCTATATCAACGTCGACAACCACCCAGGTGATTACCACAACCATCGTGCCAATCGCCTCCACTACCACGCCGACATCAGTTGTCACTCAGCAACCAGCAACACCCCCAGCACCAAGTGTTCCATCTAAGCCTCTCACCGTGGCAAGGTAAATATCAAATTAATGTTGATCCCGTTATTAATTTTGTAAACATAAGTTCAGAAGAAGAGTAGATCAGTTTAATATGCTCAAAATAATACTTGAGATCTCATGAATGCAGTGATTCAAAGTGCTAACATACTGTTATTTTTTCAAATGCAGCAGTGCACCTATTGGGTTAGCTGCAGTTCACCATGCCGCCACCTCTCTCCATGGCTATTCTACAGGAATGCCTCCCTCGAGCTCCCCTCACCACCCCCAAAGTGGCTCTCAGCCACCTTCGATACCACTGAACTCGGCACCTGCTGTAGGAGGTGGACCCTCATTATTGGGCCACGCAGGTGCCATGCTGGCAGAAACTATGCAGCCAACGCCGCAGAGCCAGCCTGTTGACTTCTCGCATGCAATTAACTATGTTAACAAAATCAAAGTAAGTTTATCAACAATTTGCAGCATAATTGTTGGTGCTCACACGCTTAAAATTATTCCAGCATCGATTCCAAGGCCAGCCAGACAAGTACAAAAGTTTTCTGGACATCCTTCATGCATATCAGAAGGAGCAACGCAATGTAAAGGAGGGCTTAGCCACTCCTGGGAAGCACCTGACCGAGGCTGAAGTATATGCCCAAGTGGCAAAGCTGTTTGAAAATCAAGAAGATTTGGTTCAAGAATTTGGCCAATTCCTACCCGACGCAACAAGTCACCAAGCAGCACTGGTAAGTGTTGTGCATACCACTTGTTTTGTTCTCTCTTTGCTTAGCATGTTGGTTGGATTATTTGTAAAACAACACCTTTATTTTTGCCAGATGGGAGCATTGCAGGGCAGTAAAGGGCTCAGCAATGACCATTCATCAAACAAAAAGCCATTGGGCTTGAAGCCAAGTTTCAATAATGCAAATGCTGGGCTGTCCAATCTGAGTATGGGCTCGAGTGCCATGAGCGCCAGCAGCAAGTTTGGTCAAGTGAAGAGATCCTCTCCATTCTCTTCATCAGGCCAGCCAATGAAGAAGGCTAAAGTGTCTGCTTGTCTTCGGGACGTAACTCTAGCTGAGGCAGGAAAACTAGGCAACTTGACCGATTATGCCTTTTTTGATAAGGTTTGTTTGGTGCAAATTTTTTAGCTTCATCCTAATCAATTCATTTTCAGGTCCGGAAGGCACTAAAGAACCCGGAAATTTATGAAAATTTCCTACGTTGCTTGGTTCTGTTTAACCAAGAAATTGTTTCTGGTACCGAGCTTGTACAACTTGTTACTCCGTTCCTCAGCCGTTTCCCAGAGCTTTTAAAGTGGTTTAAAGAGTTCCTTGGCCACAATGAAACGATGGTTGGGAGTTCAACATACCAGAGCTTGCATTGCTCCTCTGTTGATTCCACAAATAGCTCAAATCGTCAGGACAGAGCAACAGGAGAACTTGCCATGGAAATAGGTAAGCGCCATTGCACGATTGATAGGGGTTATAATTTGGCAGATAAGAAAGCTGAGGGCTATTTCATAGTAGCTCTTGGAGAGCATTTCTGCAAAATCAAAAGCTTGTTTAGCAGGTAAATCTTACTTGCTCTAGTAAAGGTTTGTAGTCAAAAATCAGGCAACAGATAAATTCAAAAGACAGTTTAATTTTGCATTGACGTGCTAGACACAATTTCTGCATCATAGAATTGTTTTTTTTTTTTTTTTTACAGATTATTCTACGTGCAAACGCTTGGGCGCTAGCTACTGTGCTCTTCCAAAGAATTATGCTCACAGCAAGTGCTCTGGCCGCACTGCTCTCTGCAAGGAAGTCCTCAACGACACATGGGTATCTTTCCCAACATGGTCTTCAGAGGACTCAACCTTTGTTACTTCTCGCAAGACCCAGTTTGAGGAGTCCATCTACCGTTGTGAAGATGAGCGCTTTGAGCTGGACGTGGTTCTGGAAACCAACGCAGCAACAATCAGAGTGTTGGAGGGGGTGTTTAAGAAGATGACTCGCATGCAACCTGATGAAGTGGCAAAGTTCCACCTAGACGATTGTCTCGGGGGAACATCAGCCACCATCCACCAACGCGCCATCCGCAGGATTTATGGAGACAAGGCGCCAGACATAATCATGGGTTTGAAAAAGAATCCAAGTGCAGCAGTACCTGTCGTGTTGAGGCGGCTCAAAGCCAAGGAGGAGGAGTGGCGTGAGGCGCAAAAAGGCTTCAATAAAATTTGGAGAGACCAAAATGAAAAATACTATTTAAAATCGCTGGACCACCAAGGCATCAACTTCAAGCAAAATGATCTAAAGACCTTGCGCTCCAAGGCCCTTTTCAACGAGATTGAGACTTTGTACGACGAGAGACATGAACAGGCTGAAGATGGCAATAATGAGCAAGTCACTGGGCCACACATGGTGCTTCGCTACAGGGACAAGACTATTCTTGATGACGCTGCCAATTTGCTCATACACCACGTCAAACGCCAAACTGGCATCCACAAGGATGACAAGCAGACAATCAAGCAGCTGCTGAAGCAATTCCTTCCCGATATATTCTTCCATCATAGGCAAGAGTTAAGTGATGACGAACGTGATGATGATGCGTCAGATAAAGAGGATTCTGAGGGCTCTCCAAGCAACAAGAAGGTCAGGGTCGACAAAAAAGAACCAGAAAAGAAGAACGGCAATGGAGACAATGCCAAAATAGAAGTCAAGGAGAAGCCTAGTACAACAACCAATAGCTCAGAAGAAGTCAAGGTTAAAGAAGATTTGGCCACTCCAGCCCATGCTATCTCTGCTGAGCCGGTCAGTATAATTTAGTTTTTTTTTTATTATCATTCGAAACATTTATTTGCTCCATTTAAAAATATAAATTTTGAAAAGATAAAAATCATAAAATAATTAGCAATGTTTAAGTTAGTTTCTATAACGTTTAAATTTTTAGGATGAGCATTACTCACTGTTCATGACCTGTAACACCTGGTACTGCTTTTTGCGGCTACACCAAATCTTATGTGAGCGGCTTACTCGCATGTATGAGTGTGCGCAAAAGTTAGTGGCCGAAGAAGCCTTTAATAAAAGTGACAGGAAGGAGTCTACAGCAATTGCCTTGAGGCTGAAGCCAAAGAGTGAGTATTCTTTAATTTTATGTTTTGATACGCATTTTGCACATATGTTCAGAATGGGAAACGGAACTAATATGCCGTCTCCCTAAACCATGGTGTGCAAAATAAACTTTGCGGAAACAGTAAGCTGCGATATTTTGGTCTCGGCTTTAAGACAACTGCCACACATAAGCCTGATCATTTAAATAGTGGACAGGATGCACGCCAAAGTTAACCTTAGTGGTGCATATTACAGGTGACATTGATGTGGAAGACTACTATCCTGCATTCCTCGACATGGTTAAGAATGTCCTTGACGGCAACATGGACACCAATGCTTTTGAAGACACCCTGAGAGAGATGTTTGGCATCCATGCCTACATTGCATTCACCTTGGACAAGGTCGTTGCAAATGCTGTGAGACAGGTAGGAATTTAGCAAGAAAAAATCTGTTGCAAAGTTGCTTATTCTTCTTTGAACTTGCAGCTGCAACAGTTAGTGGTGGATGACAGTTCTCAGGAGTGTCTTGATATGTTCAACGACGAGAAAAAGAAAGGTGCGACGGGTGGTTTGTGTTCTAAGGCAGCTCAGAATGCAATTTTGGAAATGGCATATCAAAAAAGAGCAGAACAAGCTCTTTCAGAAGAGAACTGCTATAAAATTTACATAGTAAGTGATTTTGCAAATGCAACAGTGTTGAATTAATGTAAATAATTACAGTATAAGAAAGATTGTCGGATGACAATAGAACTCCTCGATACCGACGGAGAGGAACAGGAGGCACCAGCGGAAGCAGAAAAACGAGAGGAATACGCTGACAAATACGTTGGGGAAATGGACAGCATTCCAGAAGAAATTAAGGAGAGACTGTCTCGAAAGCCAGTCTTCTTGCCAAGATGTGTAAGAAATTACATGGATAGGAGCAAACAGTTCCAGAACCAGGAGAGAAGCAGCACCGCTGTGAGCACCAGTGGTAACAACTCGCCGTCCAGTTCTAATGAGCCAAAGGAAGCTGAGGCAAAGAGGTAAATAACATTAATCATAGACATCCATAGATATTTAACAAATTTTCTTTTTTTTTTAGTGATGAAGAAAAGAAGAAAGAGGGAGGAAAAGTTCGGGCTGATTCACCGCAATCGGGCAGCATTGATAGCAACGAATGCAGATTTAATCTCAATAATTATGCAAGGATATTTTTTATGGACAAAGATGCTCTTCTCGTAAAAAAGAATGCCCTCCTAAATGCAAGAGAGGTAAGCAATTGAACATAATTCTAAAACCTTCTTTGTTTCAACAATCTTTTTTGCTTAATTTTGACATTGTATTTCCTATTTACAGGCTCATCCTAAAGTCACAAAAAAGCTTTTGAAGAAATTCCGGAGCTGGCATGAGAAGTGGGCGAGTGCGCATGTCAGCGAGGACCAGCAGAAGTCTACAAAGGATTGGCTAATGGGCCTCGGGGAGAACATGGTGCAAAACCGGACACGCGTCCTCACAGACAACGATTTGTCAAAGACACCTTATATCCCCTACAATAGGTACCGAGTGGAGTTGGAGTCTGTGGTCTCTGCCGTACCTGCGGCTGCCCCTGCAACGGCAACAACCACCACTAACGGACCACCACCCTCTCCATAAAAAGAACTAGTAGTTGTGCTCAAGCATTTAAAACACTGCACAAGCAGATCTCCTGTGTATAGTGTAATTGTGTGTACATTTGTATTTTTATACCTCAAATCGTTGAGCATTTGCATGCACACCAAAGCAAGGACTTATTTTGGAAAGAAAAACATATTTGGTTTTGTATCCACAAGATGCATGCAAGTTCTCAGGAAACGAGAGGACTTCTCAAAGTAAGAGATGTAAATAAGAAATTAAGATGGAAAGAATTGAAAAAAAATGACAAGCAATTTTACAAAGAATTAAAAATCTTAAAAATTACTAGTGCTTTGTTTAATTTCCGAAAAATTGAAACCGATATTTAAATTTATTAATCATCAACTTCAGTCAGAATAGTGGCATCTTGAGGGTTGATCAATATAGTCTCTTCAAATTGAGCCGTCCTAGCATGGTCAAGGGTCACTGCTGTCCAGCCGTCTTCTAGAATAACCACTTCTCTCGTACCCTGGGTAATAATTGGCTCAATGGTAAAAATCATTCCTGTTCTCATGAAGCCACTAAAAGAATTTTCTAAGCAAATAAAAAAAATTACTATAATTAAATTGCTTTGAGCAGGATTTATGTTTACGGCAATGATAGATGTCAGGTGGTCCGTGAAAATAGGTGCCAATTCCATGGCCTGCAAAAGCTGGTACTACATCATACCCATGACTTTTGGCTACAGTTTCAACAATTCTTCCTAGAAAATACATTAGTAATGTTATAAATTAGCTATGTTAATTTTCTCTTACCAATATTTGTAAATGTTTCATAATTTTTACAGCCCTTAATTGCTTCGTACAAGCATTTCCGTGTTACCTCCACCAATTCTCTGCCCTGATTGTCAACATTACCTATCAAAAATGTTTCAGAACAATCTCCATGATATCCATTGAAGTATACCTAGGCAAAATTATAGTATTAAAAGTTGAATGTATTTTGATAGGAAATTTTCCATACAGTAATATCGACGTTGATAATGTCTCCGTCTTCAAGTTGCCTATCATCAGGTATTCCATGACAGGCAACATTGTTGATCGAAGTGCAGACAGATTTAGGGAAGCCCATATAGTTTAAGGGTGAAGGGTAAGCTTCGTTGGCAATGATTTTTTCATGAACCAGTCTATCAATTTCGTCTGTGGTCATTCCAACCTTCAAAAAAGAAAATGACAGGGTTACAATGCAAGTCATCAGAAATTTTATTTTAAGTTCAAAACCTTTAGTTTTGTTCCAATCCAATTTAGCACTCGTCTGGCTAATTTACAAGCCACATCTGCTCTAGCAATTGAATCGTCGTCATGAAGTTGAATCTCTTTAGGTGGAGGTGGAGGCTGCATTGACTCAGCGTACGGAGGTTTCAAGATGTGATCTGGCACTGAACGTTTTGCAGACACTGAGCCTGGAGCCACTATGCTGTACTTGCCAAAGTCTTTTCTGGGGGTTCAAAGTTCAAAATTGTAATTTTTTTAATTATTTTTAATATCAAACTTACGGGGTTCTTGCCTTGCCCTTAAATAAATCAAACAGAGCAGCCGGTTTTGTGGTGCTAAAACTACAAGCAGAAGTGCCAGTTCCTATTCCGACCAAAGTGGGATAGAATTTTCTGGATATTGCTGAGCTTACGAAGAAATACTTGTGCAAGATCATTTTTAGGAAACACCGAAGTCAATGGAAAATCAGAAAATTTGAGACAAAATTGGGAGAAGCACAAAGAATAGGGCAAAAATAGATTTCGGGCAATCTGTGAGCCTGCAGTGTTTTCTTTTTTGAAGTTAGCGCCACACGTATTGACCTGATTTTTGACCAATCACGTGTAGAGACTGTAGAGGAGCCCCCGCCAAATGGGAATGCACGACTCTCGCCAATCGCTTTTTGTCGGCTTTTGTTTGGCTCAAAAAGAACAAGGTAGAACACGACGTCTCCCGAGTGATATTCGTGAGCGGGGACCTCATTATCGCTTTGTTATTGCTCATTGTAGCACCATTTGACGTTGACCTTGATCATAAGAATAACATTACAAGGTCATGCAATGCTGATCGCTAATAATGAAGTTCCTGCCTTGGTTCCTGCGGCCGGAAAGCTGGCTTGTAGCCAGAGATAAAGGAGAATAGCGCGGCTTGTAGCCTTTTGTTCTTGTAGGTTTCAAGTTGGTTTACTTCTTGCACTTGGTTTTGTTTGGCTTTAGTTGCCGATGTCAACCCTCCCCTCCTTTCTCCTCCTGTTCCTGCTGATACTCCTTCTTCCTTTTAGAAATAAAAAACAAACGAGACAAACAAGCGGATAATATCCCTTATCCCTTTGCTCATGCTCGTCGTTTTCGCATGCCATTTTCATTGCCGGTCTTAGTGCGCTATCAAGAAGATTTTAATTAGATTAACATAAGTATTTTATGGTGAAGCCAATAGAGGATCTGGAAATGCCTGTCCCGTGCGAGGCAATGATGGATTCGCACACTCACTTTGAAAAATTCTTCCGAAGCTTCTCTGCTGGAAAATTTGGTATATATATTTTTTATTCAAACAGTTTGCACATTTTTCATTTTTATTTTCAGGTTAATATCAAATTTCAATTCCAGGTACATTCGATGGCAACATCCAAGTTTCTACTCTTCCCCACAGCAGAAACTTCATGGAGGGGCTCGCTTTCGGCTCGGATAGATTCCTGTTGCAAATTCCTTATGCTGGTGACTGTTTGGAATGGCACGTCCTATTTGACAATCAAGAGCCCGAGTCTCCACCTCAGTTCATTTTCAACAGAGTACGTCTGGACATTAAAATGAACAAAATCATGTAAATAATGTATTTTGAATCATTCAGAGCTCAGATGATAGATATGAGAGATTGGACTCTGGATTCTTGGAGGATTTCAGCGTTGATCAGTTGGAAGAAATACTTCCAAGCCTGGCCAATTGGGACTCTGACAATGAAGATGCATTGGCTGAAGTTATCCAAGAACTTCTGATAGCCTTCAGGAGATATCAAGTAAAAATAGTTCATTTGATTCGGTACAAAATCCTATAATTTTAACTAAAAATTTTCCTTTTCGCAGTTGGAGAAATTGGAAGAAATTAGTGGTGATTTGCTGAGCGTGCAGTTCAAAATTCGCCAACTTCTGGAGGCCCAGAATATTTCTGAGGATGATCTGGAGCTACTCGTCAGAAGTGATGATGTCACATTGCTCGTCCGCTTGGCTGTGGACATTTCCAAGGTGCCTGAACTTCTGCTGCCACCAATAGAACGAGGACGCCTGGAAATTCTGGCCAGCGTTTTGCTCACTCTTGGCAACAACGGCCAATCCTCCAAGTTGAATTTGTCACCCAGGATGCTGCTCATTTTGGGCAACTCTGATAGGGACCTCAAAGTCCTCTTCAACTCCAGGACAAATCTTTCCAATTATGTTGATGCCATGAGAAAAGCTCTCAACGAAAAAGTCAAAATGGTTTGTCTAGCATAAATTTTTAATTTCATTTTTTCAAATTTGTTATTATTGATGCAGATTGTTGGAGGAGTGAACCACCGGAAGAATTTCCTGACAGCCTTAGTGGTTTTGATGGGTAGAGCTCTGGTCGAACATGATACTAAGAAGTACACCAAGAGCACTTTCCTCTTAGAGTGGAACAACTTCTACTTCTTAGTGCATTGCTGCTTGCCACCTTCTTTCCCAGACAGACAGCCTATTTACTTGTTCCAATCTATTTACCATAATGTTAAGCAAAGGCCTTTTACCTCCAAGTGCAGTGACTACCCTTATGACCCTAATTGGTCTTACACTGAAATGGCAGAAAAAGCCCAATCCTTCATCTTAGAATATGTCAAAAACTTCCAAAAAGATTCCGTTCGCGCTTCCTAATTAAGCCAAATGCACTTGCGAGTAAAAGGGTCTAAGTTTGAATGCCTCTTGCCTAAATAAGATGTTGCAATTTTTTGTTCACTGAAATTTAAAGGTTGTTATCTATGAGCAATAAATATAAAGAAGATATTGTTTCGAAAGTGTTGTCATTAATTTATTACGAGAATATATACAAGCAGCCAAGCGCTCCGGTCTGGTAAACTTCGGGGCTCAACGCTCAGCAGAAAATAACGCCACAATATAAAGTTACTTAAACACTTTAGTTACGATGCTATAGTTGTGCAAAATACAATGGTACGCACGGATTGCCGAGTGGAATGAGCTCTTACATTTAAACCTCAATATTTACATTTTAGCCTGATTCTTTAAATACAATACTATCCTATGGCAATAATAATTTAATTAAGCTAACAGTTGAAGGTAATTAATTTCACTCCATGAGCAGCTGTCTGGCAATATTAAGTTCACTTAGGGCACACGCAAAAAATGTGTCCACACTGCAATTAAACTTCATTTAAGGGCCCAGTACAGTTTTAGGTAGGTTTGGTGCAGATGCTGCAGGGTAGCCAAGCTAAGCATGGCTTTCCTCCTGAGCATCTGTTGGCAGATCTCAGCAAACCTCGTCAACTTCCTCCTTCATGTGGTCTTGGTCGATAGTTTTCAGGTACTCGATCAGTCTCTCGGTGTCAAGTATGCTGCGACTCTTGCTGACAGTCTGGAAATTTCAAATATCAACTGAGAGTCATCCGAAAGTTGCATCAAAACTTACTGATATAGTCAAGACCATAAAGTTGACAAATTTCTTCAGAACTTTAAGCATGGACTGGAAGTTTTTCTCTGGAAGCTTTTCGCGGACAAGGAACTCGTAGTTCTGTAAAACAAATAAAAATTTGTTCCCCACAATTTAAATTTACAGGTATACCTTATTGTCCATAACAAGATAAGCAACAAGCATGGAAATGTATGCCTGAATCAAGTTGCATTCCATATTCTTGCCAGCCTTTTGGAGTACTGTTTAAGTTTACAATTTTAATATTTTCGTTGATTATACATTTAAAGTTAAGAGTTACGTTTTTCAACAATGTCGTTGAAGATTTCATCAGGAGTTTTGGAAGCTTGTTCTTCTTTCGGAATGATTTCTTCCTTTTTGGAATCAAGAATTGCATCTGTGTTGCCCTCCTCAATCTTAGCAATGGCTTCATTTTTCATAAATAGCTCGATCATAGCATCAATTGCAGTTTGGGGTGCTGGTATTAAAAGTAAAAATTAAATTTGTTAATTAAAAAAAAAAAAAAATAATAATAATAATGATGCTTACGCAAATAAGGTTTTTCAAAGTCTGGTGGAGTCACAGCATTCATGATTAAATCTCTGTTAGAAATGGGTGCTTCTGCAAGATTTATAAGTAGACAGAGACCCTGAAAACAAAAGTTTTGAAATTTTTCCGCTTGAATTTGCTCAACAATAGAACGTACAACGACCATGATGTCAAATTGCTTCTCTTCAGGATAATAGTGTGGTAGTCTCAACACCAGAGTCAGACACATGTCTACAATGCTTGGCTGCTCTCCAAGCATTTCACTGCCAAGAGCTGAAAGACAAGAGTGTTGAAGATATTCAACCCTTCCAATTTAGGCGTACCTTTGCCGTCAGAATTGTGAGTGAGATCAACTAAGAATTTTGTAGTGGAGAGCAGAGTTTCCCGGACGCTGGTCGAGAGGCTCTCCTTGTCTGTCGAAATGGGACACAATGGAATCTCGCACAGACACAGGTTCAGCAGTTGAAGCATCATAGGAATTATCTGGCCACCCTCATACGTGAGAAGATACAACTGGTTCTCGAGGTTCTTGCTCGTAAGCTGAGTTTAAAAAAATCAAAATATTGCAAATAAATTTTACTATACATTACATTGAACAAGACCCTGAGGCATCGGTCAACCTTCTTCATCTTGGCCAAGTCGACCTCATTCCAAATGGTTGGCTGCCTATTGGAGAGAGCGCGACAACACTCAGAAACAGTCTTGACAATGTGCTCGAGTCCCCCGAGCTGCCGCAGTTCTTCCTTGAACCACTCTCCAGCCCTTCTGGAGGTCAAACTCAACAAAGACTCCATGGCCAAATTCCCAACCTAATTTAATTTCAAAATTAGAATTTAAAAAATTAGAGTTTTATTTTAAAGGTACAGTTATGTTGTCCAAGTTGAGGTGCTTGGCATGGCCCTTGCTTTTGATTTCAGCGCAAACCTCTCTGACTTTCTGTTTGTTTTTCTCCAGCTGAGAGCAACTTATACCCTGCTGGACTAAAGTGTCCAAGGCATTTGTGTGGCTGGCGTCCGTGTCCAGGAGGTTTAGCATTAACTCGAGACTGGCCCTATCCAAGTCCATGTTAAGTTGGTCCTGACTCATTACAAACATGACCGTTGCGGTGCACAAGGCCAGACTCTGCAGCAAATTTAAGTTAAAAATTGAAAATAAAAAATTGAAATTCAAACTGACCGGGTCGTGGGTTGCATCTTGGAGGGCACTGAAAAACTTGGCCACTATGCCATGAGCTCGGACGTGCATACGGAAGGCGGGAACCATGCACTTGGAAGCGAGTGAGATTGCCGACAGACATCGCGTCGCTATAGGGTTATTCGCGCCCAGTGTGTCAAGAATGTAGTCAACATCGTCATTGAAAACATAAAATTCGCCAGTCTCTTGGATTTGGTGAGCATTTTTTACATCACGAACAACAGTGAAGTACTGAAAAAATTATGAAAAGAAAAAAAGTCAACATAATTCTTAAAGGGTTATAATTCTAAGCATTTAGCTCAGTTTGTTACAAACATAACGGCAAATTGTTCAATGAAATGTGTCAAGAGGTGGTTCAAATTGGGCATCAAGCCAACGTCTAATATAGTGATGTGATAAAAAGTCACCCCATTTGGAACAAGCTTAATAATAAAATTGAAGAATTTTAAACCAGAATAATTTTAATTTCATAATAAATAAATATTATTAAATCATAATTTTTTACTATTTAAAACATACATCAATCCAACTTGTTATAATTTTTGGATGGATCAAAGAGTAAAACCTAATTTTGACTTAGACCAGAGACTGACTATTTGAAGAGATAATCGTCACTCCCAGTCACTCCATAAGTCAATAAAGATAGTAAGATTATTCTGATTACAAGTATGACTGAATAAATGAATAAAATCATCATGTGCAACTTATATTAACATATATTCTCAAAAATAATGAACTCCTGAATCATATCTTTGGCTTCTGTTTTTATCCATAAATTTTAATATTCATTTCTTTGTTTGAAAAAAAAAAATTGATAAATACCTTTCTGGCCGCTTTGTTGCACATGACGCCAGTGACATCATCCCCATCACCAGACGGGTCGTCATCAGTGGCAGCTCGTTTGACTCTCGTCAGAACAGGCGGTTCAGCAAAATCCTCGTCAAACACGGATGCGTCAAGTTTGGTTTCAGCGGCTGCTTTGGAAGAGGCGGCGGCTAAAGCTGCCTTTTCCTTCTCCTCCTTGTCGTCGCTCCACTTGTGCTTGTAAAGAGCCAATCTCTTCTTTGGTCCACCAGTCAGGAGTCGCCTGCTCTTAAAAATACTGCCCTTCTTTTCAGCGTTCGACACGTCAGGCTGAGAGAGACTCTCATGGATGACGTCTTGAGAACACTGTTCTGGCTGCACAAAGGGAATATCTGAAGGATGGATAGGCTCCGCCTCGACCTGAGGAAGCACTTCTTGCGCTGGAGGAATGGGCAGGGCTGGAGGAGGATCGTCTTCGTCCGAGTACCAGTCATTGGCAAGATTCTTCGAGGACGACATTGGAAGAATCTGCTTTGGGTCGACCAGCATTTTTTCGGTGGTTGGGTAGTTGGTGAAGGTGTTGGCCAAAAGGTCATTGCCCTGATCTTGCATTTCTTTGTCGGCGGCCTCTTCAGCTTGGAAGTTACGGTCGCTCTCTGGTTGCTCGGCGCCTTCGTGAATTCGACTCATTGCCATTTCAATCTCGTCGGGTACCTCCTCGGCGGCAGGCGGATTTTGATCTTCAGGTTCTTCAGATTGGGCACGAAAGGAACACTTCGCTTCCTCATCATCCTGTGCCTGAAGCATCATACAAAATTTTTATTATTTAAATAACTTTGTATCGATTTTAGTTTAAAAATTCATGTGTAATATCAATATCAAGCATAAATTAAGAGCAAATTAAAAAAACAATCAAATCTCTTGGCTTGCATTATGGTGATACTTATCTTTTTTATTCTAGATATTATTTTTTTAGTTTGTTCAGATATTGATCAGCCCAAAGTTGATTTAGCATTTGCTGGAGCATCAGGAGAAATGACAATTTCATAAAATTTGACTACAAAGGGCTTAAAAAAAATATATGCTATGATTCAAAGAATGAAGCGCTACAGTGATTAATAACTGGAAAGTAAATTTAATGTACTTATTTACAGATATTAACTAAATTGAATTCGTTGATAAAATTCTTTGAAAATTATAACTTTTCATACAAATTATTTTATTACAAAGATACTAAAAGTTACCATTTCTTCGTCTTCATCTTCGACATCATGCACAGGTGAGGAAGCGTCATTCGAATCGCAGTCACTCTCCTCTGTCCCACTGACAATTTGTGATGTACCCTTAGTCGTAAATATTCGCAGTTTAATTGGTGGTTTGGCCTCTGGTGGCTGCGTTGGTTCAGCAGGAGCCTCACTGGAGACAATCATCAAATTTCATAAAACTTTTCTTTCCCTCCCTGAATCTAAAATTAACCTAATCCTTGGTTTCTCTGGTGATGGCTGCGGCTTGGGCGGCGATTGGTATGGGTTTGCCATGGTCTTGGCGTTGTTCACCGATCCATAGACGGCGGGCGCCGGAGTTTGAGATTCGCTGCTGCTGCTGTCGTCCTTGGCATTTCTGCTTTTGAAAAATTTCCTCGGCTTATTAGGGGCCGGTTTGGGCTCAGCAGGAGGGCAGGACATAGCTGCGGCTCCAGCTGGAGGGTACTCTGCCCTTTTCCTCTTGGTCGTTGCCTCCGAAGCAACACTCTCAGAACCTATCAAGGGAGATGGAGAGAATTAATTAGATCATCTGCTATCAATGTCAAGCTAATTGTTACATAATTGGCTAATTTTAAACTTGCCATTCGTGTTTACGCTGCGCAGAGATGTGAAGGACGTGACACCCCAGCGGCCGACGGTGCCGGCAGATTTGGCCGCCGTCGGTCGTTTGTTGTTTTGGATCTCCAGAACGTTGTTGCCAAAGGTGATGTTGGTCGTGGGCACTGGACGGCCGCGGATCGACCCCCGGCCTCGGCCCGTGTAGAATTTGTACTTGCCCGACATGCTCGCCTGCAAAAGAAGTTTTCAAATGTGTCAACTGCGGCTGTGATCGGGGAAAATTACGCCTATGATATTAATGCGAGAGCGACTTTCAGCGACAAAAATCAGAATCCAAAATCAGAGGAAAAGTATTAATGCTCGTTTATTGACGAATTGACATTTAGGATTTTGCCGAGCATTCAAACTCGGAGTCGGAATGATATTTTCGTTCGACCGAAAGGCGCCCAGATGAAAATAAAAACAAGGCATTTCCGTGCGTGACCTACACTCTTCAAAAATTCACTTTCTCAGCCTGCGAACCGCGCATAAAATCAAGCCGGACTCCTCTGCTGCATTCTTGTGAGCACTGAGAATTTTCGGCCGGTCGAGCGGTCGCCGGAAAGTCACATGAAAAGCACAAGACTCGCAAAATTGAACTAGCTAATTTTGGCAAAGCTTTCCAAAATATCAATGTTTGTGCTGCTCTCTACAAGCCATATTGAATGGAAGAAAACTGTAAACTAAAGGCAAGCATTGGCCGAAGCTGCGCCGGAGTCACGTGGTTCACACAGAGGTCGCGAGAGGGCCGTGATGCGCCGTCGATTCCGAAATGACACGGGATGAGCCGTGCGGCGAACTGCACAAAGATACACGAGCACCCAGGAACCTCACGGGTTAACGAACAATGCATTTTTTTCTATTTTGGGTCAGGTCAGGCGAAGACAAAGTGCCTTGTCGGCCTGTGCCCTTATTAAACTAACAGGAGCCACGCTCTTTATTTAAAAATACAAATTATTAGTATAATTGAAACTATAAAATGACATTATGTGAAATATTAATGAAAATGATTTATTGGCTAGTATGTCCTTATACGGAGAATCATATTACAAGAAAGGTTCTATATTGATTTCCACAGCAGAACAAGGCATGGTTAATTCGAACTTCGTGATGACATCTGGGTGCAGAACACCAATCTTTCCAATCACATTTCCACCATAAATTATCTTTGCACAACGCTTTGGAAAATAAGTTGGATCTGGAAAATTTTCAATTTATTGTAATTTAGAATTTTTTTTAGTAAATTTAATTAGTTTAGTTGCAAATATTATTTTAGTTTATAATACTTTTACCTTCATCATGCTCCAAGTGATATCCAATGCCTTCTCCCTCAGACCTGAAAGGCACTCCTAGGAGCTGCATCACTCGATCTAGCAAACCATGGACGACTTCAAATCCAGAATTTTTGTTGTAGTAGACAGCGCACAAGTGGCGCTCATTTCGAGCTCCAACCTCTATTAATGCATTTAAAAATAATTACACAGTTGTTTTTATAATTTTAGTGTCAAGTTTACCTGTCATCAAATCTTTTAGCACAACGTCTGAAACTTCAAACACTTTGATAGGCAAAGGCATATTTCTGTTTGCAGCGATGGTTTTCAATAGGCCTGACAGGAGCGTCGTTCTTGCAACTTGGAACTCCAGAGTCTTCGGATTTGAGATATGCACTGCAGACAATTTCTCAATCGACCAGCCAAGTTTGGTAGAAATGTCATCAATGGAGCACTAAAATTAATAAGAATAGGTTTTAAAAAAGAAAATCAAATATAATGCAGCCTGTTTTGGCTTCAAGCAAATTTTTACACAAGATTTCTTAAATTAATTGTGGTATGACCTTGATTAAGGTCAAGGCCATTTTAAAATTTTGCACTACTGAGCTCCCAGGGGTGCTGCTGTTTCTGCACATCTTGATTTTTTTTTACTATACTTAATACTTTATTTTTGAAGAATTCAAAATTATAAAAATTTGGATCTTACCAAGGAGAAAGTCAGTGCTTCCGTGAATCCTGCCTGAGCCACCTCGCCTCTCAACTGGTCGGAAAGTTTATTAAGAGGGAATTGTTGGGAGATGGTAGCTGCCGTTGGCAGGGTCTTGGGAATATTGTTGTACCCATAGGCAATGCCTACATCTTCAAAGATGTCACACGGATGAATGATGTCGTGGCGCGTTGGAGGAATTTCCACCTTAATTTTTTCTCCCTCAACTTTGGTCCCCAGGCACATCTTGCTCAGCAATTTTGCAATATTTTCAGGAGACTCTCTGTGTTTCAAAATGAGTTAGATTTTGTTTTCTAAAATTTCTATGTTTGTGACTAACTGAAGCCCAATGTATGTGTTGGCTTTGCTAAAGTCAATGATTTCATTTCTGTATGGCAATGCAGGGCTGTTCATGACTTTGCCATCAGGGTACTCAACTTCACACAACTCAACCTCGTAGGGCTTTGAGCAGTACTTGCTGAACATGCAGACAAGAGTGTCCAGCACAATTTTGGCCTGAGGATAATGGAGAAGTTATAGTTATAATTGTGGATGAGTCAAATTTTTTTATTACCTTTGTGAGGTCAGTGGCGGTGACTTCAATGAAAATGTTTTTTGTGTCTGTTGAGATTTTAGAGTGATTTCCGTTGATGATAGGGGGCATCGACAGAACAACTCCGTTTTTGTCAAAAATCACTGGATAAACAGGACTGTCCCTGATGATCGGCAAGTACGTTTTCAGCTGAGCGTGAGTCTGTTGAAGAAAAAAAAGTTAATTTCTTTCAAGTTGATTTGACTTCAAAAGTTACAGAGTAAAGCTCCATTAGTTGAGCAGCATCATACTCCTTATCTTGGTTTAAGGGAACAAACTTGATTTCTTTTGGTGGAAGGGCGTCGTAAACAAATGGACCTTCGATTGTGTCTAAGTCGTGGGTACCAATAGCAACAAGAGTTCTTTTTCTGCAAATATTCTGATGCAGTTTGTCCTGCAGGTCAATGAAGCTGTTGTATGAGTTCTTGTTTAACGTGACACCTCTGAGAATTGCAGCCGCAGCAAAAGGTCTGATTTGGGCCGTCTGATATTAAAATTTAATTATGAATTTATGAGTTGCATTATAATGAAACCTACATTTTGCTTGATGACCATCCTTTCAACTTTCTTGGGCTTAATTGTTTTGAATCGAGGCATTTTCATTCTGCAAGAATAATTTTTTTATAAGAAATCAAAAGTAGTGCAAAAAATTTCATTACTTTCCGTGGAAGACATTTAGGCCTAGCACTAAGCCTTCAAGACAGAGTAGATCGTATCTATTTGCAGGAATGTCAATACGATAAATTACTTCCTCAGAAGCGCCTTCAGATTTCCCTTCTCCTTGCTCCTTGGAAATCATTTGTTTCTCCGTGGTCTATGTACAAAAAAAATGTTTCAAAGCTGTTATGAATTTCAAACATAAAGGTACATAAGAAGGTAAATTATGTACTTACAACTTCGTCCAGCTCAAGCCCAAATTCAAAACACAGATCATTGAATTCTTCATCCGCTAATAGAAAACACGAGATTTTTTAATTAATACATATGTAATTAAAAATTTCAAATATAATAGTAAAAATAATATTAAAATAATTATTTTTGTATGGCAAAGGTGGAAAATGAGACTCACTGTAACTTCTCCCCAGCGCTTCAAAAAGGATATCCCGCTTTACACCAACTGTTGGCATCTTTTTTCTTAGAGGTGAACCTTTTAAGTTTCAGTTTAATCAACAGCTAAGTAATAAAAACAATTTAAATTCTCCGAAAAACGTTAATTAAAACACAAGACTACCTCGCAAGTAGCTTGCACGTTTCCATTGACCATAAAGGGGCGTAGCTAACAAGAACGTGGGCAAAAAGTAAGTGCAACCAACGTAACAGTTTATTAATCTAATAAATGTTCTGCCCAAAATTATACAAGTTTCACAAAATAGCGTTTTATTTTTATGAAAAATATTAAAATTACTATTTTTTTTTTGTAAAATATCCGTAAATATATTTTCATATTATTCTTCAATGCTCTGGAATAATTTATCAACGGTTGGCATAATTGCTTAATCATCTGTTTCTTATTTTGAAAATCTCAGTTCCTCGGCAAATTGGATTCGATTGATGAATTTTTTGGTCCACAGAAGATAAATACATAATAAGTGTAAAGGTTGATGGAACCGAAGTGGTGATAACGTCGGGAACTGTTGATAAGATAATGCAGCTTACCCATATAAATTAAGATTCCGATCACGACTTTGCCCTTTCTAAAAATGGACTCGTCACCAAGCGTTGAAGAAGGTTCAAGCTCTGCATCTTCCTGCTACAATAAGATATTTTTTGCCTGCGGTTTTTTGGGAGTTTGTGCAGGACTATTAGTCAGAAAACTGAACTTGGTCTACATCTGGAAGCACAAGGTTTATTTTTGTTTTTAAAGCTCAGTACTTTTCTAATAAATTAATATGCATGCCATATATGTACAAATATTTTTTCTAAAAAATCGTAAAGGTAGATGCTACATCAAAGAGAAATGGAGGTGAACTTGTTGCTGAAGTTCTGAAATCCCACGGGGTCAAGTTTTTATTTACCCTTGCTGGTGGTCACATTTCGCCAATTTTAGTCGCAGCCGAAAAATTGGGATTACGAGTCGTGGACACTCGACATGAGGCAAATTACAATAATATTGCCCAGAAAAGGACCTTCTAATTAAAAAATTATTGAGCAGGTCAATGCAGTGTTTGCTGCTGATGCAGTCTCTAGACTTTCAAGGACTGTCGGAGTTGCCGCCGTGACTGCAGGCCCCGGAGTTACCAACACTGTGACTGCTGTAAAAAATGCACAGCTAGCCGAATCACCACTCCTATTAATTGGTATGATTAATCATTGAAATACAATAATTTTTAATTTCCTCCTTCAAGGTGGCGCTGCTGCTGGGATTTTGAAGGGAAGAGGCGCCCTTCAGGACATAGATCAGATCAATCTCTTCCATTCCATTTGCAAATACAGTGCCACTGTCAAGACTGTCAGAGATATTGTGCCAACCTTGAGGAAAGCTCTGCATGAAGCCCAATCTGGCACTCCAGGTAAAAACTCATTTACGGTAGTTGAAGTGCAATATTTAGCATTTTTTTTATTATTATTATTTTTAAACAGGGCCAGTTTTTGTTGAATTCCCCCTCGATGTTTTGTACCCCTACGACATGGTCAAAAGGGAGCTTTTCAACGTTCCACCTCCAAAATCTTTTGCCAGCAAAGTAATCAATTGGTAAGTCAATAATAAAAATTTAATCACTGATATTATTTACTTTGCCTTTAGGTACATGAATAATTATCTGAGCAATCTATTTTCGGGCGCTTGGGAGCCAGTAAATACAACTCCGATCGAAGTTCAACCTTTAGTTGCTGATACTGCCACAAGTAAGGGTTTGCAATTTTGCTTGTAAAAGTCATATCAACTTTAAAATATTTGCAGTGCAAAAATGCGTTGAGGCCCTTTCGAAGAGCAAGAAACCAGTTTTTGTGATTGGCAGTCAGGCCCTTTTGCCCCCCAACAGCGTCGAAAACCTGAAGAAGGCTCTCGAGACTCTGGGTGTTCCTTGTTACTTGAGCGGAATGGCCCGAGGGTTGTTAGGAAGAAAGTCTGACATCCAGATGCGGCACCACAGAGGTGACGCCCTGAAAGAGGCTGACCTTATCATCTTGGCAGGTGCGGTTTGCGATTTCCGTCTGTCTTACGGACGGTCATTGAGCAAATCTGCCACCATCATTGCTATCAACAGGGACAAAGATCAGCTCCACAAGGTATAAATGTTTGTCATCAGAACTCTTAATTTATTACAGAAAATTTTCAGAATGCTGGAATATTTTGGAAACCAACCTTTGCCGTTCAAGCCGATCCTTCCTTATTCCTCTTCAAACTAGCAATGTGCTTGTGCGACTACAAATGTGATGATGCTTGGCTGTCCAAATTGCGAGAGAGGGATGCCAAGAAGGACGAAAAAAATGAAAAAGTGAGGTTACTTTTGATAAATACAAAAATGTCATAAATTTTCATCAGATGTCCCTGGAGCCAACAACCAAGTACCTGAATCCAATGAAAATCCTCTGCGACCTGGATAAATTTTTACCCGACGATGCAATTCTGGTGGCTGATGGTGGTGATTTTGTTGGCACTGCTGCTTATATTCTGAGGCAAGGAATTTTCTACGATTTTTATCAAATTTAATTTACAAACAATACAGGCCAAGAGGCCCACTTCAGTGGCTCGACCCTGGCGCATTTGGAACTCTGGGTGTCGGAGGTGGATTTGCTTTGGGTGCAAAGCTATGCCGACCCGACGCCCCAGTCTGGATTATTTGGGGCGATGGCTCTTCTGGCTACAGCATTGCAGAGTTTGATACCTTCCGTCGTCACAACGTCCCTGTCATCGGACTTATTGGAAACGACGCCTGCTGGACTCAAATTGCAAGAGAGCAAGTGCCCATGTTCGGCACCAGTGTTGCTTGCAATTTGTCTGTAAGTAGCAATTTACTATGTTCTATTTTAGTTATTTAATAATTTTTCATTGTTTTAGCATTGTGATTATCACATCGTTGCTGAAGGCTATGGTGGAAAAGGAATATTGTTGTCGGATTCCACGAAGAGCAACACAGAGGTCTTTGAAGAGGCTACAAAATTGAACAAAGAGGGTCACAGTGTTTTGATCAATGCTCTTATTGGCACAACTAAGTTCAGAGAGGGCAGCATTTCCATTTAAAGGAACAGTTAGTCATTCCCTTTGTTATTAATTATTTCTATTTTTACGTTATGGGCAGTATTTTGTAATCTGATCATGGGCCAGTATATAAATGCGCACAATTTAAAATAATAAAAATATTTACAGAATGTTATATCAAAACCTGAGACAAGTTTTTAAAATTAATTTATTTTGATTAAATTTAAAATACACAAGAAGTATATATCCTCAAATAAGCTTCTCAAGAATTTTTAATTTAAATCTTGAAATGATTAATGGAAAATAAGCTGTGTATTAAAAAAATGTCATATAAAATAGTGTATGACATAAAATGAAAGTAAACATTCTTCTTGGTGAAGTTTAAATTTTAAAGAGATTCAACTTTTTTAAATCATTCTGGAAAACCGGCGAAGCGTGCGGTACGTTCGTGATTTCGCGGCAGATGGCCACGAGCAGGGGTGGCCTCGTGGCTAGTAACGGCCGGTTAGTGCCAGATGGCAGCACGTGTTAGCGCTCTTTCCCTCATTTTGGCATCCGGGTGCCATACGCCATATTAGACATGGCGGGTCACATCTTGGGAGAGTGATGGTATTTGTAAGCGAGTAAAACCCGAAAATTAACTCGTCTAAAGGTGATTCAAGTGTCTTTATGAACCGCTACCAATGATCAGAGAGCAATGAAGAGTGTCAAAATGCCGAACGTCGCAAAGAGTAGCCAGTCGGAAGGACAGAAACTCGAGAAAGTAAGTGCTGAGCGCGACTACGGAAAACCATCGTCAACTCCCCAATCGTCGGGATCGAGCCCGAGGAAATCAGACGAGAACAATTATCTGGCGATGCAGAACTTCATGCCAACCACCAGCTCGTCCGAGAGTGACGAGGAGGAAGTGTCCGAGGTGAGAACCGCATGCCGTTGTCCCACCGTTCGCAATCGCACTCGCCTCGAGGTTGCGAGCAAGTTTCAATGAACTCGGCGGAGAGACATCTTGTTGCCGCACCGCCGCCGAAACCTTTATTTTGCCTCGACTCTCCTTGGATTCGGCCACAATTATTCAAATTCGGTCGATTTGGGCCGCCAGTGGGACCGTCGGCGGGCGTTGGGGCCGCCGAATCGGCGGCCGCAGGCGGAAAAGTGGCGCCCACATGAGGGCGCATGCATGCAGAAGTGATCGAAGTTGCTAGGGTATTGGGACAAGTAAGTGGCGGTGTGGGGACGTGGTATGTATTTGTTATCCATCGGCCCGCTGGGTAGGGAGGCTCGAAATGCAGGAAGTGTGGATGTAATCGCTGAATATGCATCCTGATTCACTTGCCCCAGTGCATTAAAGGGCCAATTAGGCCGCTCCCCGAGATTGATTCGCGATCGCGAGACGTGCACTCGATTTTTCCCTTTCCGCCTCTGCAGTTTCTCCTTACTAATTCGCGAAATTATTTTCATTTTATTTATTTAATTTTTTTTTTTAGCTTAAAAATTAATTCCTGCTTAAATTGCAAAGGGTGACTTTTCGCGGAGGGTGACGAGAGTCGCCGGCGGTCAACACCCTTCGATGCCGGGGGAGGGTGGCGAATGCGACTCGCGTGTGCGAATTAACGCGCACTAACGGTCTCGGGACGGATGCTCCCCCGTCGCCGCCGTGTTTTGCACCTGTGTAATCTAATCAACGTGGTTGCAGCGTCCCCCTCGCTCATCGTCTGCCGAGAAAATTCCACTTTTCGTTCAGTGCATGCTTAAATAGCATACGTGCATACCTACTTGCTCGTCCCTTATCTTGCTAATGAACGCGTGTGTTCATAAATTTTATCGTCCCCCGAGACTTTATTTGCTGCATTTAGAAGAGCAATCAGGCTGGGATAATAAACAAGAAACTGCCAGGCTTTTCATAATTCTCGGCCAATAATCAGCCGACTTATGTGAGGAAGAACAAAAAAAAATTAGTAAAAATATTAAATACTTTGAATAAAAATAAGGGTACGTTTTTAATTGGCTATCTTCTGCAGTAGCACACGAGTTCACTTGAAAGTTACGATTACATAATAAATTTTTACATATTTACACCCCTAAGACAGAAGCTGAGGCAATTAAATAAATTAATTTTTGTTCGAAATCGAAGTTGTGTTCGTTTTTCATCTGCCTAGTTAATATTGAAATTAATGCAATCTGGTGCTAATTGCATCAATTGGTTGAGTTCATGTTCGTTCCGGAGATGTTTCCAAAATTAGGCCAGATTGCAGCTCAATGGAGATGCAGGTACCTGCATCCATTGTGCGCGCCCATTCTCGGTGAAATGCGGCATAAAAAAGATGTTTCACTCACTGAAACACGATTTTGTTTTCTTGTTTTGACAGGTGAGCCCCTTTGTGATAGACAACCCTGAGTTCGACGAGGTGTCCAAGACCTCGGAGAAATTCCTGGCGAGGAAGGCCTCCCTTCCCGAGGACTCGGACCACCTTGACAGAACCGTGGACCCTGAAACGCAAGCCAGGCTCGAGGCGCTGCTGGAAGCAGCAGGTAATTATTTTCATCAATTAATGTGCAAAGAATTTTTTTTCAATCATCAATAAAAAATGAAAAATTAGATAAAAGTTTTCAATATTATTAAAATCGAAAGATATAAAATTCAAGATTTTCCCAATGTTGCAGGCATTAGTAAGCTGTCGTCGACAGATGGAAAAGCGTTGGCGGACCCTGAAGTGCTTCGGCGCCTCACGTCAAGCGTTTCGTGCGCGCTGGACGAAGCGGCGGCCGCCCTCACCAGAATGCGGAACGACAACCCCCGAGCCCCCCAACAAGAGACCAGGTAATTTGGGGGTTGACCAATATTGGAGTTTGCTTTGCTCGGGGCTTGTCACATCACACGGCCAGTCCCTCCAAAAGCAGCACCAGAATAAACTCGTAAAACCCAGGGTGGTTCCATTTAAATGATTCAGCTGTTTGTGTTTTAATATAAAATTTTCACTGAAAAATTGTTCTAGTGTTAAGTGAATTCATTTGATCTAAAGGGCTGTTGAACTCAAATGGAATCATCTTTGCCTTGTAATACAATCCGCCTCAACAAGTTAACGCATTATCAAAATTGGAGACTGTTGAAGCTTCCATATGACAAATTATTTCGACACTGTGTGTATGGAATAACACCCACCCAAAATCCGCTTGCAACGTGATTATTCTGTTGTAAATATACTCGTCCACCTCCACTCAAAATTAACAAGGTCGATAGATCGCAATGTCACTCCTCTCGACTGGTGCCGAGATGGTCCCTCTCAAAACATCCCCAATTAAAAGTATTAAAAGTCAAAACTAGTGCTAGCTGTTAGTGTTGACAAACTGCTTTTAACAAGTGCTGCATGTGACATTGTGGTTCTAATGTCCCATTTAGATCACTGGTTGAAGCTTGCTCCGACGGTGACGTTGGCACCGTCAGGAAGTTGCTTTCAGAAGGGCGAAGTGTGCACGAAACAACCGAGGATGGCGAGAGTCTCCTTTCCCTAGCCTGCTCAGCGGGATACTTTGAGCTAGCTCAGGTGAGAAAATTTTCAGAATCCAATCTGTAAAGGGAGGGAAAGTTAGATAAGGGGGGAGCAAAGGCCATCAGGCAGGCAAACAAGAATGAGAAGTGAATTTGATTTTTTTTCGCAGGTTTTGTTAGCAATGAGCGCGGGAGTGGAGGACAGGGGCATCAAGGGAGACTGCACACCCCTCATGGAGGCAGCCTCGGCAGGCCACGCAGACATAGTCCGGCTTCTCATCGAAAACGGCGCTGACGTCAATGCACAATCATCCACAGGTACTTGCAAAAATTATTTCAAATTTGCATCTTTTAAACCTTTTTTTATCTTCTTCAGGGAACACACCTTTGATGTATGCTTGCGCCGGCGGCCACCTGGAAGTTGTGGAAATTTTGCTGGCGGCAGGAGCAAACGTTGAGGACCACAATGAGAATGGCCACACGCCCCTCATGGAGGCAGCGAGTGCTGGGTACGTTAACGTGGCAAAGGTTTTGTTAGAAAACGGCGCCGGGATCAACACGCACTCCAACGAGTTCAAAGAATCCGCCCTCACCTTAGCCTGCTACAAAGGCCACCTAGAAATGGTCCGATTTCTTTTGGCTGCAGGAGCAGATCAAGTGAGTATATTTTTACATTAGTAGTCTTATAATTTAAATGATGATTGCAAGCATTTTATTTTTTAATGTGGTTGAAAAATGAACCTGAAATTAAGGGGAGCTAAATTATTTTTGTAAATTTAATTGGAGCTTTAGCTAATATTGTTTTAATTGTAACCGTTCCATTTTTATTTGCAGGAGCACAAAACAGATGAAATGCATACAGCCCTGATGGAAGCATCTATGGACGGCCACGTCGAAGTCGCCAGGCTGTTGCTGGATTCGGGAGCACAGGTCAGTTACATAGCTTTCTAGCATTTGTTTTGTTTTTATTTATAAACGTTTTATATCAATTGATCGGCTGATACTGCAAGGCATTGATAGTTGAGAGATAAATTTAAGTTATTGCTTTGGTTTTTTTACCAGCAAATCTATTTCACTGATAACTGGTTCAAATTTATGTAGGGCAGTTATTTGAATTTTTTTAGATTTCTTAGTAAATTTTATAATCGTTGACCGTAAACATGCAAAGGATCTTGATTCCTATATAACTTTTATTGCATGTCATTGGACATTGAGGCTTTAGTTAATTGTTGCGTAATTCGCCTTGGCCGGAGTACCCACGGTGAATTAAACAAAAAATGCAAACACGCCCAAGCACACTCTAATTTCAAACGTGCCTATAGAAAGTTATGATGTGCAATTTTTTTTGCGAGATTTTGCATAGCCGGTGCAATGGCGTGAATCAAGGCGACTGCTCGTAATAATTTCGAGCATGCAGCGTTGCAGCGAAACGTGGGTGTGGCTGGAAATTCTGCTCATCGTCTAATCTCACGAGACAGAGTAAAAAGCAGCACTGGTTATTATGCCCCATTCGGCGCAATCGATACTTCGCAATGTGGTGCCTAATTAAAATATTGATTTTTTGTCGCCGTTCGCCAGCCAGCTTGGCCAGACGGGCCGCTCGAAATTCGCGAGTGTGAAGCGAAAGAGAGACATGTCTGGCACACACCGGGCAGAATAAATTTTCCCACAGCACTCGTCTGTGTTGAAAAGACGATAGAAAACTACTTGCGCCCCAAACTCGAACCTATTGATCGCGAGTGGCGCGTCTATGGTCGCAGCCACACCGCACGCCTTCCTTGCAAATCTCGGTGAACAATCCAGGCGCATGACGTCACGGAACTTCACGCTGCCGTGCCTTCCTTTTCTTTCTCTCTTCGATCATAGCGCAACTCTCGTTTTGTTCGCACTGAGGTTCATTAACCTGCTACATAAAATGCATCTACCAATTACCGCTTGCTGTTCATGATGGACAGGATAACAGTTTTCAGCCAGAATTGGCGCGCTCACATCCGAAACGGGACCGAGCGCTTCCAATCTGTGTCATGCGAATTTGGAGTAATTGCTATGCAAGACAAACAATAAAACAAAAAACTTTCCCCCATTTAAAATTTAGGAAATTATATAATTTTTAAACTTACACTGAAGGTATTTTCATATTTTATTTGTCACTGGATTTTTTTTTATTTTTTACTTTCAATTTTTAAGTTCGTTTCTTATTGAATGCTTTTCTAGAACGAAATTCTGGATTTTCCCAGCAACAACCACTCCTTGCTGTTTAATTCCCCCCTCGGCCTTCCTCCCCCCGCGTCGAAAAATGCATTCATAGCTCTGCTTGTGGGTCACGGCGTGACCTTGAGGTTTGGGAACGACAGCAACAGGGGAATGCCTTCTTTCTCACACGGCCGCGCGCAACTGGAACCAATTAAATTGCTCGTCGCGGCGACTGGTTGAGATTTGCCTCTCATTTAATTAATTAGTTTGAAGGAAGTAACAACTGATCAATTCAGTCCATCACAAAGCAATGGTTGTTTAAAGATGCCGCTGAATACACCCGTCTTTTTCGATCAAATAAAGCGTAATGCCCGTCTCAACTCGCAATGCCTATGCAAATAAATTTTATTGAAATGTTTTCATTGACTTAATGAACTTATTTGAGTGCATAAATTAACTTTCGTGTTAACTGTATTTTATTTTTCCTTCAATTCAGGTCAACATGCCAACTGACAGTTTTGAGTCACCCCTTACCCTAGCAGCGTGCGGTGGTCATGTCGACCTTGCGCTCCTTCTCATTGAGAGAGGTGCAAACATCGAAGAGGTCAACGATGAAGGATACACCCCCTTGATGGAAGCGGCGAGAGAAGGGCACGAAGAGATGGTTGCCCTTCTCCTTAGCCAAGGTAATTCTGGTAATTAAAAATTGTAACTTAACTTAATTTTTTTATATAATTTACAACTTTAATTTCTTTAAATTTTTTCTAGTGGATTTTAAACTTTCATTTAAGGACTCCTTATTGCAATGCTAAGAGTACCAAAGAGGTTTTTTTGATATCCCTTATGCCCAATGTAAAATTTTTGCCCCATGAACCCCCAATTTTTTTCTGCGAATCTGTTTAGGGTCATTCAATTATCATTTTGTGCAATTTTGAGCAAAAAATTTCGGGTAGATTTTTTTTAATCGCCAAAAACAAAAATCGCCATAAAACGCCTTGTTAAATTTCAAAATATCAAATTTCAAGATTAATCCGCGCGACCCCCCATTTTTCTTTGTGCAATCAACTCCACTGATGGGCAGGAATCTATAAAAAAATCTGGGTCCAAAAATTTCGGGCCGATTTTCCGCAAACAGGAGTTGTAGATGTCAATAAGGAGGCCTTAAAACAGATAAAAAAATATATGCTTAATTTAACCTACATACTAGAGTATTCAGTGCATTCTAATTTTAAAAATTAAATTTTTTCTCCAAAAAAATTATTAATAATAACTTTTACTTGTTACATTCACAGGAGCCAACATCAATGCTCAAACGGAAGAAACGCAGGAGACCGCCCTGACGTTGGCATGTTGCGGCGGTTTTCTTGAGGTTGCCGAATTCCTGATCAAGGCTGGTGCTGACATCGAGGCGGGCGCATCCACGCCACTGATGGAAGCTTCGCAAGAGGGCCACCTGGACCTTGTACGCTACCTTCTCAGTGTAGGGGCAAATGTGAACGCCACCACCTCTACTGGAGACACTGCCCTCACTTACGCCTGTGAAAATGGCCACACGGACGTGGCGGAACTGTTGCTGCAAAACGGCGCCGACCTTGAGCATGAGTCTGAAGGAGGCAGGACGCCTCTGATGAAAGCTTGCAGGGCCGGCCACCTGTGCACTGTCCAGTTCCTTGTTTCCAAGAACGCTGACGTCAACCGGCAGACTACCAACAATGACCACACACCACTGTCATTGGCTTGTGCTGGTGGTCACCAGTCGGTGGTTGAGTTCCTCCTCGCCAACCAAGCAGATCCTTTTCACAAACTGAAGGTTAGATTCTATTTAATTGCCTATTACATTCTTTACTTACTGAGAATTTTTATTCCTTAGGACAATTCTACTATGCTGATTGAGGCGGCCAAGGGCGGCCACACTCATGTCGTCCAGTTACTTCTCGACTACCCAAATAATGTGATGATCCAGCAGCAGGTGGCCACTGCTGCTGCCGCCGCGGCAGCAGCGGCTCCTCTGCCACCTGGTTCTCACAGCAATGCCAGCACCCAACCTCCATCCCCTGCGCCCACACCAACCGCCACCCAAACCACCCCTGGCCTCCACGAGGCGCCTGATGGGGTCCGAACTGCAGTTCCTCCCCATGAGGAAATAGCCCCCACGCCCTCCGCATCCACCACCTCTGCCAAGGTTGCCGCGTCTGCTGCGCCAGCACCCAGCCAGGGCAAAAGTGCAGTGCAAAAGTCCCTTATCCGCAAATTTCGACCGAGCATAAATCTTGAAGGCTCTCCGGCGTACACGCAGGATGTTGAAAAGCGGTTGATGTCCATGGCCGAGACAGACTTCTTGGCGAAAGGGATCGATCCAGGGTTGCTCTCGCAGAAGAGCATCACGCAGCTGAAAGACTTGGAGACCAAACTGAAGCTTGAGGAAGAGAAGATTCTGCAGAAGAAGATACTGGAGGAATTGCAGAGAGTCGAGGAGGAATTGCAGGTGACCTCACCCCACATTCTCTTGGGGGAACCTGTGCCCCCTGCGCAGCTAGCTGCTGAACTGCCACCCTCTGGCGCGCCGTCGTCGTCAGGGTCATCCTCCTCTGCGTCACCACCTGCCACTAAGGTCAAGGTTCTTGACATTCCGCTTGATGATATCTCAAAGGGACTCACCAACATCACCCTTCCTCCAGGTAAATAATTAGTTAAAACTTCCACTGTTAACAAACAAAAAATTGCAATAAGATTTAACATTACGAAAATATAAAATCTAATACAATTTAGCTCCGTTTCTTAAAACTAAAAGTTTTGTACTTTTTGGTAGTTTTTGCTCTACAACATTTATCTTCTTGTTCGCAGCAAGTGACATTACATTTAGTAGTTTGCCGCCAAACTTCTTCTCCCCACTTTGCACTGCCACCCTACCAGCGAGTTTTTACGGGAGCCCTGCCAGCAAGGTCCCACCCCACCTGGGCCAATCGCTCAGTGCCCTGAGCCAGCAGGGCATCGACCTAGGTGCTATGGCAAATCAAACAGGATTCACCCTAGCATCGATGCCTTCTCTTAGCTTCCAAGCACCTACAGCTGTGACCTCTGCCTCAACTACTTCCATCCAAAACGCTCCTGTTCCAACCGCGGCTCAAATACTCGGTGACGTGCCAACCAGCTTTCACGCCGTCACCCCTCCCGACTCGACCACCTTAGGCTTTAATGTTGCTGCGCCAACCCCCATTCAAGATCGGCCTAAGGCAAAACCTGTGTCTAAGAAAGATGGTAAGTGTAGAGCAGAAATTGTTTGAAATACATCCCTTTACTTTTGGTCTTAATAGACATCAATTCAGATTATATCTTTTATTATTTGTTGATTCTTATAAAAATGATACAAAATTTAAAATATTTAATTCAATGTTTCAGCTAAAAATAGAATCAGCAAACAGCAGCTGGCTGCTCTACAGCTACAGCAAATCCAACAACTGAATCAGCAGCTCCAGGCGCATGTTGCCAACCAAGCGGGCCCTCCGGTCAGTGAAGTGGCAGGAGCCGACGTTGCCAAGGTGAGCAGCGAAATGGCGCAAGCTAAATCGCTGCTGCAGCAAACGGCGCACACGCAGCAGACCCTGCAGCAACTTCATCAGCTGCAGAACCAACTAAAGCAACTTGAAGAAGCTGGAATCGCTGGCATTGGTGGTGCATCCCAAAGCCAGATTCACCAGATGCTTCAGAAGCAACTCAAAGCTCTGCAGCAACAAGCTCCAATCACCCGAGTTCAGGACAAGAGCAGCCAGGCTGTCAAAGAGGACAGTGGCGGCGAGACCAAGGATGGCAAAGAGCAAACTGTGGAAGAAACCTATCCTGAATCCCTAGAGAAGACAGCTGACCTTCTTGCAGCTCTGAAATTGCATGTCGACGAGAAAGCACTCGAGACCCAGCTCACCTACCAGAGGGCTGTTGAAGAGGCCATTAATCTGTCCCTGTTGACACCTCAACCACTGGCGCAAACGCAGCAACAACAGCAGCAGCAGCCAGGTTCTCAGCCCCTCAACATTCAGTTTCCTGCACCGCCAGCCTTGGATGCTGACGCCGCCACCCGAAATGCAGCTTTTCAAAGGCTCGAGTACATCCCTGTGAAGATGCAGCTAAAGCCAACTAATGAAATAATCGTGGTTAGATTTATCACTCTTGTTCTTTCAACGGAGTTAACTATATTTTGCAAATAATTGTTGCAGCCTGGAACAAATATCCACCTGTCGTACCAACTGCCTATGAATCAAGCGGCTGTAAGTCTGCCAGCGAATGCATTTGTTCAAACTCCTGTCCAGCCCGATGAGTCAAACTTGTTTGCCAGCGGCAGCGGCCCTCCGGGGCAGGCTCAGCTGCAGGCAATCAGTTCTCGTCTGGCACAAGCATCTGCAAGTCTGGGTGGTTTAAAACCACACAAGATACCAATGCTACCACCACAGATAGGTGAGTGCCATTTTTTTTTTAAATTTTGTAATTAGTTCTTTAGACTATTGTTCCATACTTCTAAAAAGTTCTTAAAACAATTTTAGTAAGATTGATAAACTAATGCATATTGATCATTCAAAATTATTTTTCTGGAACAATTGTCACTTCGTTAAATAATCTACAATTATTGAAATTTGCATGTCGTTACGTTTTGAACGATTTTCGCCTTTCACTGAAAATCAAGAATCTTCCCAAACTTGTAAATGTCATAAACTGAAACTAATTTGTTTTATTAACTACCTAACCTAACTTTGGTCACCTAAATTTGTGTTTGACTAACCTGCGACGCTCGACCACAGCTCCTCAAACTCCAGAGGGAGGAGCGACTCCCACGTCTGTGCCGAGTAGTGGCAGCAGGTCATCCTCAACAAGTAGTGGAAGTGGAAGCGACGTTAAGCAGGCTGTGACCACTCCAAGCTCTGTGGCTGCCACTGTGTCCGCCAGCACTCAGTCCACCACGAGTATCGCACCCTCGGTAACGCAGGCAGCAACGCAAACGCCGAACAAGAAGAAGGGCAACAAGAAAAGCCCGTACCTCCCTGCTGGAACCCAACCGGCGCGCCCAACCACCTCAACAGCAGCTGTTGCCACTCTGCAGCAGCCGGCAGTTGCCCACCAACAGCAGCAGCACACTCACCACCACCACCACCACCACCAACAACCTGTGGATGACGATAAAACGCTTTTGCCTCCGCACCAGAATATCATGCAGAACTATCAGTATGATGCGACCACAGGTCAGTTTTGCCCAACTGTCAAATAACCATAATTGTTGTTTTCATGCATGCGTTGACTGATTTGAAAATAATTTAGATATCCATTGATATGTTTACATTTAATTTTCTCAGGAGTTCCCATTTATCAAAATGGAGTAGCCCCTTACACACCGCAGCAGTTTCACGGAATTGACGTTGACTCCGAGACGGACAGCAACCATGACACAGCTTTGACGCTTGGCTGTGCTGGTGGTCACGAGGACCTGGTTGAACTTTTGATCAGCCGAGGAGCAAATATAGGTAATTGTTATCTTAAAGCCAAAGTTCCTCAATGTTCTTACAAGGGAACTTTTAGAGCACCGAGACAAGAAGGGATTCACTCCTTTGATACTTGCTGCAACCGCTGGCCATGAGAAGGTTGTCAAAATTTTGCTGGACCACCAGGCAGACATCGAGGCACAGTCAGAGAGAACTAAAGACACGCCCCTCTCCTTGGCCTGTTCAGGCGGCCGAATTGAGGTGGTTAGCCTTCTTTTGTCCCGAAATGCCAACAAGGAGCATAGGAATGTGTCTGATTACACACCTTTGAGCTTGGCGGCTTCTGGAGGCTATGTGAACATAATCAAACTGCTCCTCAATGCCGGGGCAGAAATTAATTCCCGAACTGGCAGTAAGCTTGGAATTTCGCCTCTCATGTTGGCAGCAATGAATGGCCATACAGGTATTTCAAATCCACCTATTCTGTTAAAAAAGTTCTTATTATAAAGTTTCAATAGCTGCTGTGAAACTTCTTCTTGACATGGGAAGTGACATCAATGCCCAGATTGAAACAAACCGAAACACAGCTTTGACGCTCGCCTGCTTCCAAGGCAGACATGAAGTTGTCAGTCTACTGCTGGACCGCAAAGCCAATGTTGAACACCGAGCAAAGGTGCTCATTTGCTTTCTCTGAAACAGGCTCCTTATGCAATTTCTTTTACAGACTGGTCTCACGCCTCTTATGGAAGCTGCAAGTGGCGGCTATGTGGAAGTTGGCAGAGTGCTCCTCGACAAAGGAGCCGACGTCAACGCTCCACCAGTTCCGTCATCGAGGGACACTGCCCTCACCATTGCGGCTGACAAAGGCCATGTGCGATTTGTTGAGCTCTTATTGAACCGTGGAGCTCAAGTAGAAGTCAAGAATAAAAAGGGAAACTCGCCGTTGTGGCTCGCAGCCAATGGAGGACACCTGAACGTAATAGAAATGCTCTATAACCATGGGGCAGACATCGACTCTCAAGACAACCGAAAGGTAATGATTTTGCTCAAATTTTGATCAAATTTTTAAAATTCCTTTTTCAGGTGTCGTGTCTAATGGCAGCGTTCAGGAAAGGCCATGTTAAGGCTGTTAAGTGGATGGTCCACCGAGTAACACAGTTCCCAAGTGATCAAGAAATGTCCAGATACATCTCCACCATTACCCTGAATGAAAAAGTGAGTTTTTGCAGTTTAATTCCAAAGAAGAAGTAAATAATTTGAAATTTAGGAATTGCTTGACAAGTGCGTTGAGTGCGTCCAAGAGATTAGAGCTGCCAAGGACATGCAGGCCGCCAAAGCCAGCATGAACGCTGATAACCTACTAGAAGAGCTTGATCAGGAAAAGACCAGAGAGGAATCAAAGAAAGCGGCAGCAGCCAGAAGACGAGAACGCAAAAAGAAGAAGAAACTTGAAAAGAAGGAAGAGAAACGCAAGGTAGGAGGTGATGAAAATGATGATGACAAAGAGAGTGGCGATGAGGATGACAAGGATCAGGATGAGCCCCAAGAGACTGTCGAAACCAAGGTGGACGTGCCTCCTGAGAGCCCTGCAGTAGTGGCGCCTCGCAATGAGGTAATGGTTGACAAGGAAGAGGGTGACAGTGGCATCGACGCCAACAGCCAAGGCAGCTGCAGCAGCAATGACGTCAAGTCAAAAGAGAAGCGCAAGGAGAAGAAAAAGAAAAACAAAGGCCCTGTGGTCACTACTGCTGCTACTGCTAAGAGTGATAAAGAAAACTCTCCTGTTCCCGTCCTAGAGAAGGAGGCACCCAAGTCAAAGCAGCCAGCCCCTGCTCCTCTTCCCACTTCCAAAGACATAAAACCTCCAGCCGCAATGAGCCAGCCTGTTGAAAAGTCGGCGCCCACCCCTGTTCTGCAGGGTAACAGCCAAACTCCCATGACTGAAACAAACAACATCAGCAACAAGCGTGGAAGCAACAAAGTAAACAAGATCCCTCATCTAATGTTTGAGGCGACTCCGAAGCCACAGCAACATCAGCATCCTGCTGAGAGGGAAGACTTTGAAGCCACTGGAAATGAGACATATGTTCCTTCGTCCAAGAGCAAAAAGTCATCAGCTTACCTAAGCACCACCATGTAAGTTGAAACTTGATAATAAGTAATTATTTTTCATTAATGAAACTCTGTTTAGCCAATACTGTGATTCAGAGCCTGCTCCTGTAACCAAGAGTTCCACAAGTCCTAAGCAAGGTGGTAAAAGAGAGGAAGGTTGGAAGGAAGTTGTGAGAAAGTGAGTAATTTTAAACTTTTCTACCAACAGATCTGCAAATTTTTTTCCCCCAGGTATGTCAATTCTCCTTTCAAATCTAAGAAGGTCCTTGTTCCCTCAAACGCCATCAGCAGGGTGATTGGCAGAGGAGGCAGCAACATTAACGCAATTAGAACTGCCACAGGGGCGCACATTGAAGTTGACAAGCAGACCAAGGGCCAGGGCGAGAGAACTATAACCATCAAGTAAGTATATTTACTGCCATTGTTTTCAATTGGCATAAAACTATTCCATATCCCTTTGAAAATATACTTAGAATTTGCCTTCTCTTTATTATAGGGGATCTTCCGAAGCCACAAAGCAAGCGCACATGCTGATTTCTGCTCTTGTCAAGGACCCAGAGGCGGACCTCACAACCATTTTGCCAAAAAAAGGTGCTACAGCGGCGTCTTCGGCAACCAGTGGAGTTACTTGGACAGCCGAGATGACCAAAGTTGCTGCACCTACAGGCAAAAGCAGCAAGTCCAGTGCTGCTGGTGCAACAGCGGCGTCCAAGCCTATTCCTCTGTCCGCTGCTCAGCCTAATGTGGCCTCAAAGCAGAGCATTGCCACGGCCCAGCTGCAGAAACTTGGTTGGTTCTTAGAAGGCAAAGTGGAGGCTACTCCAGAAATGCTTGCAAACGTCCTCCCAGGTGCCAGCACTAGCGCGCTGACCTCCTTGTTGAATTCTAACCTGAGAAGTGCAGTGAGCACCAAGACCACCACCACCATGGCCAGCAGCCGAAGTGCTGCCACTGCTCCGAGACATGCAGCTGCTGCTGAAAAGAGAGCCGCAGCTGCCGCTGCGGCTTCGAACAACACAAAGACCACCATGTCCTACACAACGGCCATCATGACTGCAGGCAGGGCAACCAAAATATCAACCACCACCACTCAGACCTTTGCTGCCAAGCTGACTGAGAGCTCGGCCCCAATCCAGGGCTTGACCACCAGCACAACGCCCTCGCAGCCCAAACAGTCCAGAGGAGCAGCAGCTGCTTCTTCGACTCCTCAATCCACTCCTGTCCCTCAGTCGCCGATCAAACATTCTGCTGCTCCAACGGCGTCCAGAGCTTCAACTGCCGGAATTCCTTCCTTGATAGATGCTGCACCCATGGTGAAACCTCTGATGGCAGAATCTGTTCCCAACGGGCCACCTGCTCAAGCTCAGCACAGCCAGCAGGGAAGAAAGACACCCCAGGAACAGCCACAACAGATGCAACCTCCCCAGCAACAGCCCATTGCAAGGCCGTCCAGCCGGACAGAGACTCCTCTGCAACAGTACTCCCTCTTCAACGACAGCAAGGTATTTTTTTTTTTCAAATTATTTATTATTTTAAATTTGAATATTATTATACTATACCTCTAATTGTGTAATTTAGAAAAAAAAAATACTTATTTTGAGCTAAAACTCATTTTGTTAAATCCACTTTTTATTTTTGGCAATGATGATTACAGAAAATGTTACAGCTCAAAATATTCCTTTAGCAAATATGTTTTTCGTTTACCAACATTATTTTTTGATCCTAGCCTGTCTGGGGATGTGAGAATGATGCTGCCTGCCAGAAGGGTATGAACTTTGCCAGTGTGGCTGCTGCAGGTAATGCCTCAGGCCCTGGCCAAGCAATTGCTGCCCCCAAATTCCTGGACAGCCTGCCGCCTCAGGTGGACGCCTCCAAGGCTCCCGGCTACAGAGGAAGCTCCATATCTTCGCCGGTGCTGCCCAAGGCGTCAATTTCGGTTCCTCAAGTGCCCTCCAACTATCAGAATGCACCCTCGAACTTCACTGAGCCACCACCTCCTCTCCCAACACCTATTGGAATGAACACGTCGCCCAACCAGAAGCAGGCACATCCAATTGCGAGACCAAGCAGTCACGGTGACATCGGCCCTCCACCTGTGTCGCAAGCCGAGACCTACAGACAAATGCTGAATGAGCGGGCGGAAATGCAGAGAGCCTCTGGCCACATGCACATGTCCTCGTCCAACATCATTGAGCCTCCGCCCAACCAGCAGCAGCAGCAGTACACCTTGGCGCCTTCGCCTGGTTACGAGCACCCACCACCATTGTTGAAGGTTGTGCAACCGCAATCTGGTGGTCAAGGTCACCACCAGGAGGCCGGTCAGCAACACATGATGGGTCCCTACCCTCCTACGCCACCACAAAGTGCAGGGCCCAACATGCAGCAGCACTATCAGAGCGGCGCCAATGCCAATCAAGCCTCGGCAGCCTCCATGTCTCCACCCAGCATGCATTCCAGGTAAGAAATTTCTCCTACAACATTTTTCCTAATTATCATGCTCAATTAAAAGTTTTTATCTCAAGGAAAATATCTTTTAATGTCACATCTACAGAAAACATGATTAATATCTTTAGATACATTTTTAAGGAAATCAATTTGATCATTGGCCAATACAACCAGTCAAATTGATCTGCACGCTTTTCATTCTAATTACAGACTTAATCCTAGGGCTCCGGACTTCTCAAGCTCCCTGCATGGTATGGGCGGCAAGCAGCAGTCTCAACAGCAGCAGAGCATGGGTTCGCAGCAGCAGAATGTGCAGAGTGGTGGTTCGCAACCCCAGCACCAGCAGATGTCTCACCAGATGCCCCAGATGTACAACATGCAGCCGAACCAGGCCAACGCCAACCCGATTATTCTGAACCAGTTCAAGCCGAACGCCTCAAACTCGTACCACCGAGGCTCAGGGGCGCCCCCAAGCCACCACCAGATGCCGCCCACGCGCTGGTCCATCCCAATGACCCACAACATGCACCACCAGCAGGATCTCCTCAACTATCTGCCGCAGAATATGCCGCCCGAGATCCTCGGTCTAGAAAACGGCGCCCAGCTGCACCACCACGGCTCACCAACCAACATGTCGCCGTCGGCCAACAACAACTCGCCACCAGTTGACCAGTTAGCCGCCGCCCAGTTGGCCAAGCAGTTGGAGGAGCAGCGAAGGGTCCCGAGGCCTATTGGCACCGAGAGAGCGTGGAAGTACTCGATGAACAATGCTTCCGAGCAGGACGCCTGGTTGAATCAGAACAAGATGGTCAACCCTTCTTGGGCTGGCAACCCTCCGGATCGTCTACCCTATATGATGGGTCGTCCTGGAGGAATCAGGCTGGACGAGCTTGACAATGCGTACCATGTAATTATATTCTGCAATATATTATTTCACAAAGTTTTTAACTCAGAATAACGTTTAATAATTTTTATAATTTTTGCAAATAGTTTTCAACCAAGTATATTTTATTTTACAGAACCAGCCTGATGGATCCCATAGCTTCTTGAATGGAGCAGCACCGGCCATGAACATGATGCAGCATGGCATGTACATGCCGTTTGTTGGAGCCGGGTTAGGTCCTGACATGGGCCCAGACATGATCGGCAAACTGGAAGCTCCGAGTTGGGACCCTACTGCCCGTATGGGATTGACTGAATTGCCAGACAAGCCTCAAGTAAGTATGATTTCAAATGCCTTGATGTGTGTAACTTGATTCTGGAGGACCTCATTTTTATTTGCTTACTTTGCTTGTCTTTAATTCCATTTTTGCAACTTTTAGGGTTGGAACAATTGGAGCAAATAAGAAGATCAAAGTGGTAGTTGCAGCAATTGTTGAAGATGATTTACGATGCAGCAAGATACTTGAATAGTCAATGCCACGCGCGTTTACTATCACATTTTTTAAACACACGCAAAGAATTCAATCCTACCATCCGTAGTTAAACCGGTCAAAATGTTGAAGAAAAAATTACCACTGCTTTGTCCACTCTTCTCTAATAGTTCTGGGATCCAAACGTGTTTGTAGCCTGCTTAGTAAGACCTGTTATTGATTAATTGCATTCTCAAGAGACCGCTTTGGATGCTGCTTAATTTCCAACTGAACTTAAATTATTTCATTTTGGTACGCGATTATTATTTTTTAGTAGATTCGATGATGGAAAAATACCTTCCAAGGATAAACACGTGCGTTTGCTTTTTGTTGGCTTTTCGGAGTTGTACGATAAAAAACCATCATGTGGTTCTCAGGCCACCTGCCTGATCACAAAATATGACTATTATGAAAGTATGGATATACTAAATGAGCTGAAGTGTTAAGTGGGATTGTGGAGCGGACGTCGACGAGCGCCGCCCGACCCACAGCTGCATATTATGTTCTTGCGTTGGCCCTTCGACTGAGCCGCCTCCTCCTGATGCACCGGAGGAGAGCCGCCCCGACTGGCCACCCCCACCTATGATTGCTCTCCCATTTCAATTACCTTGATAATTATTATCTCACAGAGTGTGCAAATACAGTGTAGATGATGGGATGGGTATTAAAGATCAGTTGTCAAAACCACCTGCCTCTTTCTATCACACACTTGTCTTGACGAACATCCTAAAGATAGCTAACCCCAACTAGTGGCCTACCTTAGTTTGTAGAGTGTCTTTCAGCAAAGCAAGGTCCTCTTTGTTTAGTTGATAGGAGTCGGACAGGAAGCGAGTCCTGCAACTTCTATGGCAACTTGGAAGCATTTTTTTGAAGCAGGATTATTTGTTTATCTTCCATATTTCTTTTTAGAAATGATGCTGTATTTATTTTTTACAATTGTATCTTGTGTTTATTACTACCTTGCATGAACAATGATGATTACATGATAAAGCTTAAGGATTAGAAAATCCCAAATTGAAGGGTCGCAGTGCCGTGTATAAATCATTCGCTTGTACATTATACAAAAAAATTATTTAAAATATATATCCACAATACGCACTGTAATGGTTAGAATTTTTAGTCAATCACATCCCTGACTTGAGTTTTGCATGTCATTCATTTCAATTAAAGACAAATTTTTATTGCAATTATTTTAAAGTCGATGCTGCATGGAAATGATGAACTGAACAGTCATATTTATTAAATATTAGACACTCAAACAGGTAGGTTAGTTGCTCAAACTAAAATGCAAAGTTATTTTTTTAAATTTCAAGTCAAAATTATCATTTATTAGTAAGACCAAATATGGACAAAATGCAATAATTGTTCCTAAATCTTTCGGCAAGCGCAAAACTTCACAGCTCATTGTGCCTGGACAAGATGCGAGATTCTAAATCGTAATGAAGCTTCTCTGCCTTTCTGACTTGCTTCTTGATCTTGTCCATCTGGGTCAGCGCCTCTTCAGACATCTTCCCGTCCATCTCGGATTTCAACCTGTCCTTGTGAATCTCAGCCTCAACTTGGAGATGTCTGAGCTTCAGCAGTCTATTTTCATAATGCAGAAGTTCCACCTAAAGTTTAGATAATTTAAATAAGCATTGAACACTGGTTTAAACAGAACGCTCACTCTTAGCGATTCGAGTTCGTGAGTTGTGAAATTTGACTGGGCAGCAATTCTCCAGAGTCCCTGCACTTTAGGCTCAACGAACTCTTTATTATCAGGTCCTTGTGCTGCCAAACGATGAAGCCTATCATAGCCATCACGAATTTCTTGGTGGTGTGCTCTACCATTAAAATATAAATTTGAGCTGTTAATGCAATAATGATTTTAAATACTTTAATTTTTTTGCTTGGCCAGAGTATTTCTTCTCTTTCTCCTCGACTTGCTCAATATCATTGAAACCAGTGTTTTCTTCATCGAGAGAATCTATATTATGATTTTTTTTCATTTAAGTATGACCATTTGAATTTTTCAGATTTTTATTTAATTTTCCTACTTGCAACATTTCCTTGCTCGATGTCGGAGAGCAGGCCGTGATACTGATCAATTTTGTCCTGGTGGTGGGTGAATTCCTCATGTAATGTTTTTAATTCAGCAGCTGATGGAAAATTTCTTTATTTCAAAAATAACAAAATTATAAAATGGTTTTACTTGTAAACCCAGATTTTTCAGCTTTCATCCACAGCTTGTTCAGTTTCTTGTCTCGGAAGACTAATTTGTTTAGATGTTCGTCACCTGCTTCGTTGAAAGCTGGGTGGTTATCAGGTGTTTTGAGCTTCTTTGGGTCATTCACGTCTTCAAAGTGCTCCAATAACCCATAAGTGCTCATTATCCCTATTAATTTTTTCCTCATCTCTGCCTCTTTTAAACCTTCCTTGTCCCCACCGTCAGACTTCATTTTCTTGAAAGTGAGCTCCTCTTTGTCGTGGATTTTCAGTTCGCTGAAGAGCGACTTGAGCTTTGATTCTGTCAATCTCTGAAATTGACAAAAAAAAATAAGGTAAATAAATTATTTGCATTTAATTAAAGAAAAGACTTTCTGAGCCTTTGACCACAGAATGTTAACTTTGGCCATTCTGAACGGCGACTGCAGGTTCCTAAAGTAGGATAGGTCTAATTTGGCCTCCTTTTCGTAATTCATGTTGGCCTCTTTTGAATATTTATTGTTCCCACATTCCACGACGCTGGAGAAAAGCACCAAGAGGAAGAGCAGGTGCAGCGCACAATGGATTCCATTCATTCGTTTCATGGTTTATCTGCACATATTAAATATTCAATTAAAATAATGTACATAATAATCCGTATAAAATTATGTACTAGAAAAATAACTTCAATATTGCATCAAAGAAAAACCATACCTCAATAGAATTGTCTAAACAATTAATTAAATTTCGAGCAAAATTAATTCACGATTGTTTTCATCCCTATTTGCATTATTTTTCCTCTCTCATCTCTCGTTGTTTCGTTGCTCCTGCTCACTCCTGCTCTTCTCCTCCTTCTCCCCCTTCTCCTCTCCTTTTACATTTATTGCAATGCGGCCAACCTAACTGTAAATGGATGTTTTAAAATATAAAAAATTTAATTCAGAATCCAAACGTGTGTGAAAATCATGCTAATCACTTTATTTACAACTGAAAATGGTATAGAGTTTACATTCTACAAGCAATTAACGTACTTTATTGAATTTATAAATCTATTTTGTTCCCTCAAATGACGTCATTGGTTGGCAACATTGTTTAAATGGCAAGACCCAGCCCATTTTGCATGGAGACTGGTGGGTGAAAAACAGAACAACTACAGATTACTACAGAAGGGACTCAGCTGTCAGCACAAGTTTGTGACACAACCAACTCTCAAAAATAAAAACAAAATCCAAGAGCAAGCACAGAAGCTGGTTACAGAAGTCGTTTGGTTGGAAATCCAAGTTCCTTCTGCTGCTTTTGCAAAGGTTTTTTCGCCACCAAATCGAGCGAATCCAAGAATTTCATGTTGACCCAAATTTGATTTGCAAAGAAGATTTTTGATCGAGTCGCGAATCTCGAAAACTTCGCGAGCATAGCCAGCTATGGAAGTAGAATGTGAGGGATTCACGTTCACTTCGAAATTTGACTCTGGAAACTTGGATCGGGTCGAGTTCGTGCCGAAAAACAGACCAGGTAAGCTTAAAGAAGTTTTTCCTGCCAAAATAATAATAAATTGGTAAACTGGCGTTGTCACAAAATTGCCAAATTTTTTTCCTAAATTTTAGACGAACGAGATTCTTAAAATTCATACTAAATAATCATACCTAAAAAATACATATGTATTACAAAAAAAATCGTGATCGACAATCTTGACGATGTTTCTAGAAAATCACAATGGAAAAACAAACTCTGCGTCTGAACATCAGGACTTTGAGTTCAATTTGTGGACCAAACCAGATTGTGGACACACAGAGTTTGAGAATGGAAACAGGACATGGTTCTACTTTGGAATCAAAGGTGGGCATCAAATATATTATATATTTTTTTTTTTACATTTTATAAATTAAATATCATAAATTTTATTTTAAATATAGGAGGACCTCCTTTCTCTTTGGTCAAACTCAACATTATGAACATGAACAGGCAGCACAAAATGTTCAGTGAGGGAATGGCTCCTGTATTCAAAGTTGTGCCAGGACGAAACCATTGGGAACGAATCCACGACAAGCCGGCTTTCACGGTAAGTCCAAAACTGACATGCACTTGCAAAAAAAATGTTGTGTAAGCTTTTTATTGATTTCGGTTCGCATGAACCAAATAATATTAGTTTCCAGGAATTTATTGCATAAGACTGATGGATAAAAATATTCTTCAAAGCCAGACAAGTGCAACAAATTTATTCGATTTTATTCCTTGAATTCTATTTTTGCAGTGCTTGTGACGCAATTGATCTGCTCAATTTCAAAATAAATTTTGTTTAATCACAACGTTTCATTACATGTTTTTGGCAAGGGCGCAAGCGCTTGAGACATCAAAGCATGCGGAGGGCGATTGTATTTTTATTTTGGACAAGGTCACGCTCATTTGCAATTCATATTTTCTCATGCTCCTTTTCCGTTCGACCAGTGCTGTAACTTTTTTTGGGCTGGTCTAATCACTAAAAGATTTGGTGCTGAATTATTCAAAAGTTTGCAGTTGTTTTGCTGCATTGGCCTTGGCCGTGACAATTAAATTATTTTGTTGTAGAACTTCAATTTTAATTCAAATCAAAATTAAATTATTGCCGTCTTGATTTCAGACTGAGCAGAAAAAGTTCACCCTGAGCTTCAAGTTCCGCACCCTGGAAAACCAGAACGCCACCACCTATTTTGCCTTCACCTACCCGTTCTCGTACACGGACATCCAGAACCACCTGAAACACATCGACACCAAATCTCAGCCTTACAAGCAGCAGTACGAGCAATCCAAGGATCCCAACACCATTTACTACCACCGCGAGTGCGTCGTCAGGTCCACGGAACACAGGAGGGTTGACCTTTTGACAGTCACCTCTTATGATGGCATCAGTGATGAGCTTGAACCCAGACTCAGGTAGATTAAAATTTTCATTTGGTCCTTTTTTTCCTGTGATATTATGGCTATGTATTGTTTACAGAGAGTTTAATTTAATTAGTGATTTGTAACTTACTATTTTAATTCAAAATTTGAAAAAATTGAAAAATTTTACCCTCAGGTACCTGTTCCCTGAGACCAATGTGCCAAGACCCCACAAATTCCCCAACAAAAAGGTTGTTTTCGTCAGCGCCCGGGTGCACCCTGGTGAGACGCAGTCCAGTTTTGTGCTCAACGGCATGCTCAACTACCTGCTGCAGCCCACCGACCCTGTGGCGCAGCTGCTCCGCAAGCAATTTGTCTTCAAGTTCATTCCGACCCTCAACCCAGACGGCGTTGCTAATGGACACTACAGAACTGACATGAGGGGCGTCAATCTCAACAGGGTGTATCTCAACCCGTCTCTAATCCTGCACCCCACCATCTTTGCAGCAAGATCTCTCATAAGGTAAACTTAACTCTAGTTTGTATGTAAAATAGCTGTAAATTTACAACCAAAAGAGCAAAAAGTTTCAAACCTTCCTCCATTTAAAAAAAAATTGTTTTTACGAATATAAAGAGGGTTTGTTTGTAGATTGAATTGAAATATTTATACAAAGCCATTTTAAAATGATTTTTTTTAATTTAATTTGAAATTGGTCTATATTATTAGATACCACCATTATGGCTGTGAAATGCCTGAGGAAGACAATATCCCTTGGGATTCAAATCTGTACACCACCTCTGAATCCTCAAGCCCTGACCTTCTGCCTTGCGGCTCGAATTCGGCCGTGTGTCAAGAGGAGAGCGACGGCAGCTTTTCCGACGGCTCCCCCAACCCAAAGCAAAGATTGTTGGCCAGCAAGAATGACGACGCAGCCAAGTTTGACGAAGACACCCGCAGCTCAGAGGGATTCCTCAATGCCAAGCGTCTATCGGAAATGAACATCGTTGACGAAAACAGCTGCAGTATTGTTTCCGTTGACGATATCACCAAATGCTCAGTTATGAAGAACAAGATAATCATCCAGCAATCCAACAGGACTGAAGTGGCGTCATTTGAGAATGTCCTTCTGACTGAGAGGAGCAAGAAGCAAGAGGAATTGACGCAGGAGCCTGCCGAGTCTGGTATTTTCATGTATTTGGATCTTCACGGCCACGCTTCAAAGAAAGGTTTGGTTTGAACTTTTTCCAAAAAAATAAATAAATAAATAAAAATCATTATTTTCTGTGGTAGGTGTTTTTATGTATGGAAACCACTTTGAAAACATAGAAGACAGCATTGAGACGTTCTTGATGCCGAAACTCATGTCTTTGAACAGTCTTCACTTCCACTTCACTTCCTGCAACTTCAGCAAGCGCAACATGTATCTCAGGTAATTAAATTATTAAATCAGAATTTGGATACAGGAAATTTAAAATTTTTATTATTCTAGGGATAAAAGAGATGGAATGAGTCGTGAAGGCTCTGGCAGAGTTGCCGTTTTTAAAATGACTGGGCTTGTGAGGTGCTATACTCTTGAATGCAACTACAACACTGGCCGTATTGTCAACACTTTGCCGAGCAGTGGCAAAGACAATGGAAAATCTCCTGCAGCACCTGTTGTTCCTCCAAAGTACAATCCTCCACTTTTTGAAGAAGTAATGTTTTTAAAATATTTCAATCCAATCTGAAATTTAACGTGCTTCTCTCAATCGCAGGTGGGAAAATCCATGGCAGTCTCGATCTTGGATCTCACAGGCTCCAATCCGTTGAGCCGCATCCGCCACTCCGAGTTCAGAGCGCTGTCTGGTGTAAAAGACTGGCTGAGACGCTACATCCAGACTGACCTCAGCATGCCTCGTATCCAGCGGAAAACAAGTTTTCAGGTAGGCCCTCGACATGATGACAATGAGCAGTCATTTTTCGTCTCATACTCACTGTGATTCTCAAATTCCATTTTGACGTTAGTCTATTGACAATAAAATTTTAAAAAAACCAATTGGTTATTTATGTTTGGTTCACAATTTATTTGTTTTGACCTTAGTTTGGAATTTGACATGATAAGAATTAAAGAAGGCCTATTTCATAGTTTGTTTTTGGCACATATTTGTTGCCAGGTGACCACCACCACAGGTTTGTCCTCCTGTGTCGTCTCCTCTGCTGGACCCTCCTCTCTGCCCCCTCTCGTAGACGCTTGTTCCTCTGCAGCTAGCCAATCCACCGCGCGCTCTGGTCGCCGAATTAAAACGCACCTCACACCCCTGGTCAACAAACCGGGCTCCAAAAGCGCCGTCATTGTGGTCGACCTCAAGGAAAACCTCGCCTCGAGCAGCCAAAACGCAGACTCGGTGATGAAACTGAAAAACCCAATGTCGCCCAAGGAAAATATCCTTCAGGCGCCGTCCTTCTCCAAAAGCAAACTGGGTCAAGAGGCGTCGGCGGGAAGAGTTTCCAAAACGCGCAAAGACAAGCCGAGCAGTTCTCCGCCCGAGGCGAAACTGATCAAGAAGTTGGAGAAGACGGACACAAGCGCCAAAAGCGTCCAGGTTCTCAAGCAAGGATCCAAAAGGCTGCGGATTTCGTCGGTGAAACAAGAGGTGCACTTGGAGAACACCTTCCAGGTGTTGGCGACCAAGCCGGACACTCTCTGGGACAGTCCGACGACGTCCAAGGCGAGTGGCTGGCGGCCCTTTGTGGAGCAGCAGCCCCTCAAGAAGCAGCAGTCTTCAGAGTCTGGTAAGGAGGCGCCGACTGGTGCCAAAGGTAAGCAGGTGCGCACCCCCAAGACGGCCCAGTTGCGGGGGCCGCACCTTTCGCCCATCAAGAAGGGCAACCTGACCAGGAAGAAGAGTTTCGAGTGGGAAAAGAAGAAGAACAAGATGCTGATCAAAAACAAAAAGCTGACTATCTCGAGTGAGGAGTCTCTCGAGAATGCTCCTCTGCCCGAAAACTTCTAATCGAGCGTTTCGAGCAGTCTGATTTTTTTCTCGTTGAATTTTCAATTGGTTTGCTACTGAACAAACCAGCAATTTTTACACGATTCAAATCCATTCAAGGGAGTTTACCTATAGGTCTGGGACAAAATTTCTCTCTGCTAAACGTTAACAAAGTAGACCATCTGTGATAAAAGTTAAAATCATCTGTCTTTATTTCATTTTGTGATTCGCAAGTGGTGACTTCTGAAAATTTATAATGACACAATTAATGCTATTTTTCAATTAAGATGATAAGTCCACCAAGTAAAATCTCTGATCTTCAAGTTTTTATTGTTATTATTTTTCTTGGAAAAAATAGAAAATTTCTTTTATATATTTACACCATGCTAATCAATTAAATAACCATAGTAAATAAAAGTTGAAACATTTACTATTTACTACTGAGAATAGAATAGCGAGTTTAAAAGTTTAAACCAATAATTTGGAAAACGGTACCAATTTTTCTAAATTAAATAGCATCGGCTTTTAAGGTGCAAGAGTTTCATATTGAAAATTATAGAAATATGAAAGTTGAATTACACATTTCTAGAGCTGTGCAAGATATCTATCTGTTTACAATGGAAACTATATATTGATGTGTTCTTGTGAGGCAGTAAAACACTCTGCCGTTAATATTTTATTTGAGTGAGACACTGCGATTAACGATTCAAATATTTCATTTGCTGAAGTAGCGATTAATGATTATCATGTCTAATCTCAAAAATTTTAGTGCATTATGCAATGCAATACCTAATTTTTGGTATTGTAGTCTTGTATTATTTACTTTTGAAGTCAAATTATTTTGTACATAATGGAGAAATATGAAAACCTGTTTCGACCTTTGTGTAGGCTTCAAAGTTACTAGTCTTTTGTTCCCTTCTGTTGCCAGACTAACGAGTCTTGGAATATTCAATAAAAGTACACCCTAATCAATTCTCAAAAATATATTAATCATTTTTCCATCACCCTCGGCACATCTTCCATATCAGAGGTTAAATAAAAATGGTTTGTTAAATTGCCTTCTTTGGATTTGTTAACTTTAATTAAGAATTACAATAATTGAGAATCATTAAATTTCATCCAATTGAAGCTGCACTTCCTTTATCATTGACTAGGACATTAATTTTTCACATTTTATCAAAACCATCCACTCGTCTCTTTTGTTTCTTGAGCACTCATGAAAAATAATCACAACTCTTTCTTGTCGGCACCAGTCGTGTACTTGTTGTACTTATTGTTCTTGGGTGGCAAACAGTAACAAGCCTCTGTCTGGCTGTCCATGTAGGATTTGCAGCCGAGAGTCATTGTGGCGGTGAATAGCATTTTAGACGCCGCCTTGCAACCTTTAAAGAAACCATGAAAACAATGTGAACCTTTTGGATAAAAAAAGGAAACCTTTTACAAAAGGTTCGCCCATGTGTTGGTGGGCCTCGCAGATCTTGTAGAGACACCTTTTGAAGTCAAAGTCGCACTTTTCTTTATCGACATTGCAAGTGTCGTAACAAATGTCATGCTGGTTGCAGCATTCGGTCATTTCAGCCACAGGCAAGTACTCCTCGTCAATCTTCAAATTTTATATTTTTATTTCTTAGTTGCGAGTAAAAAGAAGTACTAAACAATGTAAGAAAAGGAAAGGAAAAAATTGGCAAAAATATATATTATTCTAGTTGAGCTGTAGTTGAGTTTGAAAATGTTCTTGAATTGTTTAAAATTTTTGAAAACAAAAAGGAATAAAATATAAAACGGGAATAAACTGGTTAACGCTCATGAAATGTCATTATGAATTTTTTATCTTACTCTGAACAGATTCTGAAATTCATTAATTCACTGAGGGGCATAAACTATTTTGCTTTTTTCTTAAAATAAATTAAATAATTCTAACAAACAATCAAATTTAATTTGATTTTATAGTACTTTTTTAAGTATTTGTAAAAAATTAAGTATAATTAAGGCTTTGGGACTTGATAAGTTAAAGGGTACTCACTGTTACTCCAAGAGAGCCGCATCCATCGGAATTTGGTGTGTGATATTTATTTCGAACTGCTAACCCACCTACAATATGCAATAATACATAATGGTAAAAATCGTAAAAAAAACACACCATAAATTAGTATTTTAAGTGTAAGTAAACAGAGAAGAGTAAAATATATATAATATTTTTATTTTTTTCGTACTCAAAATGTTTTGTGCCAATCTAATGATTATGATATCCTTTGATCTTCCATTTTTAAAATTTATTAGTTTAATTCAATAAAAAACGCATCATGTGATGCAATACTATGCACAGCTAGGCTATTTTATGTGCATCATAAATCATAAAAATAAAAAAATTTAACAAATTGCAAATAATTATTATGTAAATGTGTGTAAAATTAATTAAATAAAAACTTTTTGAATGAAACCTATTAGGGTATAATATTTTATTTGAAGAAAAATAATGGTAAAAAATATTAAAGCTGACTATACCATTATTGCACTTAAAAGTACATGTCTCCTCTACGGCGGCGTCGAATACACTGTGGATGTCCCTGAAACGCCTGGCCACAGTGACGACATTGCCGAGCACGTCCTGAAAGACGGTCTCCGCGGCCAGCACCGCGTCCCTCAGGTTGTTGAGGGCGCCCGACCCGTAGCCGCTGTACGCGTACCCCAGAAATGTCAGCGCGTAAATGAGAATCTTCATCTTGGGAATCTGCAACATTTTCGAAAATTCACTCTCTAGTCCGCACGAGAAAGTCGAAACTCAAAATTAATGGCAGGCCCGATCAAAAGAAGCGCCGCCGGCTGGGTGTCTTACGTTCGGACACTCTGGTTGATGCGCTCCTCGAGGGAGGCGCAAAAATCACCCTGTTTTTATTTGCAGCCTCTTTTTCTCTTCTCAATGTGCGTCAGCTGGTCGCGCCGGAGTGCTATTTTCAGCGGGCAGTCTCAGTTCCTCTCCCACGTGACGTGATCATCCACGCCTGTCCGCGAATGAGAGAGCGGACAACGCATGCGTCGGACGTCCACGTCGCGATTAATTCCTGTTGGACCACTTGGACAAATCTTTAGTTTTTTGCCTCCTTTTAGACAAGACCACGACTTTTCCTGCTCCTAGATATTATATTAATTAAAATATATATTATTATTTACTTATTTTAATGTAAAATATTAAATTATAATAAAATAATTAATAATTTCAATGTAAAGTCATTAATTGATAATTTAATTTATTTTCTTAGCCGATAATATCTTATTTTTAATAAACTTGCTTTAAAAAATAAATTTTCTATTCCCTTGCTTATCGTTTTACAATTTTTTTTTTAATTGTTTATTCAATCATAGTGATGCAAAGGACGGGCAAAATATTTATTTTAAAAGTTTTTTTTTTAATTTTTTTTCATCATTCCGTGTTTAATTTTCATTTATGTTGCCACATTATTTTGCTAGTAGTGTATTGAGCTCTGCCGCCGCTACACTTGACTGACCTTTCAAATATATAATGCACACCCCGGGTCCCCCCACATTCCATTTACATAGTTTTGAGCTTTGTTCGATGGTGCACAGATGGCGTTTCGTACGTCCTTTGCGAATTTTGTTTTTTGTCGCAGAGAACTAACGCAAAGGCAGGCAAAACATTAAGCGAAATTGAACTTCTCAAAATGCACCCCTCTAATTAACCGCACCGTTTTCACTTGAACCAACCTTCACTGACAGCAGCCCAGCGTCGGAAAATGTACACGGCCATGGACTACTTTGCAGACCTCTACCATTCAGCCCTCGAGGCCGAGGTCCACTGGATTCATCATTTGCAGAAGAGGTTTAAATTTCGAAAACACACACAAGCCTCGTTTTAGATGTCAATAATTAATTTTATTTTTCCACAGTTTTCCCAACGGAGACCACTTCTTTCAGTCCATCACGGAGACGGCCAACCCTTACTACGCCTTCTCCATCTTCTTCCCCGTCTTTTCCGTTCTTAGTCCTCACCTGGCTGCCAAGATCCTGATGACAGCAACCTTGTCTGAGTGGATAAACGCCCTTTTAAAATGGTTAAAATTTTTGAAGCTAGATTTAATCAAATTCTATAATTTTTAATTAATCAAAGGTTGCTGATGGGCCACCGTCCATTCTGGTGGGTCCGAGAGATCCTCGAAGAGAACCAACCACTGAGCACTCCGAAATTGCGCCAGACGCCTTTGACCTGCGAAACAGGGCCTGGAAATCCGTCCGGCCACGTCATGTCTTACGCCTCCATCTGCCTGCTGCTGGTTTTTGCAATTAACGAATTCACCGAGAGGAAATTGTGTGTGCGCTTAATTTTTTTGCACTCAAGAATTTTCTAATCTTGATGTTTCGCAGGTCGGAGTCACTTCACCAAATGATCAAAGTGGCCTTGTGGGCTTTCTATGCCGTGTCCCTGGTGATGGTCAGCTTGTCCCGATTGTACGTCGCTGCTCATTTTCCTCACCAGTGTCTCATCGGAGCTATAATAGGTAAAATTCTCAAAGAGGTTTACTATTTTTTGTCTAAGAAAATTCTTTACTTAATTTTGTTTTGGGCCTTAAATAATTCAACAAATTAAAAGTGGACTTAAAAAAATAGCAAGAAAAAGCATAAATTATTATAACAAAAAATAATGGGATAGTTTAAACAAATTTATTGAAGAAATTTTTTTAATGGAAAGAAATTTAATTTTTGTAGCTCTTTTTCTAATGGAAATTGAGATATCGGGCTTTTCCTTGTTGCAGAAAAATTGTTTTTATTCATTCTAGTATAAGTCAGCGAGCAGCGCGTTTGCTCATGAAATAGGTTGGTACTTGAATTTGTTAGTTTTAAGATTTTATTTTTATGTTAAAATGTGGTGTTTTTTTTTTTTCATTTTTGCTGATTTTTGGTATTTTTCTTGCTCATGAAATAGGGTCACATTTGTTCCGTGACCGAAACTGGTAGAGCCAATTGTTTTTGAATAAAAACAATTTTTCTGCAACGAGGAAAAGCCTGATCTCTTCATTTCTATGATCATCTCCTCGAGTGTCAACTTCTTCAAACTTTTTCTAATGCTTTGTTTCTTTAAATTAGGAGTCTATGTTGGATACCAAGTGGAAATTCTGTCTCCGTGGTGGCTCAATGACTGTTCGAGACGCAAAATGCTGAAAGGAGCTGTTCTGATGATAGTCCTGGCGTTTGCTGCCTATTGGCTGCAGCGCCTTCTCGGGGTCAATCCTCAGTGGTCGGTCAAACTGGCCTTCAAGTGGTGCAACTCTCCCGATCATGTTCACGTCGCGACAACGCCAATTTTTGCCCTCACCCGTGACTGCGGCACGGCTCTCGGCCTTGCCCTCTCAATTCCAGCCATTCCTGCTCCACGAAAAGTAGCATCTTCACCAAGATTTGTGCAATTTGGTTCTAAATTTTATATTCTTTCAGCCCTGCTCGAAGTCGGACTTGGTGACCTCGTTCGTCCTGCGCGTCTCGTCCGTGCTGGCCGTTCTGTGGGTCTGTCACGTCGCCAAACAGTCCATCCCGACCAAGCACACATACATGTACTTCTTGTGCTTCTTGTTGCTCAACGCATGCATCCCAGTAATGCTGCTAGTCACTGTTCCATCCATTTGCAGTGCTGTCATGAAGACCCTTTTCGGAACGCCCAAAAACAAAAAGGAGTAATTTTTTTTTTAACTCCCAATTGAAATTTCTCTCTTCCAATTCCATTATTTGCCTTAACTCATGACGCTCTGCAATTCATTTTGATCTGCCTCTTTCTCTCTCTCTTCTAATGTCGTCCCATTCCAAAGTTACATAATTTGAACTTTTCAAAACAACTTCTCTCATTTATGATTGAGCTAGCTAAAATGCTGCTGCGCCCTCATTCACCTTGTACCACTTTGTGCTTTGTAGAAAGAGACTAAAAGTGTGGCAATGTTCATCGTTCTTATAAATGCCTTGTAAATCTAGTCAGGTAGTAATTAGCACTGGCACTTGAGTTCTTCATTATTTGCTGTCGCTCACTCATTACCTGCAATGCCTTTTGAAAATTCATTCAATCAAGTTGTGATACCAAAGTAAACAAACGCCTTAATTGCACTAATTTTATTTAAAAATCACAGTGCTTGGAACACAAGTTCAAAGTAAAATTCAAATACAATTTTGCTGTATTGCGAGAAAAATGCTTCTTGTACCTTGATATTATCGTAACGTCTTTATCGACTTGCCATATCAAATACCGAGTCCTCCTTTATCAAATGGGTTTTATTAAATTTACTTTGTGCATTTGAAAATCCGTTCGGCAAATGCTAGAAAAATACAATGTTATTCGACAATACAAATATGGATTTACAATTTTCCAATTGCAGCTTAGCTTTTTATCAGATTGATTCAAAATGTGTTTAGCTTTCTGCTAAATATTGTTGATGTGCTTTATTATGGTTGCATTGATGTGCACAAATAAGCGTTGCCTATAAGTGATAATATACAAAAAACGGTAATAACTACAATTACATAAACTGAAACTGCACCAAATATGTGGAAAACTGCTGTGAATGTCCACTATAAATTTTAAAAATGACATTTTTTTTAGATTTTGTAAGATTCAAGTCATTCATAAAAAAATTGTGCTATTTATCAATATAAATTGTTATTTTTAGCTTTCCAGTTCAAAAATTTGTTAAATACTCATTAAAACCATTTTCCTGTGCTGTGCACAAATATTTCCAAATGATTCTTGTTAAGTTTGATGTTTGAATGTCATTAAAAAATCTGAATTGTATGCTTTCATATTGACACGCAATGTTAACTATAAAAGCATTGATTGTATATGTGTGAAGTGTGAAAATAAAAATTATACAATGACAATGATAAACTCTCGTATTGTTTCTTTGTGGAATGAAAAATTATTTACAGTGTGATTCTCTTTTTCATTTTGTATTTTAATGCACCAGGAAAACGCATCTTTATTTCTTGCTTGCATTGGCTTCATAATTGAGGCTTGCAGATAACATAATTACAATTGATGAATGGCAAACCATTATACACACAAATTTTATCAAAGATTTGACCACAGCGTTTGATTTCACAATTCATTAGTTTATATCTTTTCCTTCTGGTTGTGAGTCATTCATTTCCTTTATTTGTATATAATTCTTTCCTTCAAGGAATAAATATGAAATTCACTTAAAGAAAGAAAGGCAACCAGTTCAGGGGAGTGCAGCAAATTGCATAAATATCATATATTAAGGGGCGAATCGGTCGAAAAATCGACGCTTTTAATGTTTTTGAAGTAATTTTTTTTTAATTGAAGGTTCTTAATACTGCGTGACAGTTTAGTTGCAAATTGTGTTTACTGTACATTGAGTTTTCAAATTTTCCCATATTATAAAGATTTTAAATATGATTATTGTATTGCTCGGAATCGTTTCACTTTTAGTTGGGCTTTGGGATAATTATTTATAGATTTAAGTGAGGACAGAACGCAGAAGAGTAAACTGGTCTCAAAATGCCACGGTCGGAAAGTAAATGAACTAATTGCAAACGAGTCGAGAGCATTCGTTGTGACAAGTACAAAGCGCGCAGTATTATGATGCTGGGTGTTGTCACGGCCCACGCCAACTCTCTTGAGCTTTCACTCCTTAGTGAGCCGCTAATTTCAACGCGACTCGCGCTTTTTACAAAAGTACACTCCACTCTAGTCGCATTTACGCTCTTTATTTTTTGAGTGGCCGTGAAGATGCGACCCTCGCGCGCGCTTCTGCTTTTGTGTTTCCCCAGTGCAATTCCGGATCGGCTCACCACTGCACGTGTTCACCAAATTTCGACACCCCAGCGCAGAAAACTCGGTCTTTGACTCTCGCGATAAATTAAAAAATAAGAGAGGAGCAGTGTCCTATCCTCGCTTGCAATTTTTTGTACGCAATTTTAATTCAAGAGCGCGGGATTGGAACGACTGCCAACATATTTGTTTGTGGAATGCTTTGCTGATTATAAATTACGCAGAACAGACTCCGCGAGAAATTAGTTGTGATAGAGGAGAACGCTTGCTGTGGTTTTTAAAGGCATTCAGAAAAAAAATAAGTCTAATTAATTGTTTTTTAAAACAAGCATCTTTTTATCATTAAAAATATCGGCGCATTACTTATCATAAAAAATCTTAGTTGCAGCTCAATGATGGTTAAAATTCCATCGATCTGAATTGCAGTTGATATACAAACGAGATCTAATTAAATGCTTTAAAAAAAAAAAAGAATGTGAAATTTGCAAACTTAATGAATGTAAATTCATTACTCCAACTTGAAGAATGTTTTTTTTTCGTTTTGAATTCTTTATTTTCTTGTGTCAATAATAATCATAATTTAAAACACGGCACCAGAAATGTTATATCTTCAAAATTGAATGACTAAGATTTAATTTTTTTTTTACCAAAATCTGTTTAGAAAGGGAAAAGTATAAAATTAAATTCCCAAATTTTCATTAAATTACATATTACTTTCTTTTTCTTTCATAGGAACCACGCACAGTATCACAGCTCAAAACAAAATCAAAACAACAACTCTGTTCAAATGAGTCACAGTAGTTCCTCTAATTAATAAAACAAACCATAGGGAAAGTGCGACTGTAAATAGCCTAAATTTCGCCCCCAGCGAGCAGGGCAGCGCAAATTACATCATCCCTCCAGAGTTGAGTCACTTGCTTAGGGGATGAATGGGGCGGGTGACTCAGTTAACCCTCGACCTTAAATAGCAACACTTCTGAGAATACGCGCGATCAATACCAAAGATTCAGAGAGATTGCAGAAAAGGATGTAATAGATGAGCAGCTAGTGTACAGGGGTGGTTTAGTCATCACCACCTGTTGCTTCATCGCATCCACCCCCGTTAACAAGCCTGAATCACTTGTTTACAACTTTAAATTCTTTGAATGAAAAAATAAATGCATTGTTGATTTTTTAGTAAAGAAGACGGAAAGAATAGCCAACTTTTAAGATTGCGCCTATTTCGTGTTATTTATTATTTATTAAAAAATTAATTTAATTAAAAATTTTATTTAATGAAAAATTTTAAAATATAAAATATCACCAAATTAAAAATAAAAAAATTAAATTATTTTAGAAAATGAATTATTATTTATTATTCAAATTAAATTCCCGAAGTATAAATACTTCTTGCATTGTAGATTAAGTAGATTGTGCTTAATTAATATACACGGAGCTCACGCTCCTTCATAATCAAAACAAATAGCCTCTCCTAATTAGGCGCAGCTCATTAAACTCTGAGCGTCAGCAGCTACCTTGTTTGACTTGAATAGAAACAATAATAATTCCGTCGAGCTATATTGTTTCCTATTCGCATGTGCATAAATTTAATCCAATAGTAGTTCCGCGACAATTGATAAGCTGAAAAGTGAAGCGAAGGCGTTGACGAAGAGATCCGCTTTTAATTACAAACCGACACTCCTAGAGAATTTTATAGGGCATCGGCAATCGCACTGCACAAAAATAAACGCAGTCGATTTTTCGACTTCCCCCGGAGATAATTTCGTCAAGTGCTGACTGGCGAGCTCTGGTGCTGGGAAACACGCGCGCGGTCGCGGGTTTTTACATAATCGTCGCATCCACTGGTGATAAAACTTCCTTGCTTTAGTGCCCACATAATCAGTCACGATTGACAAGCCGCCGTTTAATGACTTCATTGCGAATCGAATTTTAATAGGGTCACTCGAGATTTGTTTTGACGAAGTGCCGCAGGTGTGTTTTGACAGTTGCTTTATTTTTTTCGTCGGGCTGGACCTAAAAAGTTAGTCACCCCCGTGTATAAGGTCAGTCGGGGCGGATGCGTCACCGCAACAAAAATATCAAAATCACGTTTTGACACCGACTCGACATCAACCATCGGCATCATCCAGGCGCCGACATGCGTGAGTATATCTTTGAATCTTCTCATTTTTACTGCTTGTTTTTATTTTCGGTCGCGGCGTGTGTACAAATTAAATTAAACTATTTTGATTAATTTTATTTAATCGTTTTAATTATTAATTGCAACTAATATTTTTTAACGGATACAGTTAAGTAATTTCTCTAATTAACAATATTAATTTTTTCAATTTTCAATTTCCATGAAAATTGATTTAATTTTTAAATGCCAGACTTGCAAGCAGCATTTATCTTTCAATTATTTTTAATATACAAAAGCAAAATTGATCAAACATATTATTTTTGTTTCATTAAAAAAAATATGCACCCATTTTATTTGGGACTTTTTCTTGCAAATGCTTTGCACAATGAAATTTTAAATTATGTGCCAATTGGATAGATACGCTGTAATTGTAAGAGTGTAACAACGCATACAATTATCCTGGTTGGCTAATTTCAGGGATGGGACAAAAAAATATAATAATAAGGCGAAACAGTTTTTATTCCTAATTTTAATTTTATTATTAGAAAATGTTCAATTTTGCAAAAAATGACATCAGTTTTTCAATAGTGTTTTTTTTTATAGTTACGGTTCAATAAATTGTTTTAAAAAAATTTAAACTTTCAATTAGGAACCTCAGTATTTCTAAAAATATAAAGCCCGTTTTCAGGAAATTCATTTCTCTCATTAAAAAATAATGAAAAAATAATGAAAATCGCAACACCTTGTTCAATTTAAAAAGGATTTAATAAATAGTCTTTTTTATTTAATTAATTATGAATAAGATCGTAAAACTGCACAGCAAAAACTTGAGTACAGTTGTTAATTTTGATTTGTCATTGTCGCAAAAATTGCTGTTGGGTGAGGCAGATTTTTCTCGGAATGCTCCTCTCCTCTGCCTAATTAGCGCGGCACTTTTTGGGCGCGAAAATCAGCCACCCCTTGAGTGGTTCCTGCTGATGAACTCGCCTATTTCACCTATTAAGATGTGTGAGCCATTAGGCCACTCTTTTAAAATAAGACAAATCAGTAGTTTGCGTGCCACCACCGCCTTCGAGGCAAATTTTTCCCAACCCCACGCAACCGCTTTGTTCTTCGCCCGCCAGCTAAACTTTGGCCAATATTTTTTGCGGGCTTCTTCGGGTTGAGATCATCGCTGTTTATACAGCGAGTTTGGTGCCACCGATGCTGTTGAATGTTCGTTTTTTATTCGTCCAAACGGTGGTCGACACGCTTTGATTTCTGCGAAAATCCCTTCGAGTCTTTTAATTTTTACACAGGTCATTTGAACGTTTTAATGAGAGAGCGCGATAATATCAAAGCGAGCACGTCCAATTCCAACCGGTACTAATCCGTCGTTTTAGAAATATTTCACTTCTCACACAATCAACTCATTATTTTGGCACACGACAATTTTAATCTTGAACAGCGTGAAATTGCATAGAAAAAAATCTGGCGCCCGAGAAATTTGCTCTTTCGCAGGAGCTTATTTTAGAGTAGATTTTGAGCAAAAAAAATCATAAAGAAACAAAAATCTGAGAGGATTTTGCATATAATTATGTTGCATTCTGATATTTTAATGCAATGCAAATTTAGTGATACGTAAAATAAAACATTTTAATTTAATCTTGAGTGCCATAATTTTTGTTTTTATTTAGTCAACTTAAATATTTTGCATTTGTAAGACAAATAAAGCATAAAGAATAAAACTATGTTTCTTACATTTGGATTGAATCTTAAAATCCATATTAAATTCAAATTGGTCTATTGGGGAAATAAAAATAAAAAAATTTAATGGTTATTTGGGAAAAAATAAAAGCAAGTCATTGAAACAACTTTTAATCTGATTTAAATATTGGCATTGTTTTGACGGTGATCTGATAAAATTTAATACGATAGCGCTGAAGTGATAACAATCAGCGAATTGTGTTCTACTTTTTAATTAATGATAAGCAGCAATGGGGATTTTTATATAGATAATCAAATATTGCATAATTCAATCATTCCCCCCCCCCCCATTAAATAACAACAAATCAAAGAAAAGTAATTTAATCTTGATTATTATGAAAGATTACAAAAGGACAAATAATTTGTTGAATTAAAAAATATAATATTTTATTTGCATTTATTGTTAATAATTTTTCAGTAACGCTTTTTAAAACTAATAAAAAATAATAAATTCATGCGAGCCAAACTACTAGTGCTAGCACAACTGGCAGACTTTTTACTTCAACACATATTTCTGTACTCTTTTTTTCCAGAGTGCTTTTATATGAAACACAAACACGCATAATTATTATGTTTATTCGCTCTCTCTGTCAGACGGTGCACAACCCTTTTTGTGTTGCATTGCACCCCTTTGGCCGCAGACAGGAATTGAGATTATGGGCCCCGTCACAACATCGCAAAACGCATTTAAAAGCAGCCAGTGCGGAGAAAATAATGCGATATAATTTTTCCTCCCTTTGCATTATTTTGATTGTGCTGCAGTTGTTACGGGGCAGTATAATTCACCCCTAGCTCGGTCGGGTGGTGAGTCATCTCGAGACTGGCGGCACACGCATGGCTGGTGTGCGCCGATCTGCCGCCCACACACCCTCGCCCCGATATAGGCAACCCCTGCACGCCGCCCCGACTCACTCAGCACTAGCGGCGCCAGTGCTAAAATTGCTGCCGGTTCAGGGAAAAGACGTGCCGCCAGTGGTGCTCACACAAGAAACACACCCCGGCGGATATAAACAGCTCAAACTTTCCTTAAAAGGTAATTTATTGAAGCACTTCACACACTTTCCTGTGACGTTGTCGCTAAATTAGAAATTCCCAGTTTTCATTGAATATTCCTTCGTAATTTTTACTACCTCCTGTTTTACTTTCAAATTTAAATTAAAAGTGAATTTTTCTGATATCAAAATTTAATAAAGTTCTTCGTATGCTAATAAAATTATTGGGGAAATTTATTGTGCAAATTGATTTCAAAATACGGAGAACTCATTTTTCATCGGCTTTATTGGAAATTGATGTGAATTTAATGACGCGCGCCGATAAAATATTGTTTTCTGAAAAAGTAGCTGATTTCAAGAGGAAACATTCGCGACCATTTGTCAAATGTGCAAAGCAGAGTGGAAAAGCGGATGCAGATCGCGAGTGTGTATTGAAACGGAAGTTGTCGTATGACACGTATAACCTAGAATGACAGTATGGTCAGATCAGCAGGAAAACATAAAATTTTATAGCAAAATAAGCGCGTCAAATTTCACTACATAGATTCTGCTAATTTTTATTACCATCTTCCTTTTGGATTTTTAATTTTTAAATAATTTTGATCGGAGGCTAAATAAACGAAAAAAATTTCAGTTTTTTGAACACTTTCATTTATCATTAATCTTTTTATTAAATACTTGTACAGAGTTTTATACAATATTTAATGTTTATTTTATTTGATCAGGAAGAAAATTTGTGAAATTTATTAATATTTTTGATTCTCTGTTTGTGTTATTCTCAGTAAAAAAGAAAAGAATTAATAATTAATTATATACTTAATTTCCGTGAATAAGTAAGTAATCAAAGTGAGAGATTCACATATTTTTTATTTTAAATTTTGAATTGTTATTTACTTTTAATATTAATTAGACTGAAATAATTTTGCAATAAAAAACTATTGAATCACACAAGTATAATATAAAATAATTAAATTTAACAATATAATCAAATAATTTTTTACTTTATAATTTACTTTTTAATGCTTTTATTATTTTTATAAATTTTGTATTTATTATTATTTAAATTTATTACATTTATACATTTTTTTAATGGAATTTATACTCTAAACGTTTTTTATTCAATTTATCATCATTTTTTAATTAAATCACAATTTGATTATTTTATTTATTTCATTGATAATAATAATAACATTAATTGTACTCGGACCCTCAAGTGCACCGGTAATTAAATAAGCACTGCGCCTGTCACCACCCCTATTATTCTACCCCTTCTGACAACACCCCGGCCGGCGCCTCGTCGCCGCCCCGCCGCGAATTAGTTCGAACGCGCGGCGCCACTCGCGGATCCGGCTTCAGCTTCGCGCTGTTGGTTTTCAGTCGCGCCGCGGCTGGCTCTCTTTTCTCGCCGCGGCCTCCGTGCACCACCGTCCGTCTGTCCGACTAGCTGCACTCGGGTACGCCTAGGGTCACGTGACGCGGCCAGCACCTATCACCGTCGGGCAGATTTCTATACGCAAACTCGCAGTCATCCTTTCGGTGCTCTGAAAATAACTCTGGTTTGTGAATCCAGTGGCTGCGGACGCGAGACGATTAGAGGCAGAGACGTCGACGGTATCGGACACTCTCGTCTGCACACGCGTCGGACACCCCGCAGCAACGCGACCCCAAGAGTGGTGCGCTTTTGGTGCTCATGTGGACACGCCACTCTGGTCAGTAGTCTCTGTGGAATTTGCCCTTTCAGCGCCACAGCGGCGCCGCTTCGCCCGAAATTCAATCCGAAACGGATGGAACCGATCCCGGATGACCATTTGGCACCGATTTCGGCGCCGTTCTCTCAACTGCACGGGCGCTGTTGAATTTCAAAACAACTTTTCCTCGTTCTCTCGTTCATTTTTGCGCTTCTCCCCTGTTTTAATCAAATTTTTACAGATGATTTGCGTTAATTTCGCGCCATGTTGCGCCCATTCGGATTGGTGGTGCCGACGGCATCGACTTCGGCGCCGCAGAAAGGCCGAATTCGACGGTGCAACTTGTTGCATTCTGGCGTTGCGTGAAAAAAATAATGACAGGCCCCGCCCACCTGTACCTTTCCCTTTTCGTAGGACGGACGGACGGTCGTTCGGTGTCCATCGCCCTTTGTTTATTAGTTTGCTATTATACGAAAGCGTCAAACAGGAAGATTAATGCCGATTCCGGTCAAACACATCGTAAAATTCATCGCCGTTTTCCCGAAACAATTCAGTAATTTTCAAAGCAGAGAGAACTACGATTTTGAATTTTATCCAGCCGCACAATAATATACACACCTGTGGTAAACAAAACACAAACACAGACTTAGGTTCTCACCGGTTTATACCTGTGTGGCGCTATGTATTCTCTACTGCGTAATTCACTTTGTTTTCTAATGAGGAAAATTACTTTTATTTTTTAGATCATTAAATTTTTTTTCAGATAAATGAGGAACTTTACCGTACTTCTATTAAAGTTTTCACCGAGTTTATACTTTTTACTGAAAATTTTTCGTCTCAAAGAAAATTTACTTCAAAGGGTTTTTTGTTTTATTTAATTTTTAGTATCCTTAAATCCTTTAGAACCAAAATGCTGGCTGGAAAATGGTGTACGGAGACACAATCATTCCACCTTATGATTCGGTTATTATTTTTGTATATTAATTTATCTAATATTCTTATTATTTTCAAAAATTTACTATTTTCAAATTTGTTATTTTCTTATTTTTATTCAGTGGTTTTTTTATTTTTAGAACAAAAATACTATTTTTTTTTATTTTTTTTTGTTCAAAAGCTCAAAATAAATTTTTTCCCTTATTTAATCACAAATATTTTACTTCACTTAAACAAATTTTAGAATTAAAATTTAAGCTTAACATGTGGGTCATTTAATCCATATTGGGCAAAGGAAAGGAGATAATTTTTTGCGGTTGAGGCTGCTTCCGGAACCATTATTATTAGGTCAATATATTATTGTTGGATGGTTTAAATGAAATCAACAAAGTATCAGATAATTAATTTAAAACTAAAATGAAGCTTTTGTTTAATTTTATTTATTTTTTGAACAAGAAAATAATGAATAAAAATAATTTTTGAAACAGGCAAATTTTTATCAATAATTGAATAAAAGCCACAGACTGTTAGTATGTAAAAAAAAAACTCTTGATAAGAAAAATAAAATTTTCTGTGAAATTTTCTAATACATTGATATGTATAGGGAAAATGCTGTAATTCTTTCTTCAATTATTTCTAAACCTAATTATTCTTGTTTGCATTCTCTGCATGATTTTTCCGTTTTTGTTTTAAATCGCTTGAAAATTAAATTCCAAAATATAATATAGACAAATCATAATGAATCTTGAACTAATCTGAAATTTTCATAAAATGAATAAACAAAATGAAACGAAAGTATTTTTCTAATTTTTATTACCATCTATCTGAATATAAAATCTTTTGGCTCTTTTGTTTATGTTTTGCATTTTAATTGCTCCTTCTCAAACTTGACTTTTCTATTTTTAGAATGGAAACGTCTCAGGTGCTCGCTTTGTAGACTCACAGGTATAATAATACTAAAGTCAGGTTTTTCTCGGCGTATTTTTATCTCGGAATCGCCTGCAAAAACCAGTTTGTTACTGCCGAGAGGTTCGCGTCCGCGACCTTCGGTTTCATTAATGTTATATACCGGCCAATTTCTAGCACGAAATAATATAGTTGCAATATTTCCGGATTTTTATTTGTGGAAAAACTGAAACTATGAGGCTTTAGTCACGTAGCTATTTTTGTAACTAGTGGAATCTCTTCATGACTGAATTACATAATTAGAAATAAATTTGGATAAGGAAAATCCAATGTTAAAAAAAAGCATTTGATAAGGTTGTTAGACTCTGCGTTAATATCTCGTCGCTCCAGCTAATATGAAAGAGATTTCCGGCTGAATTTTCCCACTTTTTGCTACGTTTCCTCAAATGATTTTATCTGCTCCACCATTCATATCTAGAAAAGCAACAACTTATTTGTTTGACTATGACTTTTTTAACATAAAAGAAAGTGGGAAACCCCTTTTCATTTTAACTAGTAGTATTGTTATTAATCAGTTATTATCCAGTTATATTTTGTATAATTTACAATTATTTGATTTCTTTGCATGATTCAGATATTTATTAATTATTTCAACAACATAAACATCAATGAAAATAATTTTTAATAGACAAATAAAAAGGTGTGCACTGAAAATAAATATATATTATGAAATAAAATAAAATTTATCAAGGTCTCCTTATTGTATTCATATTTTGTTTTTTACAATGAAATGGAAATTTTAACCATCAACTCTTAATATGAAGAGACGTGATTTTGCTATACCAATAAGGAGCCCTTTTAATCATGATGAAGAATGAAAATATAAATATTTGAAATGAAATAATTTATTGAAGATTTTTATTCATATAAGAAATCTAAAATAAAGTAACAATTCCAAATTTAGTCGTATTGTTGCTTGCAACTTGATTTGTTACAAGAACTTTGCGTTAGGTATCGTTTCCACAATCAATTTGTAGTGACTGGTAGATAAATTCATGGTTACCACTTTTGTCTTTTAACCAGATTCATTTTCTCCAGAGAGGATGATGATTATCCGGATAAATTTGTTAATGGCAGCTGATTGTCAGTTAATTACATAAAAATTTAATAGAGTTAAAAATGTAATCTGTGATGAGTTCTTCTTTAAAATTAATATTAGCGCAAATTAAATTTGAGGTAGCAACAAAAATTATAATTAAATTTTGTTAATAATTAATTAAGAAGTAAAAATTAAAGATAACAATTTATAAATTTTTCAATATTTGGTGGAAATCTTATTTCTTAATAATCATTAACTGCATATTATTTGAAAAAAAAAGTATACTTTTTTCTTATACATTTTTTAATCAGAATGTATGGTGACTAATTTCCTCTCTGGAGATAAACATAAAACGAAGGGAAGGGTTGTGGCGCCAGGGTTACGTCTCGGTGCTCTTTTTGCAGGGGTTCGTGCTTGCAACTTTGCTCTTCATCAGCGCGTGGAGTGCGACGAGTCTCGTTCGGAAGCACAGCTGTCTAGAAATAGAGGCGCCCAAAGTTATTTTTAAATACCTTGTGTGTTCCGCGAGCGCGTCTAGTGTGCGTGCGTGTATATTTTTTTTATATGCGCCGAATTTGATAGCCCTAAAATGCAATCGGCGCGAGTTTTTGCTCGTTAGTGGCAGACGCGCGCGTTGACAAGTCGCGGCGATGTCATAATGCAGGCACGCTTAATTTCGCGTCGGAGACAAAAAGCAAAAAGCAGTTCGCTTACATTAGATCCGGCTTTTTAATTTTTTACTGATGGCTGGATTTTTCTGTTGCAGATGCTGAATCAAGTTTAGAGTGATGGATAATGACTATGCAGTTGAGTCTGATTTGGCGATAAGTGATGTCAGTAAGTATCAAAATAATTTCGTCAAATTTAGCTTTTCCATTCCTAATAAAATCTTAATCCCTCTGACCATAATTTTAATACATTTCATAAATAGGATTGGCTTTGTAACCATTAGTGCATGATGCATCCTTGAACTCTCAGGGCGTGGATAAAAAGAATATTAATTGGTGGTGAGTGGAAATTTTACCTAAAAAAAAAAATGTGCCACAAATTAGCAGCTTTTGGCAATCTATACACTATTGATTTTTTTTACCTGTTTGCTTTTCCTTATCACGTTGAGTCGTCTGATTGAGCGCCGTCTAAAGGTCACACTGAATGAAAATTTTCGGTTCGTTTTTGCAGTTGAAGTTCTTCAGAGTGCCGACCCGAATTTCATAGAAAATTCTCAACAAAGCAAAAGCAAGATGAACCACGAGCCGAGAGTGGAGATCATCGAACAGCCGGCGCCCAAGGCCCTGCGCTTCCGATACGAATGTGAGGGTAGATCTGCGGGGAGCATTCCGGGAGTGCACGCCACCAATGAGAATAAATCCTTCCCCACAATCAAAGTACGTCAATGGTTGAAAAATTAGAAAAATTCAAATTTATTAAATATACATTTTTTTTTCAAAAATGTGCACAGATTGTAAACTTCACCGGTCGGTGTATGGCGGTTGTGTCCTGTGTGACAAAGGACCAGCCTTACATGGTTCACCCGCACAACCTCGTTGGTAAAGACGGCAAGCAAGGTGTCTGCACAGCGGCGGTGGACACCGAGACCATGACATGTCAATTAACCAATCTCGGCATTCAGTGTGTCAAAAAGAAAGAAGTGGAGAGGTCGTTAGAAGTAAGGAGGAGGCTCAGAATAGATCCCTTCAAAGGTTACTTTTGATTACAAGTGAAATGAGAATTTTACTTTTGACCGAGATTTTGATTCAGGAGGATACGATCACGGAAGCCAGCCTTCCAATATTGATCTGAACGCCGTCAGGCTCTGTTTCCACGTTTTTGCAGAGGGCGACGAGCCTGGGAAGTTCACTAGACCCTTACCACCAGTTGTGTCTGAAATTATTTATGACAAAAGTAAGAATTTGAACACCTATTTAGAGTTAATTTATTTATTTTATGTGAAAATTTCAGAAGCCAATACTGACCTGCAAATAATTAGACTAAGCGACGTTTCGTGCAGTGTGGCTGGTGGAAAGGAAATGATTCTTTTGTGTGAAAAGGTTGCCAAAGGTGAGATTCAGTTATTAATATTTTTATTTTTAATTAAAAAAAAATGCGGCCTCTATATTTTCAGATGATATTGAAGTTCACTTCACGGAGGAGAAAGATGGCCAAAGAGTTTGGCTGGAGAAAGGAGAATTTCAGCCGTCGGACGTCCACCGTCAATACGCAATACCTTTCAGGACGCCTGCTTACTCAAATATACATGTAAAGAGTGCCTAATTTTTATGATTAAAATTATTGACGAAATTTGTTTTCAGGTGCAAAGTGAAGTGAAAGTCAAGATTCAACTGGTGCGTCCGTCGGATGGAGCGTGCAGCGAGCCTCGCGACTTCACCTACTTGCCATTGGACTCAGGTAGGCCATTTTGGTCTTTAAAAAAGTTGAAAGCCAACTACGGCGTCTTCTCGAGTATTCTTGCTACAAACACTGCGCTTATGACCGCCCCTCGCCAACCGATCACCATCTCGAACGGCCACGGTTCCGACGCTCAAGTGCAAGAAGTGCCTGATGACTCCCCGCAAGAGGTCAAAATCGAACCTGCGGAGGAGCAGCCAGGACCTTCCGAAGAGCCCGTTTACGAGTTCACTGAAAACAGCTGGGATAAAAATGAGCAGAAAATCTTGGACGCGTACTCGGAAGAACTTGCTCAAGACGAAAACTGCAAGTCTTTGAATGACCTGCTTAGCACGGTTGCCGAACTGGAAGAAATGTACCCTGAACCCCAGCCAGACCCCGACCTGACCGAGTGTCTTAAACATTCGGCCGCTTCCGTCCCTACCAATGTCCCCATGGACGTTGATGATAGTTTTGAAAGCGGACACTACACTAGTCTCCAGTTAGCAATGAAAAATCCAATTTTGATAGACATAGATTTTGAAGACCCTCCGCCCCAACCAACCCTTATTCTGCCCACGCAGAACGAATTCATTCTTCCTCCCATGGCGGAGGTTTATATTCCTCCAGAGCAAACTGTTGTAAATAACAAGAGGGAAAGTACCACCGACAAACTCCCCCCACTGCCCCCGAAACGTTTCCGCAAAAATAAGGACGACGACTCAAGCTCTATAATCACCATCGACGAACCGGCACCAGAACTGCCCCCAAGGGCAAATCCACCCCTGCCCCCTACCAAGGACGAACCCACCAACGTTAAGCAAAAGTCCAAGAACTTTTTCCAAAAGCTGTTTTCGCGCAAGGGCGGCCGCAAGAACAAACCTCCCGGACTGCCTAAGACAGGCTCTGTTCCCTGCAATTTGTCTGAAGTCAACCAGAATAGCATAAATAGTGCTATTGTGGAACCACCGAGTCCTGCGGTTGATTTGACGGAGGCCGAGCACTACGCTCTATACACCGACGTCGCCCCCAGGGCCAACTGCTCAGAATTTGACGAGACGTCATTTTACTACAGCCCGGTCGAGGGTATCGCCGAAAAACCGCTGCCCCCGGAGCCCCAGAAGAGCGAAAAACGCAACAGCGTTTCCAAAATTTCGGGCAGCATCCGAGACATTTTCTCGTAACTTGCCGACTATTCGAATATTGAACCGAGACCAAAATTTGATCACTTTTGACCAGCTACATTTTGTGATGAATGAAAAAATGCCACAAAATTTGCTGATGCCAGTGTATAATTAATTATTTCTAAATGATAGATAACGAAGCACAGCGCTCGGCAGATGACGCAGAGGTCCATATGCAACCATCATTCGATGATTAATATTTTTTCACAGCAAACTCAAAACTCGACTTCTTGTGCCATTAAATTTTTATACTAACCATATTGCGTCAAATCGTAGTTGGTTTGAGATTTTTATAACGATCGAGATGCAATATTATAAGCCACTTGAAAACAAAACTAGTCAGAACTTGAGTATTAAAAATCGGTGCCTTTTGTTGCCGCTTGCGCACAAAGCTATTTATAAATAATAAAATACTAATTAATAAATGTGCAACTTTTTTGTAAGACCGCGATTTTGCACTGGAAACAAACACAATACTATATATCTATTGATTCAATATTTACGCAATAAGTGTATTATTATGCATTGATTTGTTTGACTAATCCTGATGCTGTTTGTGTTATAGCGACCATTTTAGTCAAACGAAAGCAGTCGAAATATAGTGATACTCCGAATGCAAAGAGACATGCAGCCTCTAGTTCTGTTGAGAGGAGTGAGTATTTTTGCACAATTCTCACTTGGTGGTGGCGGCGCCGAAAAGAATATTATACATTTGCTTTGTTGCCAAAAATACCGCTTTGGGACTGCTTTGCTCTGTAATTGACTCAATAAGTCAGACACTTTTTCTTATTTTTTCCATCTCTTAATTCAAAATCAAATCTCATTCAGATCAGTGTTGTCGGAGGTTATTTCCATGCAGATATCAAAACCAACAAGTAAGTTCATTTTACTGTTATGGAAATTAAATTTGCATTTAACTCTCGCAAATCCACCAACTGCAAAACTGCTGCTCCCTGTGCTGATGCAATAATTTTTAGGAAACAAAAATCAAAATTATATGATTTTTGTCAGATGTCAGAGGCAATTTTTGGCATTTTAATGGTGTACATTTCACTCTTTCTCTCTTGTAATTTTGTTAACTTTGGATATGTATGAGTTCAATTTTTCTTCTGTAATTGTCAGAAGTTCAAAAGCATTTGAAGTAATATTTTATCATCAGCTGTAATAACTCTTTTATGAACTGTGAATCAAAATCGAGCGACTATTGTGATGCTAAATTGTGTCCTTTTCGAATGAAGTTACACACATTTTAATAGTATTTTTCAGATTATATTGTGCGATTTTTGTCGTCATGTGTTTGTCAATATGGGATTGTTCTTTTTGTCTTATATTCGATTTAAGGCTGTGCCTTGATTAATAGTTTTTTGATTATCCAACTTTTAGGATTAAAAAATGACACGTACTTTGCAGTTTGCAATTATTAATGTATGTGCTTGAATTGTTTTGTCTGGAAGGAGGTGCAGTTTATGTTATGTTGCAATCAGAGATTAAAGCGTCGAATCAAAGTTTTTCTAGAATTCTTATTCACACTCAAACTGATTATTTAATTTTGAAAAATAGGTCAGAATGCAATATCATCAACACTACCACAAAGGTACCTACAAAAAAAATATGTGTGACTGATTGTATTTTTGCTAGAATTTTATTGTTTATTATAAATTTGAAGTTTATATTTTACTAGTTTATGAATGTATTATTTTTTCTTTGATTGTAAAAATGTGTTTTTCCTGTCCTAAAACGCTGCTTTTTAACCAGCTAGCTGCTGAAATCTAACCAATATTATTTATTACAATTCAATTTGAGCATGTAAACGTTTTGATTGTGTCGCAAATTTTTTAAATTTATATTTTTATTTATTTATTCATTGCACTGATTTGCATGGTCAATGTTACTCAAATGACACTCAAAAATACAAATTCATTCAATAAGCTTAATTTTTCAGCCGTCCAAGCCCCATTGCCATCAATGTCTCAACACTACCAGCAGCACGTCAAAATGGAACCACAAGGTTAGTGTGAGTTAAAAAATGAACAATTGCAAAAATGAAATAAAATTATGTGTAAATAAAAAAAAATGTAACAAATAAATTATTTTTTATAAAAATTTGAATTTTATTTTGCAATTGTATTATTTCAAATTTAAAGTTTCATAATTATGGATATTTCTTTTTTCAGAATCCAATGCCTTCCCAAACATGAGCCCACGGCATCCAAACGTGAGCCACTCTCCGCATCAGATGAACGTGCTCCAGCAAACTTTTCCTTCTTCCCACGCCATGCCGCAGCTCTATGCAAATCCCCAGGCGCAGGAACGCTTCACCCCCGTCATCAACTTCCCCTCGGCTTTTGCCGGAACCTCACAGGCCACATTTGGGCAGCCCCAAGCTGATTTTGTCGCCCCCGTGAGCGCCATTTTCAACAACCAGCAGCCTCAGCAGGGTCTCATCAACAACCTGAGCGCCCCGACCGGAGTTCCGAGTAGTTCCGTAATCGCAGACCTGGACAATCAAAATATTTTTGCTGACGACCAGAACATTTCGGATAACCTATCGGGACAATTGAGACTGTGCGGCATCAACTCGAATGACCCTGGCGAGCAAATGATTTCGGTCGAGAACATGTCCACTGACAGTTTCTGTCGGAGGTACTTAGGTGGGGAGTAGTTAAATTGTAAATTTTTTGTACTAAATAATTTTTCTACTTATTCCTTTGAAGAACAAAAAAAATCCTCCCTCAGTTTCGGTTTTCCATTTTCCAATGCCCGAACAACTGTGATTGAACTCCTTCTGTTTAGGAGAACAAAATGCAATTTTCCGCAATTTTCAGTTATCTGACAATTTAAATTTTTATAATACACTTAATTTCTTTTGCCAGCTCAACCTTATAGAAACATTTATACTCACGTCAGTTGGTCTCTGGAGTTTGTTGATATTGGTGCTGAATCGAACAAAATGTTGCAAAATTAAATTCAACATGGACAATTATTATTGTGTTGTGGGCTTCATTCAGCTCCCTTTTAGTTTAGATACGGATAAAATGAATTATCCCCTTAATTTTCTTCCGAGAAAACCAGTTAACTGAGAGCGCTTGCTTTTTTCGCACGGAAAAAATTTGCTAAGCCTCTCTTGCTAAACATTCCAATACTCTTTCCCTCTATTTATAATATTGAAGTGCTGTTAAAATTATTATAATGTGACGTGCTGTCAGTGTTTGGAGTAATTTATATTTGTACAATCAAATTTTACAAATGATAAGTTACAAGTAAGATTGACTGTTGATACAAATTGTGACCAGAGGGCTCATCACTTGTCAAGATAAAGCTAAAGATTCAAAATTTGAGAGAGAAAATATATACTATCCTTTGAACTTCTGTTATTTGTGTTATTTCTCAGCCATTCCCATTTTCTATGACTGTAATTATAATATTAATTTCGATTGATCCAAGAAAAACAAAATAAGTTTATATATTAAAAATTCTCTTTGGTTTGTTAGTCATTCATACCTTTTTAATTAATTGTGTTGAAATCTGAAATGAAATAAAATAATAACTAGCATTTTCTTAATGCGAATAAATTCATTGCACTTATTAAAAAATTAAAACATGCATTGATCTTTAATCAATCGTGGAACACCATCTTAGCCCCTGTTGAGCATGCAATGAATGCAGACGTGCGCGGCCGGTTGCCTACGGACGCAGGTACATTCAACTTTGCGTCGGTCGGTGCTGACCGTGCTCTCGACAAAAAGAGGCATATACAAATCACACACACAGCACGCATTCCAATGGGAACACCTGGGAGGGGGAGTTATGCGGAGAGAAGGCATGCAGGAGAGAGAGAGAGAAATTTGTACAGGCGGTGAAAAAGATTTTTCTGAATCCACCTGACGTGGCGGGGGAAAAGGTGGGCTGGCGGTCGGGCCGGCAGCACGCGGCGCGCGGATTAAAGTCGCACCCTGCGAGGAGGCTAGCGCTGATCCAGGTAGATGAGGCGCATTCCTCCGGCCCTGATTCAATTGTAGTGAGACCGCCGCTCAGCTCTCAGGTGCTACGAGGTGCGCTCTCGTCGCCCCAACACACACACGCGCGCGCGCGCCACTTTTCCTCCGGCCAGTTTTTCCGCAGTGCCCCCACACCCCACAGTGTTTTGCCAGTGGTGACCGCGGACACCACTTTTGCCCAAGTGCCCATGGATACGTGCTGCTGGTGCTCGCACGAAAATGCACCTGATTTGGATTAACCCCACTTTGAGGTAAATTGAACAGATTTTCAAAATGTTTTCAAATTATTAATTAAATTTAGTTTAAATTTGTAACAACTTTATACCAAATAGTTTTAAATAAAATATAAATAATATTATTTTATTAGATTTACTTTTGTTATTTATAATAAAAGATTTTAATTTATTTTTAATTATTTTCAAACATTCAAAATTTTTAATTTATTGTTTAATATTCAACTAAAATTCAGGGAAGTATGTTTACTTTGACTTTAAATAAATCTAATATTAAATTTTAATACAGCACTGGTGGTTTATCTATTGATTGAAGACTGAATGGTTGTTAGATTTCATTGGTTTGCTTTATTTTAGAACGTGCATTGAAAAAAATGCTTATATCCTAATAAATGAAAATTTAAAACTTCTCCAAAATGTTAAAAAAAAACAGCCCAATACAATTTAACTACTTGTATACCTGCCGAAAATAAAATCCCCGCAGTGGATAGATTGTTTGGCCGGCTGGCTGGCTCTGGCTGGCGTGTTTATACCTGAGGAATGCGACCTTTCAGAGCGCGGCCTCTCCCTCTCGTTTCACAAATAATAATGAAAGAGCAGCCACTGTGTGTTTCCGATTCAGTGGAAATATTTGGGCCTCGTTTGGAAAATTTATAAAAGGTACAAACGAGCATCTGTGCTTTGCGGTGCGGGCAAAAATTCCTCCCCTTTGTGCGCCCAGGGGTAAATTGCTTTTTGCCGAGGTGCACCTGAGATCACAAATTCAACTATACATTGAACGGAAATAAAATTTTGAGTTAATTCAGAAAGTAGTTTTTCACAGAAATAAATGAAAGGAATGACGAATCGGCTGTCCTAGGAAAGAATTGGAAATCGTTTGAACGGAAATAAAATTTTGAGTTAATTCAGAAAGTAGTTTTTCACAGAAATAAATGAAAGGAATGACGAATCGGCTGTCCTAGGAAAGAATTGGAAATCGTGGGAACACGAAATCGAAATGCATTTGTTTTTTATTATTGGCTGCCGCGCTCGCATGTGTATATTATTTTCCTTTAAATGTTTCCGGTCGATTAAAATTCCGGCCGCGAGCTCCAGCGGGAAGAGCGCTTTGGGTTTTTAAGGAGCCGGCCGGCCCTTTTCGAGAAATCGCTCTCGCAAACGAGCAGCAGGGCTACTCGAATCAAAACACATTTGACGCCTCTGATATCTCTAATGAAAACATTACGATTAGTACCCATCGACCGGCCGCGCGCAGGGAAAAGTGTCACGAAGAGAGCTTAATTCTAAATGACCCGAAAACCCACTTCCGATCCACGCACGCCGCTCGTACTCGCGCTCACACATTTTCATTAGCGCCGGTCAAAAACATCACATTCATCGCCACGCTAATTAAAGTATAATTTACATTTAAATATTTTAACAAAAATGGAAAAAAAATAATGCTAGTCTTTTAATTCTTGAGGTTTGTTCAAATTTTTTTCTTCTAAACCTGCGGCTTTGAAAAGTGTAGGAAAAATATAGTTTCAAAATTCTAATGTAGGTGTCTGGCAAATTAAAAAAAAAAACTATTTTATTAGTTAAGTTAATTGTTAATCTCCTCTCTAATTTAAATTCCGTCCCCGGAGAGGTTTTCCCTCCCGGTTCTCTACTCAATGAAAGAATTCGGCATTAATGAAGAAGTGGGTGTGCCGTCCAGATCAGGAAATGGCCTTTGTTTGTACGCTGAACCTTGGCATGCGACTTTTAATTCAATTTGCTTGGAATAGTCAACGCAACCTCGCTGTGTATTTTTTTTTCACTCCCGCTCACGGTTTTTCAATGAAAAAATAAAAATTAAAAGTGATTGGTACAAATCTTGCAAAGGCCATTATAAAAATTAATTTTAAAAAATTGGAAGAGGAAGATTTTGATTATTAATCGTTCGGTAGAACTGCAAATTGTTATTAAATGATGAATTAAGTCTCTTGTGTAGTTGCCGGCGCGCTTCATTATGGTTCATTTTATCAGTGCGGGACCATTAACAATTTATTCGCTTTATTGCCTGCGTGAACGCCATTTATTTGTATACCGGGCTAGGTGAGCGCGAGAGCGTTTGATCTTGTGCCGCGCGAAATACTTTCAAAATAAATGGTCTTATCAGTAGTGCTGCGAGAATGAAAGGAACGATGAATGAGTGGGCTCGGCTCCAACCTCAGCAAGACTCAGCACACCATGAAACATTCTTTGGGATCATAATAAAGTCTCTCATACACAAATCCAAGTTGATAAAAATGTATAAATTTGTGCAAATAAATTAACTAAATGGAGTGAAGTAATATCCAGTTCAGTGAACTTCCCTCTGCACTAATAGTGCCAGGGCATGATTTGTTTGTGACGCAAATTAATTTAATTTGAGATCGGAGGGACGCGGCACCGGCAAATGCAGCCTCGGAACAATTTGCTGATAAGGCTGCTCTTTTTGTTTTGTTTCAAACTCGGCAGCCATCGCTTTTTTGGTTTTGTCGGCGGCAAACTTGCACAGGAAACATAAAAGTTTTCAGCTCTGGTTGGCACATTTCACAATAGAGCTTTGATTGCTATTCTAAAATTCAGTAATTTGGTCTTTTGAACTGTTAAAATGCAATTAAGGTTTAAAGACTTGAAGACATGATATGATTAGTGCTATCAATTTTCTAGATTTACATACAAGAAAATTCTAGTCTCAACAATTTTATTTTATTTTATCGTTGTTTAAATGTTTTAAATTATTGCAGTATGCAATGAAAAAATGAATAAATATTTTTTTTTTCTTTTCAACGAGGCTCGCTCGGTTTCAATTTTTCATGCAACCCACCTCGAGTGATACCATGAAGTATGCAATGTTTGAATTTTGAATCATTAATATCTGGTGTAATAAGCATATAATAATTTTTTTAATTTGTACTCAATCATTAATATAAAATATTTAAAACTATTAATGCAACGTTTTTCCAATTTACATTGTTTAAATTTATAGCGGAATGAAAGTTTCTTAAATTTTCTAGTTTTCTGATGCGATAAAATTTTTATTGTCAATTTCCATTAAATAAAAAATGTTTATATAACTTTCTGTATTTTTAGATCAAATTGGAAAAATTGACCCTCTGGAATCTGGATTCCTTGATGTTTTCAATTCCTCTGTGTCGCACTTTCTAAACTTGCACAAATCAGTCTAGCTTTTCTCCCGCGAGTAATTAGCACCGGCCGCCCGAAAAGGGCTGCGATGAGGCAAGCTAGAAATCGCGGTGCATACATAGCATGTGTGTGTGTGTGTTTTACGTAGATGGTCGGGTCCGTTGGGAGAGTTGCGCGCGCGAGTGAGTGAGTGAGGTTGCTCGGATCGACTCTTTGGCTTGCGAAGGTCGACAGCATTCCTGCATCCCAAAGGAGCAGCAGCAGCAGCAACTCTTTGAAATGAAAAGGGGGGAGGCGCGGGGATCGTTGGTGTGGGTTGATGCTCGGTGCCTCTTCCAACAAAGACCGACGCGGCGAGCAGGTGAAGAAGGAGCACTCGAGCCAGCCAGGTGATGGACCCTCTCGAGATGGACCCGATCCGCCCAAATGGGAATAAATTATGCGCTGGTGTCTAGCAGGCCAAGAGTCAATGCACCCTTTCGCAAATATAAATAAAATCGGAATTCGGTTGCGCATTAAAATTTCCAAGTTAAAATGCATTTATTTTGGTAACATTTTTATAAGTTTATACAATAAATATTTGAAGTTTCATTAATAATTATTAAATTATTATTATTATCTAATTTTTAAAAATTGCCACTGATTTAGAGGGGCTCGGATTAAACACTTCTTAAAGTAAATTTAATTTTGGAACAATATTTCCTCTGGAATAAAGAAAAGTTAAATTTTTGCTTTTTAAAGAGCTCAGTTAAAAAAATTAGTGTTTTTTTCCACAAGTAAATTAATATACCGTAGTTTTTTTTACAGCTGGATCAATTCTACTTTAATCCAAAATATAAAAAGGTGAAAATTGAAAGAAATAAGTTTCTTACAATACAGTTGTTATATTTAAAAATAAAAGCATAAAATCGTAAATAAAAAGGAAGAAAAATAATCAAAGAATACTGCACAATTGGAAATGAAGAAAGAATACTCTTTTCTAGAAACAGACTATTAATGTCAAAAACAAAACAAAAAAATGGATAATTATACTGAAGTGTAAAATAAATATAATTTTTTTTTATAAGATAAATCATTTAATAAAAATGATAAAAATGTAATGCGCTTAATGGATAAGAAGCGATAATAAGTGTAAACTATGTTGTAACCCTTCCATTTTAAAGTTCCAAATCGATTTTTTTTTTTTCAAATTTTTCCTTTTCACAATTGTAGTAAAAAAAGGCATGTTATAATCAATTTTCCAAATTTTTATTCCATTTTAATATCCTGCTTTTGGCAAAACAATTATAAACTTAGGAAGCAAAAATATGTATATTCGTGCACAAAAGCTGACAATTTTTTGCTGTCAGCCGTCTTGTAGGGATAACACAGCATGCATTTTTACACACGGCGAACTCGTCGGTCGCGCGTTCGTGTGCTGTGTATAGATTTACGTACACATTTCACGCGACCGATGAGGCAGGCGGCTTGCGGTGTGCAGCAACACCTGTGGAATGTGCCTGCGTTGCTACCTACTTTGATCAATAATATTTACGCGTGTGCTCCCTGCACGATATTATAAGATAGGGTTTCTCTGCGGCATTATAAAACTGATTTAAAGTGAATTGAATATGCGTTGATTTATTTAAAAAAAATTATTCATTTATTGTTATTTATTTTTACTTTCTTAATTTATTCTAAGTTAGTTTAATTAATTTGTTCTATTAATAGTGAACAAATTATTATTTGGAGAAATGGGAATAATTTACAATATGAAACTCATAGACTAAACGATTTTTTTATTTTGTTTATTTTAAATTCGTTTCATCAGCTGGAATTTGGTTGAAGTGATTGTTAAGACAATTTCATACTAGGTATTAAATATC